ATGCCCAATAGCAGACTCCTCAGTCCAGTCCTTCCGATGATTCTCCTGGCAAGACATAGCAGTGATTGCCCATTCCCTTAGAGATGGCCACCCTGGCACTTTGGGGGCACGGCTATCCATTTTATCACGCAGATCTTCGCACCTTGTGTTCTTGCAAGGATTAACGGCAGCGTACATGCAGACATGCGCGACCTGAGACAAGAAGCCCATTCCATCGGCAGCGAGTGCTCGGTAGAAGTTGGGTTCCTTGGCCCACATGGAAACATCGTTAGGTCGAATATTCGCGCACTCATAGTGAACATCGTCTGCGTCGTTTGCGTCACCGCGTAGGAGTGAATCTTCGAGACCGACTCGAAAATACTCGATTTTCGTTACCTCGTCCAACCGGCTGGTGCATTCGCGGCAAAGCTCCGCATCGTCCTCAGCGCCCGTGCACATAGGGCCATCGTCGTAGTCGTCAGACGAATCCCGCAGAAATCTGAGATAGGATCGGGCTCCTGGGTAGTTCTTCAGACGCAGGCGTTTAACATCGTCGGACTCCGAGTGGCCTCCGTAGTCCCTCGAGAGAGCGTCGAGGTTGTCAATGGACCAGTACTCTAAAAGCTTGAAGAAGTGGTCTTGTGAGCTAGCCATCTTTTCCGGGACTTTTAGCAGAGATGGTGATAATTCGTTGTTTGGTGGGATGGATGACAATGCCGAGGGATCTGGAACCTCCGGGGGTTAAATGCCTCGCCAAAGCCAACATGTGAGCGACATTTTCCAAATCAGAACAGCCCCATGAACATGTTCCGTCGCATCAATCCACAGCATGGTTTGAGAATCTTCCTCTTTGGCCGACATCGCCGACAAGGCTCTGGCGTTGGACCTTGGCAGTGGGCCCTCGTGAGGCTTTGCTAGACATGGAACAAGACATGCTCCCAGTGAACACTTGTTGGAGTCTGTAACCCAATTGAGTGCTGACAGTGGGTAGTAAGATATCCGCAGTTTCTATTGGGTGCCTGATTGATTTCTGTAGATAAGCTGCAGAATGATCGAACCACTGGGCTGTGGCTGTGTAGGAGTCGTTGTTGGAGGCCTGCTCCAACATGCAGAAACACTCCACACAAGAACCCCTCCCCGGGCACCGCTGCCTGGAGGGTGCAAGGGTCGTGCGGAACAGTTGCCTAATACGTGAGAATAAGCACGGAGAACGCAGCATGCATTCTTCAGCAAGTTTAAATGCTTTTAGACATACTCGCACACTCCCAAATAACTAGGTATATATTTCTTGCGTGCTTATGATAAATCACATCGATATGTCTGAGTTTACATCCCACGAGTAGATCGAGAAGGGGAAAGACCTAATGAATCAAAGTATAAAGAAAGCTTCAAGAAAGAAGGACCTTATGTATGAAAATGAACTGCTCAGTGGAGCGTGCAAATGATCATGTGAAGAGTTCTATCACTAACTTAGTGTAGCTTACTATCTAGCCCGACTGATTACAAAATTGACTGCTTATGAAACAGGACTTATTTTCGTAACATATTCCATGTGAAATTGTTGAAGAGAAAACATAATTGTAGATAGAAAGGAAACTTTCTCTTGCACTGTACTGAACCGAACACATTGCTGCCGTAGATCACAACCTTCAGCTTGAGTGGGGCTAGACCGTGCTATGAATCAAGTATCACCTACATACTTTTGCCAATCTCGGGATGTAGAGACAGAGGGAAACTTAACGGTAATCAAAGGACTAAGAGGAAGAGTGGCTCATGGCTCGTAGGACTATGGGGAGTACAGGTGGCTGAATGAGGTCGGTAAGCTAATTCCGGGGACGAATTGGTCATAATCTCTAGGCCATGTCTTCACCTAACTCTCCCCGCACTATGCGCTCAATGGTAAGAGATTTATTGGGGCAAAGCCGAATCAGAGACCGTTCAACGCGAAGGAAAGTGCCAGTCGTGACCACGATGGCCACTAAAGTATGAATCCAGTCACTCAGGCACAGAGCAGAACTGATGAACAACGGACCACCATCTGAGGACTTAGTTGCGGTATACAGAGAACCAAGTCAAATTTATTGACTTGAATAGAGAGAGGGAAAGCTCAACTGTCCAAGAAGTCAAACACAGCAAGCGGATGGGACCTCAACAAAGTTTTGCGCACCACCACAGAGGACGCAGGTGGCTTCCAAATAATCAACCGCAGGTGGCACAATAACTGTCCGATGGAAGAACGGCCTTCATGAAGTTTGGTGGCTTGATTGACGTGCATGTGTCTCAAAAAAGAGGTTACACACGAGTGTCAAGTCTGCCTAATCGAAACTCGCCGGAGTCAACGTTACTTCAATCTATTCTACGCACTCGCATGCTCATACGGATGTATGTCCAATAAGGAGTTTCAACTGCAGCGTGCTAATACTGCAGTTCCACCAGGTAATGTTTAAGCATTGCTCGCGGCTGGGTCATTGACCGTTTCACCGAAGACGTCAGCGTTTTTTAAGATGTCCTCACGAGGGCAATATTGCCACTGAAATGACTAGACCATTTCAGAATCTTCTTTCGCCATAGCCTGTCATACTCTTCTCAGCATTTAAGACGTACCGCGACTTGAGACTTCTACCTAAAGTAAGCTTTTCAAACCCCTCCTCTCCCCAAGATCTCGTATGTCTCAGACCGCCGTCATGACAAGAGGAGATCACCTCAAAAAGGTGGTGCGGAAAGAACTTGATGAAGCTCGCCGTCAATCTACCAGCCAGTAAGAGTTGGCCCGGCCATGTTCGAAGCGAACGGCTCAAGGAAATGTCGACTCTCAACCTGGCCCGTGTCTCAGGCGTTCCGATCACGATGCCAGAAATCCTTCCCGACATTTCAGCTCGGCTTACACAGCCCCCCCAAAACACCACACCACCACATCCCCCCCGCCAGAAGCAACCTCATCTTTCTGTCCCGGCCGCAAAAGAATCACCCCGAATCTTACCCGTCCAATTAGTCCTCCCAACCGAGACCTGCCCCTCCTGCTCACCGGCAGCTCCATCATCCATGCCTCCATCAACCTCCCGCGTTTGCTGTCTCACACTCACTGCTCGATTGACGGGTACGAATGCTCTCAACGACACGATGCCCTGCGTGCACCTGATAGACCTATTCGTTGCGCGTCAATGCAAGGCCTCAAAAGTCCACGCAGCCACCGCCAGAATCATCCATTTCCCCAAAGCCCATCAAGCCACAAAGGTCAGCGGCAGCCCCCGATAGGCCGCATAAGCTCCCTCTCACCGCTCCCCTCCCATTGGCCACAAAGCTCACTTTCAGCTCCAGAGCTGAGCCTCCTCCAAATGAGCTCGTCATCTGCACGTAGGCTTTTCCCGCTTAAGCGTACTCCCTCTCATTTGTCGGCCATAGGGCTGACTTCCTATCCTGCCCAGCTCCCGGGCGTCGTGGTTACACCAGCCTCAAAAATGCCAGAAAAGTCTCCGGCTCCCATCACACCGCACGGCACGGCACTTGGAGCTAGGCTAAGCTCTAGTTTGCGCGGGGAAGAGAGGAGGGCTGCAGGGCTGATCCGGCAAGATACCCGGCGGCGTGGGATAGGGCCGAGGCTCGTATGGGCGAAAAAGCCTCCTGGAGCTAAGATTGTTGTGTGTGTGTTCGTGTGTTCAGTCTTTGCGGCTTCGTGTCGGTGAGAGCGGTGCAATGTGCTTCCATGATGCTATTTTGAGAAAGTCGTCTTTGCCGAGTGTCATTTTGGTTCCCGCATGATGACTTTGCCTCCGGAATATGCCCCAGCTGGGAAAGCCACGATGCGTATGCCCGGCGACATGACATTCTTTCTTCGGTGAAGTACTGGTCACGATGCTTGACTCGACGGCGAGGACCATGATGGCGTTGGAAGTTGATATAAAAGGCACGACATAATACCTCTTCATCTCCATCAATCTCATCACCAGTCCCATCACCAACTCCCAAGCCCTTCACCCCAGAAAGCCCCAATCTCATATCCTCCACACACACTTTTAAACCCATCAACAGCCCACAATGTTCTCCAAGCTCCTCATCACCCTCCTGGCCGCCACCTCCGCCCTCGCGGCCCCCCTCGAGGAGCGCCAAACCGGCTCCTACTTCACCCCCTCCGCCGTCTTCCAGTACAACGTCCGCGACGGCGCAATCTACCCCGCCTCCTGGGGCTACGTCTCCAAGTACCCCCAGAACGCCGGCAACGACTTCACCACCCTGCTGACCTTCACCTACCCGGCGGCCGCCGCCGGCAAGAAGTGCCAGTTCGCCTTCTTCGCCGACGCCAACACCTACGCCGGCGGCAGCCGCCAGCTCGACGTCTTCACCTCGCTCAAGCCCGCGCCCGCGGGCGGCGCGGGCGGCTGGGGCGCGGGCGGGCCGGGCAACCAGCGCAACGCCAACATCGGGCGGGTGTCGATTGTCGACGGCGGGTATGCGACCTGGGACGCGACGTACGGCGCGTACCTGTCGACGCCGTCCGACTGCAAGCCTGCGGGCACGGTGGAGGGGCTGGAGCTGGTTGGGGTGAATGATAACGATTATGTGTCGTTCCCGCCTACCGCTGCCCGGATTCTGTACAACTAGGTGGATGTGTGGGAGTGTGGAGGAGCAGAGTGTTGAAGGGGGCCGGTGTGGATGAAAGTCTATTCGATTCGTCATCACTCATTCAAGATAGTTTCTGATATGTACTTGTTGGTTAGGCGGGACAGGCGTTTCTGGGCAAAGCGATGCGAGTTGAATCACGGTCCTTGAGCATCGGCAGATTGTTGGAAACTTGGCATCCTTAGAAAGCTTTCATTCCTTCCAAGTTCTTCAGAGGACTCAATACGAACTAATAGGGTATTCCCATTAACCTCGAGTCCCTCTGCATCTAGTTGTTGTTAGAATCAATGCTTGATGAATCGTGCCAGAACATACACTTACCGCTTTCATGAGAAGCATCCAGCAGGAGCCTGGTCGTCTTGAGATATCCACGCTTTCCGCACGCTTGATCAAACAGGCCTCCATCATACCCCCCACGCGTTGACCATGCCCTTCAAAGCCTTGCAATCAAGCTTATGCGTCTTCCAATCCTTCGTTTGACACTCCTACACCCATCACGTTAGCAAACCATTCCCTGTCCCCCAATCACCGTCTCGCCATCCTCGAAACTCACCTTCCCGCAGTACCGCACAACACCGCATCCCGTACAACTCTTCACCTCCCCGCCCGCCTTCCCACACCCAGCACACATCTCCCCCGCCGCCGCCCCTCCCCCTCCTCCCTCCCCTTCCCCCTNCCGCCGCCGCCCCTCCCCCTCCTCCCTCCCCTTCCCCCTCGCCGCCCTCCCTCACCGCCCGCCCCAGCTCAAAGACCCTCTCCAGCGCCGCCGGCACATACTTCACCCCGGTGCCCCTCCCCTCCGCCACCCTCACGAACCCCTTCTTCCCCTCCTTCGGCGCCGTCCGGCACGCCCGCGGCACCACGATCGTCCACCCAGTCTTCACCGGCCGCAGGTCGATCCCGCGGTCCTCGAACGTGATGGCAAACTCGTCCCCCGCGCGGTCCGCGACCACCACCGTCGGCTTCGTGATGGTCATGTTCTGCTTCACCTGCGCGACGAGGAACCACTCCTCGCGGGCGTCCATCCCGGGCGCGGCGCCGTCTTCCTCGATCGGGAGGCCGTCGAAGGCCGGGAAGGTCGTCGTGTTTGTCAGGTCCGGGATCGGCATTGCGGGCGGTGTTTCCCTCCCCGGGATGAGGTGGAGGTTCGGCTGGGACGGGTGGAGGAATGAGCTGACAGAAGGACCGCAACAGATAACAAATCCTGCAGTATTGAAACAATTGTTTACCGTCGCTTAGATGCAACCGCTCATAAAATTAGACAAGCTTCCCAGGCGTCAGTCTAGCTGAGAAAGATGCAATATCTGAATGGTGTGAGTGAGAGTGAGAGTGAGAGATTGATGAAACGGACGGGGCCACCCTCGATGAGACTCGCTGAATGTGGTTGGCCGCACGTCCAGTAGAGTGGAGTGAGGGATGTTTAGAGAACACATTTAGGAGAGGGGAATTGAGGCCAAGAAACACGCCGGCAAAAGCTCGGTTGGAAGAGAGAAGCCAGAACACGCTTGGCGGCTTCAAGAGCCTCACTGAAACGGCTGCCGCCACAGGATAAGACGACAGATGACGAGATGACGTACGCTGCAACTCCGGGGGGAAACATGGCCTAGAAAGGCCCCGGGATTGTAGAGGGTTCGCGTGTGCAGATGTCAGGCTCAGCGTCTGGGCCTTCCGCCTGTCGGACATCGGATGAAGATGGCGTCATGGCGCTGGCAACAATTCAATGCACTCGGTTTCAAGAAAATTTGGAAAACACATGCTTGAAGGCTGTCTCCAACCAGACCACTGACGTTTGTGTGCTGTTAACAATCGTCTCAGTGACGATGTGTCTATTCTAGGAAACTATGTATTGTGTAGCATAGCTACATTATAGACTACTAGGACTTCCGCGATCACGGGCTACCCAATGCCCATCGTCGGGGAGCGCTGGGTGACTTTACGACGGTTGCGCCCGCGTCCATCCACAGCGCATGTACAAAAAAGGAGCAACGCCAAATATCCAATCAACAACCCTGGCCTTCCCTGGCCTGCGCCGGTACATCCCTAGAGAACAGGCGCCGAATTGGTCTCGGCGACCTGCCAGCAGAGCCGTGGCAATGCTGCATGCGAAATAACAAATATCAAGTCGTTATATGCTGCAAATCCATTATGCCCCAAAACTCATCCATCCGAATGTACCCGCGGCAGACGCCAGGACCAAAAAGGTCAGGATGCCGGCGCCAGCCTTATCTCCCGTGGTGATGGGGGTGTTGTGGACGCCCAGGTCGTTGTTCGAGTTGCTGCCGGCATTCGGGTCACCTTGGGAAGTACCTCCAGTGCTGTTCGATACGGGCGGCTTGGCCTGTCCGATGAGAAGCGATGACACGGCGCCGAGGACGTTCATCTGCTGGCCGGCACCAATCGTGCCGTCGTAGGTACCCGTGCTCCATTTGAAGCCACAAGTGCGCTGGTTGGCTTGTCCCGTGCACTGCTTCACTGCAGCGTCTGCTGAAGTTTGGAGGACAGGGAGGATTTTGTCGGCGGTGTAGGGTGCAATCTGGGTAACGATGGCCATCCAGCGGGCGACGTAGCCCTTGAAACTCAACATGTCGGTGGTGCAGGTGTTGTGCTCCTCGCAGGCAATCTCGAAAGCAATGTTGTTGGGGAAAAACACATTCATGGTGCCCTGGATGAGACCGTCGAGGCGGGTCTTCCACTTGGCGTCTCCGTCCGTCTGAGTTTGTAAGTATATGCTGTCCAAGTTTCAGGGCGCAGTCGATACTTACAAAGTTGTACATGTGGGCGGCTCCGAGCATGTAAACACCGTTGTTGTAGGAGAACTGGGCCTTGTTGATATCCGTGCAGTTGTGCTCGACGTGGCCACCGTCGTAAATGTTGTAGTCAGCGTCGATAAATCCCACAGATTCTACCCAGTCCCAGGTCTTCTCGGCCCAGTCCGAGTAAGTGGTGTTTTTGGTGTAGCGGGCCAATCTGGCACCGATATTGAAGAAGCAGCCGTTTGCAATACCTAGATTGGGTCAGTTCCGGGGTTACTCAAGAGCAGCCGGGTCGTCTCACTGTTCTTGTAGTTATATCCGTTGTTAGACAGGGGAATTTGCCAGCGCAAACCACCGCCGCACGTGTTATCGTGTCTGTCAGGGCTGGCCATGGTGTTAAAGACGGCTTGGGCGAGGGCGAGCCACTGGGGCTGGTCGGTCGGCGGGTTGGGAAAGTTATTCTCGGCAGCGGTCATGGCGGACATGCCCCAGAACCCTTGATCGTCGTTACCCAGCGATGCCGTGTAGTTGGGAGGCATGTAGTCACGGTTGGGCCCGACCTGGTGCAGCATGGCCTGCATGACGACGTCGTTGTAGGAGGAATCGCCCGTCAGATGCCAGTAGTCAATCATGGTTCCCCAAAGCGCACCACCCTCCCACCAGTAGTAATCACCCGCGGGCGGTGGACCAGGCAAGATACCGGGAGTGTGGCCGGTCTCGTTTCCATCGTAGAACTTCATCAGATCGTAGGCGATGTCCCTGGCCGTGTTCTTGATGTCGTCTGTATTCAGTGTTAGTAAGGCCGTGGGGAAGATCGTCGTGGCTGGGTCGGTCGTGGGGACGGCAGGGAATGCGTACCGTTGGAAGCGATGGAGTAGGCGGCGTTGGCGATACCAATACCGGTGGAGAGGAAAAGAGCGCCGGCCGCGCTGGCGATGAAGGAGCTGGAAGACTTCATGGCGAGGATGTTCGTCGAATGACGTGTGTGGTTGAAGCGAGCGACTGGGAGAAAGGGAAAGGAAAAATGCCGGGTTGGGAGGATCGGTTTCCCTAGGCGTTCGGCGCGGTCGATACTAGATTCGTATCATGCGAAGAAATGGAGCGGTTCGGTCGAGGGCGGGTTTGAGGAAGCGTTCGTTTCGACGTCGAGTATGGACGGCGAACGTGGAGGTGGAGTTGAGAAGACGCAAAACGAGGGTCAGGTTGGGGAAAAGCAGGAGATGAACCGGGAAGTTGAAGGGAAAGGAAGGCGAAGAGAGGGTCGGGAACAGCAGGTCGGAAGGGAAAGAGAATGAATGAATGGCAGAGTGACAGCGAAGGGGTGGTGCTAGTGCAAGGCACCTTAGTGTAAAGGTAGAGAAGATACTTGGAGATCGGGCAAGTGCAAGCTGCAGGGAAGGTACCGGTACGGGGGCAATGACTGGCAGATGGGTGGTAGGGCCGGGGTCTGGAAGTCTCTTTTACGAATGGATAATGAGCAAGGTGGTCCTGTCATGTCACCACCGGGGCACTCACCTCAATTACCACATTACGGGAGAGAGAGGCGAGGGGGCACAGCAGAGGGAGACTTTTCTCGTCGTGCCCAACATAAACGAAATGTCAGGCCAGCAGCGGCAGCAGAGAGCAAGCACGGCAGCAGGAATGCGTGTGGTCCGTCTCAGCGATGAACAATGGGCGCAGTGGCTTGCGACGGTGTCCTCGATAGCGTCCTCTGCCAACGGGTCAACGGACTCAAGTGGGCGCAAAACAATACCTAACCCGAGACTTTTGCCTGCTAATTACTCTGATAGCAGTATGTATTTGAGTATGCGAAAACCACAAGCTCCAGTCACATCAATGTCTCCCTGTGCTTGTTGTGCCTGTGCTCACCTCGCGCAGCCAACAGTCCAGCCATCTCCCACACTACTGTACATGCCACGCAGTGCCCAGACGCGCCAAGTCGCCAGCGAGGAAAACAAGCAAATTCCAAGTTTTCCAGCGTTCTTGTCCCGCGGTCTTGGCGATCCAAGGACAGGGTCAGCAACAAGGGGTGAGTGGATGGGTGGTGCTGAGGAGATGGGCGGTGCACGGCTTGTGCATGCCGAGCAATTTTGTCTTGGCTGATTTTCTGCGGGAGTCTTCTGCGAATATCCTTCAGCCTTTCATTGTTTCTGCAGGCTGGGGCAGAAACTCAATTAGAAATGGAGGGACCAGAGCGAGCACCCAATCCATCCTGTCTCGTATTCCAGCCGAGAAGACTGCGCGTACGGATAATACCTCAGGTGCTGTGCCCCCTGAGCGTGAGACGGAGCGAATGCCTGGCAAAGGAGAAGCCGATGGCCGGGCGAGGGAGCGACGGCGTGCCACCAACGGCCTCCCGTCCGTGGCAGGACAACCCCTGACGAAAGTCACGAGAAAGATCACGTGCTGCTACCTGAACCAATCAGATACATGGATATCGCCCAGTTGCCCCCCTTTTCTGATTAAATGCGGGCCAGGTGGTCTGTGCTGGAAATAAAGTGACTGGCCCTCCGTTTATGCGCTCACATTCGTCGCGCTGCCAGGCCGTGTTACCGCCAACTCTTCAGCGCCTGGCGATCGACGGTTTTGCGCTCACCAAGCCCGTAAACCAAGCTTCGTGCTTCGTCATTCAACCGGTGGCGGTTACACCATTCTGCACGAAACACAAGACAGAAGAGCCCCGAAGAAAAAAGTCAAGCTTTTCTGTGCTCCTCCTTGGGTCCTCGGTTTTGCTTGGCTCTGCTAGCTCCCTTGCCTAGTACCTCGTGCTGCCCATGTCGCGCCCACTGCTTGTGTGCTTCCCTCCCGCGATCTACGCGCCTGGGCATTCCCTTGGCGCTCTCGCTGTCCGCAGCCGCCGGGACTCAAGACACCGACCCCATCTCCGATATGGACTGCACCCAGCGCGGCCTCAGCTGAGCGGGCCATCATATCGCCTCACTTCGCATGCTCCGGCCTCAGCCGCCTTCTAGAAACCGTCCACGCATGCGAATCTTCACCGCATTTCTGTCTGCATGCCCTCAGACGGGATGACGGAGTAGTACCGTCAGCAGCCAGGCACATCAGATCGTCATTTGTCCCAGCGTCCGAATGCCTCCCCCTCCCCAAATTTTAAACGTTTGCATCCACGCGTCTAAGCCCCCAAGCAGCCGCCCAAAGGAGCAAAAAAGGGGTCCTCCTTCGGCTCGTTCCTGAACCAAGCAACCAGTTCTGATCTTGGTACGGATGCACAAAAAAAAGGGGGAACACCTTAAGTTTGTTTTGCGGGCTTCATCCACTGCATCTTGGCAAAAGGGGACTTGGGCGTACGCGGCCTCCCGGTAAGGCTGAACATGTTCTTCTCGAATCTCAATGCCAAACCACACTGCCAAGGAGCCAAGAGTTCGCCATGCGTGCGCTCCCGTCGTCGCTGTCGCACTCGAGATGCTTGTATTCGCCCTGGATCAGCACGGTGCCCCTTGGCAATAGCAGCTCCCTCCCTCCAGCCTCCAGGTGTCCAGCTTCCGTAGACGAGTGGTTCTCGGTTCTCTGCACTGCCCCGAGGTCCTGATCTCCACTGTCCAATTCCCCGGAGAAGCACCCCCCTGAAAGAGCTCCGCACGGGGACGGAGCGGCCATTCTGCTGGTTCTCGTTCACGTCCATCACAAGTATTTCGCAGTGAATGGTCCCGGCAGCGTACGCATCCATCCCTGGATAGCTGCCGAGACTTGGTGGCTATCCAGAGAAGAAAACGAGGCACACGGGCCTTAAGAAATCAGACCGTGGAGTTTTCTCGCGGGTCCTGGCTCCGCCGGGACTGATTGTAGGGGAAGCGAAAAATTGTGCACCCCACTTTTGCTACTTAGGTAACCAAGTGACCGTGTCTATCATCCAATCAACCAAATAGCCTCATTGGCTAAGTGGTATAGCGCCTCACTAGTAATGAGGAGATCGCCTGTTCGATTCAGGCATGAGGCAACTCAAGAGGGTTAAACTCCCCCATCGGATCATTTTTTTTTCGTTTTTTCCCTCGCGATATGTCAGCCTTCTTCTGATACCTATCAGATTGTCTTTGGTGCCCTCTAGACGCTCGTGTCATCTGCAGCACGCCTCATCCTCCTGAGACGGCGCCGGCACCCGGCCCCCCGCACGCCGAGCAGACGGTCCGGAGAATGATAGCCGGGTGCGAACGCACTTACACCAAACGCCGTATTCCTCCAGCCGGTCGCACAGCACAAAGACAAACCGATTTTCCAACGCACTCGATAGGTCACATCCTGTCACTCTGTGCTTGGCAGCAGCAGTACGCATACCCGAATCTCTGTGTAAAGACCAGGGGTATGCCATCGTGGTAAGTGTTTTCCGGTTGGCCCTCTGCGGTCCCAGTGATAAAGCTTTCTCGCCCCTGTGAACTCATTGTAAACACTGGAAGAGCTGGTAATAGTTATGCTCCAAAATTGTTGCAGTGTGAAGCCGTCATATCTTTGCATCCTGAATCATTGCATCCTGCGCATATTGTGATAGTCAGAGAGCTGCCCTCAATTGCTCACTCAATTGCCTCCAACTCATAACAAAACTCACATCTCACTCACTCATTCCCTCATCGAATCTCCCTTGCCTTCAAAATGGTCCATCTCAAATCCAAACCAGACTACACACCTCTCACCCCATCCTTCCGGCCCCTCCCGAAGAACGGCCACCTCGCCAACCTCGAGCCCGAATTCGCTCACGTCCTCAAAGCCGCAGACGCCGCCGTGGCGCCCTTCTGGAAGCCCGAGCTCTCGCTCCACGACTTCCGGCAGGCCTGGCTCAGCCCGCCTCCCGCGCCCAAGGGGACTCCGCAGGAGGGCGTTGACGTGCTTGCGGAGACGCGGAGGATTCCCGTGCGCGATGGCGCCGAGGTCGAGATCAAGATCTGGAGGAGCAAGAATGCTGCTGCTGGGGCGGACGGGAAGGCGGTTCTGGGGATGAGGTTTCACGGCGGCGGGTGGGTTGTCGGGGGCCATATGACGGAGGAGCCTGAGAACCTGATGTTGGCGGGGTTGGGGAATGTCGTTGTCGTGAGCGTGGACTACCGAACGTGAGTTTTTGATTGAGATCCTCTCCAAGTATAGAATCCAAACCGACAGGATAACTTACCAACAAATTCGCAGGGCTCCCGAGCACAAATTCCCCATCCCCCTGAACGACTGCCTCGACGCCACGAAATGGGTACCCCCTCCCCAGTCCTCCATTCCACTCACCAAGCCGGCAACTAACCATCGCCAGTGCAAATCCAATGCCTCGACCCTCGGCATCGACCCCGAAAAGATCCTCCTCCTCGGCTCCAGCGGCGGCGCCAACATCGCCATCGTCACGGCCCTGCGCATGCGCGCGGAGGGCGTCTCGGGGCTCCTCGGCCAGGTCCTCGCCTTCCCGGTGACCTGCCACCCGGCGCTCATGCCCAGCGACAAGTACGAGCTCGCGAGCTACCAGCAGTGCCACGACGCCGCCATCGTCGACGCGCGCAAGATGGAGTTCTTCTGGGACGCGTACCTCCCCGGCCCGCCGGGGGGCGTCGAGCCGAGGGCGTGGCACTCGCCGTTGTTGGCGGCGGAGGGCGGTTTGAAGGGGCTTCCTCCTGTTTGTGAGTTTCCTCTCTTGTCATGTGAAGGTTGAGGTACGCTGGAAGTGGGAACTGACTCTGATGTGACACCGGCAGTGATGCAGGTCGCGGGAGCTGATCCGCTGCGCGACGAGGCCATCGCGTTTGCGGAGCGCCTGCAGGAGGAGGGGGTGACGACGGAGCTGCACACGTACCAGGGCATGCCGCATTGTTTCTACATGTTTGAGGGGCACCAGTCAACGACGGAGTATTACAGCAGGGTCATTGGCTTCGTCAAGAAGATTGCGGGGGACGCGGCGACGCGGGCGAGGTTGTAGATCTCTAGCTTCATCAATAGACACGGCTAATTTGGTTCAAGTGATCGCTGGCTATAAGATTTCCTGCGTTCTGGTGCATTGGTATGGTGACGTTTCCTCCATTGCGTGCAAGTCATCTCTGCGCTTACAAGTGCTGCGGTACTACGTTGAAGACCACTAGCCAGTCAAAAGATAGAGACAAGGCCAGACTACGCCGCAAGAAATCTAGTCTCGTCAATTAAATATGATTGAGTGGTGTCTTTCCCACGTATTAAGCTATCTCAAAGTAGATATGTTTCCCAACAGAGCTCCTTCCCCAACGCCTGTGTCTAAGTGCCCACACCCACAGCTCAAGCAGTCTCATGCTCCCTCTTCGTCTCCGTCTTCACAAGCCTATACAGGATATCAGTCCTCAACGTGTACTTCGTCCCTTGGATGACATCGTCGCCAGAGTGGTAGAGCCGGTTATGCTGGAAAATGAGAACCCTTCCCGCCTTGGGGTCTACGTCGACCTTTCTCCTCTCGTCATTTGACAGGAACGATGTCGCGCCACCCACCAGGTCCGCCTTCTCCTTTCCCACCTCGGCGACAGAGTCGTTGAGATACAGATGGACGGTGTAATGCGTCCTATACACCGTCCCGTCCTCCATCTCCTCGCTGTAAGGACCGTCGCAGTGGGCTGGCACCGTGTTAGCCACAACCAGACCCCTAACCGCCGAAGAGGACCCGAAACTTACGTCTGAAAAACTGCCCCTTGCCATACTTCAAAAACCTCATCCGCTTGTTGAACCGATCAAACACCCAGTCCGTCTCGAACCCCCGGTCCGGCCGCGCAACCCCCTCAAACGCCGCCAGCTCCTCCCGCAGCCCGTCCGCCAGCGCGCACCGCGCCCACAGCCGGTCGACGACCTCCTGCTCGTCCCAGATGATGCGGTCGCTGTTGCGGTACTCGGGCTCCAGGATCTCCCAGCCCTGCGCCATGCTGACCAGCGCGGGCTGCCACGGCGCGTCCGCCGTGACGGCGCTGGCCTCGGCGAGCGCCAGCAGCTGCGCGCACTCGGCGCGCGTCAGCACGTTGTCGAGCACGACGGCGTAGCGGCCCTCGTTCTCGGGGAGCTGCGTCTTGGACCAGTCGATGCGGGTGAGCGTCACGGGCGGGGCGTCCGGCGGCGGGGAGGCGAGGAAGTCTGCGGGGACCGGCACGGGGTTGGAGGTGTAGAAGGTCCGGACGGGCTGGGGGCCGCGTTTCGGGGGCGGGGACCGCTTTTTGCGGCTGCCTGGGAGGAGGGAGCTGAGCGACATTGTGGCGGGTTGCGTGCTCAGACGGCACACGGTTTGCTTTGGGGTGTTCTTGTCTCTGGAGAATGGGATAGGTGCCAATATAGGTAGTAGTATTGAGACTGGTGTTGGGTTGAAAGAGCGGCAATCTGGGCGCCGCGGCGATGGGTATTTACACGCGGCGAGGAATCTCACTGCCTGGAGTTGGTGTCTGGGCGTAGCGGGAGCCTGGCCGTGGCGGTGCCGGATTGGCCTCAGGCGGAGCGAGTTGAACGGCATGCTAGGTTGTCCTTGTGCGGGAATGACGCCAAGCTCGAGGGGAATCTTTGAGACTTGTATTTGGGCGTCATGTTGAGATTTCTGGAGGTAAGTGTTGGATTTTGCAACGGGAAGATTCAACAACCTTGATGAGATTGAAGAATAACAATTGCACCTTCAGGTAGGTGGTTGCGGGTGAGAACGGTGCCGAAGGGAGTTTCAGGGTCTGTTCCGACAAGCTCAGGCTCCGAAGACGCTAAAGGTTCGGCTAAGCTTTTGAGCGCCCAGGCGGTGGCTGCCTGTAGCCACGGTCCACCTCGGAGTTGCCTGTCAGATCCATGACTACCTTCGTGGAACAGACTCAATATCACATGTTGGGCATTTCCGTCTCATTCACGTCACATATGGATGCGATCGTGGGACTCAGAATACGTATCATGCTGAAATGGCTTAGTTGTCTAGTAGCACTTTGTGTAGGTGGCCACACATGCAGTTGCCTTATTTTGTCAACGATCAAAAGACTAGAGGGATTATTCGACGGCGACTACATCCTCTGGATTTGAGTCTATACACATTGCTGATTACGCATGCGCCGTTTTGATCTATGTATCGTAATGTCGATAGACTTCAATCATTTGTTCTGCTATGTGTCTATGTGAGACGATGCATACCTAGTAGTGAGTACATGTACTTACAACTATGGCCGCAATTTACGACTGTGAACCCAACAGCATCAATATGTTTCTTCGACTGCCCGATCTAACGTAGCTATATCATTAGATGACAGAACATGTTCTCGAGAATTACGAAATGGTTCGCTCGTTCCACAAGCACATATCCTAGGCTTGGTATTGATCCCAGCCAACGTGTGCAAATGTAATATGATAATCTCGCTATTTGATCAGAAAGAATGACATTTTCCATCAGCTAAATGAACTATCACGATCCAATCAAATAGGAGTAAAAAGATATATCATTCCTATATGTTAGCACAACAATAATGTTTGCTCGATGTCCATCGTTAACAAGGTGCCTTCGCCCAACCAGAGGTAATAGGTAAACCAGCATGTCACGAATATCCACTAACACCACACGTCCAACAATCAATATCCCAAGCCCAGAGTCCGCTTCCAGGTGCTGAAGTAAAAGCTTGGTCAAAAGTAAAGTTGTAAAACAGACAAGTCCCCGTGCTAGGGTCCCATGAGAACGACCGACACCGCGGCGGCTTACGCGCATCGGTGCACAGCTCATGGCACCCAGCCGGCCCGTCCTCGGGTCCGTCTCCGCTCTCGAACCTCCCCCAGCTCTTGACGTCTCCCTCGCCCGTGAACCTGGCCTCAACCTCGCACTTGGCCGTGGGCGACAGACAGCTCTCAACGGCCGTCGTCGCGGACGTCGTCCGCGTGGGGACCTCGTCGATGGGGCCGAGCTCGCCGCACTCCCAGCACTCCTTGTCCCAGATCCAGTAGCCGCTGTCTGCCTGGGGCCGGGCGACCTCGGAGGCGGGTTTGTTGTGGATCAGGCACCTGCCGTTGGCGAAGAAGGAGAAGGCTTTGCACTCGCCCCAGGTGCGCTTTGCGTTGCAGAACTCGAGGCACTGTTCCGGGCTTGCGAGGCCGTATTTGTCGCCGAAGGCGCCGCCGCTCCATTGGACCTGGACGCCGCACATTGCGCCAGGGGGAAGGCACGGGGCAGACGTCGTGGCTGGGGGTGCGGTTGTGGAGGCGTAGGCACTGGCAAGAGCCAGGCTGGTTATCAGGGCGATGTGGTTCATTGCGACCATTTTAGACGTTGGTGATGTATTGTGTACTCGGCAACTAAGAAACGGAGTGAGGAGTTTGAGTGTAGTGACTTAAATACTTGACCTGTCCATTAAAGGAACTGTTCAGTGGGAACTATCTTTCGTGTATTTGTAAATCGCAGGCCATGGTGGCGGAGATGCGTGCAGTAGCGTGGTCGGTTAGCCAGTGAAGACTATGCGAGTAAGATCAATAAATGCGAGTTGCTTCGTATTATTTCTCGGCATGCCGTAGTGTTAGGCGAAGGATTTGTAACAAAGTTCCTCAATTCGCCCGATTAGTTGGCCCATGAGCACTCAGCGTTTGCTCGTATGATCATGTTCACAACACAATGCGGGTTCTGTAATCCTTTGGAGTAAGAATGATACCATGATCGTAAGTCTGTATGAGAATGTCGAATCAACTCTGAGGGGGCGTAATGCGAGTTGCATTCAATGACATGGGTGAGAATCACGAGAAGGTGACATAAATCAAGTTCACAATTGGAAAGTGACATGAAACAAGAATATTAGAGCAAATAACTCAAGAACGATACAGATTTGTGCATGGTTCTTTGTTGTGATATTTGCATCAAAATGAAGAGAAATAAAGTATGTAAACTGCACGCCACCTGGGCCGGCTGTCTTGAAAACCAACATCAAAGGTCCTCATCCTCGATCTCGTACTCCGAGTAGTCAGCATCATCATCTTCCTCCTCTTCATCAGACCCGTCGGAGTCATCGGAGTCCTGAGCTGGGTAATGTTCAGGAGGCAAAATCTCTCGCTTTTTGAGATCTTCCTCGCTCATCGGCCCCGGGACGTATCGCCAGGTGTCTGTCACGACAACATATTCCATCGTATCTCCCTCCCCATGATGATACCACTTTGTGCCTCCAAGAGCACTCTTCCCATGCCACCTCCATTCCACTAGCTTCGTACCCTCCGCGCTCAAATGGCCGCCCTCCTCCGAGTCCCCAACACTCAGCTTCCACTTCTTGTTTCTCTCCACAATCTTCATCATCGCATCCTTTTTCCGAGTGATGGTCTCGTACTCAACCTTGAGCTCTCTAAGCCCAGGAGGCCCGCTGAACCGCCGCAGCCAATCTTCCTTCATTCGCAGAGGAGTATCGCTCTCCCAGTACCACCAGTCAGAGTAGCGAATTGTGATGGTGAGCTTCTCCGGGTTGAAGTTTGGCTGGTGGAAGAGGCGATGCAACTCAGTTCCGTTTTCAAATCTGAACATCTGCATGAAGAAGCGGACCTTCTTGAGGTCCTGGGATTGTTGAGGCGTGAGCTTGCGGAAGAAGGACAGACATGAATTCATGCCTGTCCGGCCCTCTGGACCGCGGTCTACAGGCGCAGACAATTCATTAGTGACATGAAATGACATGCGGTGCTGATCTATCGAGACTTACCAAACCAGAAGGCCCATTCAAGCTCTCTCAAGAAGGCCTTTTGACCTTCAAAGTAGGCTGCTTTGCATGTTTGCAGGAGGGCGCTGCTACTCTTCCGCGGACCCGAAAATCCCGGGCGATACCAGTAAGAGTCTTCTGGATAGGCGTTCTCGCTGTCTTCGTATTGGACGAGCGCGAGCGCGAAGATTTCGTTGCGGATCTCACCCGGCAGAATGTTGAAGAGTGGGCATTGCAGCTGGGGATTGCACGCTGTCGTCTGTACGTCGGTCACTGCTGCGGTGCCCATGGTTCGAATGATGACGCAGTTGCAAATAGATGCGCTACTGAGTTAGAGGTGTTGGTGCGAGCTGAAATAGTCTGATGTTGTGACACAAAGGCGGGGTTGGGCGCCTCTGCTGCCTGCTGCTGCCTGCTAACCAGGCGGAGTGACTGGAGATGTGGCGTCCATCCGCTCGCCCAACATCTTGCAGCCCAAGATTAGCCCGCTCTGAAGGAAATTTGACAACTGTCACATGACGCTGGCTTGCCATTAATTGGTCTATGGAATCTCTAAAGTCTGCAAAGTCAAGTTTGCCAAGTTCTCCATGATTGATACAGCTTAACAAATAAACGAGCGGCGCGAATTATTTCAATGTTCTCCCATAAGCGCGTGACTGCTTTCTTCGTTCCCTTAAGGCTCCTCCACCTTGGGAAATGGTTCCAACAAACGGTCATCATCCTCATCGGTACCGTCCGATGCTGGAAGTGTCTGTCAGCAGAGTTGAGAGAGAGCGATTCTACCGGGGTTGACTTACCAAGCTGGTCAATCCAAAACGATGCAATGCTTACGCCGAATTCACACCCGTTCACTTTCAAAGAGCGGGAAATCTTCCCTTCAGACAATACCTCGTCATCCAGTAGCAAGCATGATCGCTTCTTCCACGCCTCAGAAGTCCCCGCTGGTTGGACGAGTACCAGGCGTTTGTGGGGCACTGTCGGAAACGTACGGTTCCTGAAGCCACGAGCATCGCGCACAAAGTCGCGGTAGCCGTGCGGATTGTCCTTGAATTCGAACGTCAAGCAGAACAATTTACCGTCCTTAAGCAAATCATCTTTGGTCTGAGAAAGTAGGGGCAGGGTCTTCTTGGTCCCTGGCGCAATTCGAATCCTCCAGACTGGTTCGTGTCCGGAGGTTGATATGCACGGCGTAAAGAAGCCAGCCGAAGTGCGAAGAACGGACAGGAAATGAGGTTGAAAATGAGGTTGGTAGCGGTTTCTTCTAGTGCGGATGGTGACAGCAGATCCATCACGCAGCTGTGACGGGGAAACAGAAGTGTCAGAAGTCGGCGCAAGGGATACCGCGGGGCGTTCATAGAGGATGGTACTCACATGACCCGCGTCACGATTCTTGATAGTCCAGATTCCAAAGTCGGGGTTCTTTCCCCAACGTGCATGATCGTAAGACATCACTTGAGGCCCCGAGAACCTGTTTGGAGGTCTCAGCATTCCGGCAAGATTTTACATGTCATGTTGAAGATTTTCACTTACCTATTGGGCACGACGGCCTGTTCACCAACACTGTCAAGCTGGACTGCTACCGAATCATCGTGAACGAGGTATTGATCTTTGTCATCTGCTTTGGTTCTCAACCGAAGTTGAGCAAACAATTCACCGCTCGAGGTGACGTCAATGTGATCGGACATGTGCTCTTCCGACTTAGCGCTTGAGAAGAGTTTGACGACACCTTTCAACTCTGACACTTCACACCCAGACATAGACTCCACGATGCTTTTCAAGTCGGCTCTCTGCAAAGGATTAGCATAGTGATCTCTAGACATACTGAGTCATTCTCGCGGTAAGGAGTGACACACTTCGATAACCCTCCAATTTTCGGGGTTAGTCACCGATTGACACCAACGCTGAGGACTGTCTTTGTTTTAGCAACGCTACAGGATAGTGGGATGTCCAGATTGATGCACCTTGATGCTAGGATGGTATTGCCTCCAATGGCTTCAAATACCACCTGCTCACTATCATTCCTGCTACCATAACTGTTGCTTTGATCTGTGTCCTGGGACTCCTGACGAGTGTAGCCGCCCCCTGCATCTATGGGCTACAATGAAAAGGATGTTAGATTCAGCAATGAGCGTCGTTGAAAAGAGATGAACTTGCCGAGGAGATTGCGAGGCCAATAGTTCGCTTGAAATCTTGCTTCGACTTTTCCTGCAAGGTCTGCTCGCTCGCTTCTCGAGTTTGTGTTGAGGTCAGCATTCCGCCGATGGTTACCTCATGTGCGAAGAATTCCCCTGCATATTCAGTTAGCCTGGGCCCCAGAAATTGGTCGAAAGTTGGGTTTCAGGGCACACCGAATGTCATTTGAAATTTACGGATGTTCACGAGGGTGTTCTCTTTCTTGACCTTTTCAAGCTCCTTCATGAGTTGAGGAGTCGGCTCAAGGTCGTCGGGGGTTAGAAATAGTGTGGCTCGTGGCAGCTAATATAAATTGGCATCCTCGCTTTCAGCAAAAGCCCAGAGTCACGTACCTTGTACTGTCCAACCAAAGTCTTGTTTGATTTCGTCTTACCCTTCTCTTGTCCTTTCTGCATTTGCAAGAGAGTGTTTGCACTCATGCCAATGCTCACTTTGGAATAGCCACCGTTCAATTTCGCATCGACCGACGATTTGGCGAAGCTGTTTTGCACCATGGACTCTCTCACTCCTTCTTCAACGTCGATAACATCGATTTTGCTGCCGTCGTTGACGCAATAGTTCGGGATGGCACCGCCGTCAGGTGTCTATTTGGCCGCCGGGCGCTTGGATCAGCCTATCGAGAGCCATCGAAGATAACAAGTAGAACATGGAACAATTGCAACAAAACCCTGAAATATTGATGCATACATGAGATCAATCTCATAGACCGAAACATACCTGGGAATTGTTGAGTCCCTTTCTCAAGATAAAAGCTGCATTACACCATGTCAGCGCCAGCCCGTTTCTGCCTGGATGTGGTATTACCTGGTTTTGGAGCCATCTTGATCTGGTGAGTCTGGGGATCGGTGTACCAGCCATGCATGACATTGCAGTTCTTCATGATAATGTTCCAATCTTTTACTTCGAGATTCGATGGAGAACTGTTGTTGATTTGAACCAAGTCAGACCCATCTTGAACGACATTCATTTTTGAGCAAAGTGAGGATGACGAAAACTCACATAATCTTCTCTGTCATTTCCATCTTGAGCATGTCTTGAGTGATTGAGCTTGGTCTGGATTTCAAGTCAAGATACGAGCTGGAGGGTGAACCAAACATGGCCCCGGGATTCTAGGATAAAATCAGTATCATGACCGCAGAAGTACAGCATAAATATTGACATACATCGTTCTTTTGCATTTTGACCCAATTGGAAACCCTGCAAAATGCCCAATAGCAATAGGCTGGGACGAATAAGTGAACAGGGCAAACTCGATCTTCTTCGAACGTGCATACGATGACTTTGACAGTTCATGCAGTAATTAAGTATCACCAAGTAAAGCCCAGACTGCGAGAAGAAACTGTCAATGTTTTCGTTCACGTGGTGGTAAGATGGCTGAGCTGAAGAGCGCGTTCGGAATGAGACACATGGTCTTGTCCGCTTTTGTATATTCCGCCGTTGTGTACAGTGTGAGTATTTGGCCTAGGCTTTGACAGGACGCCACAAGAGCAGGTAGTCCCACGGATGCAGAGCTCTTATGTCTCAGAAAGCGATCTTGTCCCACGTGGCTTGAAACATCGCCAAATCTAGAGTTTGCGATGAAGTATATAATGTGACATGGAAAAGTGGAATGGCAGACTCGGATCACCACGCGCATGCAAACAATCCGACCACGAATTTCGCAACAGATTTGCTTCAATCATGGCTGTTGGTTCCAAGTCCCCCCTAGCATCCTTCCTCCAAAGAGAGGCAGAGAAATGGCGGGGCCACCAAGTGGTTGTCTGGAAATGTGACAAGGGAGAAATCGAATTCTCCTGCGACACTCTACACGCTCACTTCGACCAGGGAGGAATGAAGCCCCATAACATGTGGGGTAAGGGTAGTCACAACTACGGACTGTGTGTGATCCTACATGGTACTTTCCGTTACATCAACTCCTCGGTAAACAAAGACAAGTAAGTTATTCAGAAAAGTCTGAGAACTTCGACAGTTTGATAACAGTTTGCCCACAGTCACAGCCTATGGGTTTTGTCAAATTCAACAGAGCCAGATGCGTGCAAGTTTAACGAAGAGAAGGGTGTCTCCTTCGCAGCACAGTAAGAGCCGCCGTTTACTGTTTCTGCACTCCTTGTAACTTGCTTACCATCCTATTACAATAGGCCTCAACTGAACTCAACTTCGTGGATGAAGTATCTTAGCGATGAGTTACCACTTGACAAGGTGACACTCCCAGGAACTCGCTACAGCTGTGCTTCTACCTCAAATATCGAAGACGCGGATGTGCATATTGAACCCGAAACCGACGGCCTCATTGGGAAAATCAAAGAAATGCACAAACACCACGACGATTCGATTTCCCAGCAGCTGAACAAGGGGATACGGCTACTTGACATCTGTTGCGGGGTCGACAATTTCGTTTCACATGGGCCTTTGACCATCGCAAATACGTATGTGGAAGATGCTTTGGATGCTGTAAAGAGGTTTGTAAAGAAACACGATACAGAGACCGTCGTTGTGTCGCTCAATTGGTCATCCTCCTGCGTCAAAGTCCTGGACTCTGCCAAACCTTGGCGAGGAGGGGGGTCCTCAACTCATGACGATACAATCCCGCCCGGCTTCCACGAGTATATGAAGGCGATCACCAAAGACGAAGTTTACTATACTGGAAACACCTGGCCGAAGCTTAGCACTGCTCGTGGCAAGGTGGTAATTGCCTGTGGGTGGAAGACCGGTGACCCCGACCATGGGGACCATTGGGGAGTGCATTATCAGCCACCAAAATGGCAGTTGGCCCGTTTCTCTACGCCATACGTACTGGACGAACTAATCAGCGAAAGGTGGGAGAAGATTCAAAATGAGCTTCACACATCCCCGCGTAAGCACCAGGCCGTCGTTCTTGCCGCCTCACTTCAGCATGATCCATATACGGAGACCGGATGGATTGAGCCACGCAAGACGGCTGCAGGTCTACAGGCAAAATTGAAACAGCACATCGATGAACAGAGGAAGAAGATTTGTGGGCTATGGGTTCATGGTGACTTCATGGAGAAAGATACGATCATGGCGATAGCAAAACTCAACTGGGAGGGCTTCAAGAAGAATGAGCGGCGATTTCAGTTGGGCATATCTCCTTCTCAGGCCCAACAGGCGCTTCGAAAGGCAATTTAGGTACTGTAGCAAATTCTAGAAGGACTCTAGCACAAGACTGCATACATTTACCGCTCGAAATTTGAATCACAACTTTACAAGTACGCTTGGTGGGTATCCTTCGCACTCTGTATTGGGAGCTGCACGGATACTAACTTCGGTCTCATGATATACGTAGTCACACTTGGGGACCTTGGGCATGAATGAAATTGGGAAACTTTGGGATCCAGGCTGCCCATCTATGCGAACCCTTTTTGAAACCATCATCAAGTCGCAACCGAGAAGGGAAAGGGCCTGGCGTATTCATTCGTTTCTTCCCGACCGCCTGTCTCGGCTCTTGAGTCTATGGGTGAGACACGGCACGAGATCAATGTCGTGTGCGGAATTTGCTTCCCACAAAACCGAAATGAGACACGGCTTGCTGAAACAAGAAGACGCGAGGCGGACTGTGGCAACATGGGAAGCATCATGTTGTTCTTGGCATTGTCGATTGGAGGATGCAGCAATACGTCTCTTCTGGGCGCAGGAATTGCAGTAAATAGTTTGGCTCAAAGCCACAGGTTTCCCTCCCGCTTGCCACTGTGATCCGCAAACAGAACGCCACCATCCGTCCCGCCTCCGAAAACCTTCACGTCCAATGAATTACGGGCTTGATAACCTTCAAAGTGATCAGCTGGCTGAATCATTGTATGAAATCTGATTGTACTTACTTGGCCGGTGTGCATGTCATGAATTGCTTGGTTGAGCTCAGAGGCCGGGTACGTCTTGCATAGCCTGTCAATGGGAAACTTTCCCTCTTGGTGCATTGAAATCAACTTTGGAATGAAGTCTGGGGGGTATGAGTCGCCTTCAATGACACCAATGAGTCGCTTGTTTGCCAACAAGAACGCCTGTGCGTCAATCTTGATGTCAGCCGCTGGCGGTGGCACGCCGACAAGTACTGCAGTACCAAGAGGCCTGACGCATGCAATCATGTCCTCAATGACCTTCAGAACGCCGGTGCAGTCGATCGCATACATGGGACCTCCGTCGGTAGCCTTCTGGATATCACGAACAATATCTGAGCTCTCTTTCGAGTTGAAGGTGTGAGTAGCTCCAAGCTCCTTGGCTAACTCGAGACGGCCGGGTACGATGTCGATGGCAATGATCTGGCCCACCTCCAAGTACTTCGCCGCCATCAGAGCAGCGAGACCGACGCTTCCCAGGCCGAAGACGACAATGGAGTCTGTCTTCTTTGGCTTGATCATATTCAAGACAGTTCCGGCGCCGGTCTGGAGCCCGCATCCGAGTGGGGCGTAAACCTCCATGCTTGCTGCTGCCGATTCCGGGCAACGGACGACTGATTGACCGTTGACGACAGACATTTTGCAGAAAGACGAGTGCCCGAAGAACTGACTTCTCACTGAACGACCGTCGGCGAGCCTTCCCGGGGTACTCTTATCGCTACGGACGGATCCAATGTTGAGTTTCGAAGATTCTGGGCAAAGAGCCGTGTGGCCACTGGCGCAAGTGTCACATGCGTTGCAGCTCGTGAAGGACAGCAGGACGTTATCGCCCAAAGCCAGATCCTTGATTTTGACGTCTTTGCCGATTCCGCGAACGATACCAGCTCCCTCATGGCCGAAGATGGCTGGGAACTCAATCATGGGCAAGCCTCCCTTCTGGGTCACGACGTCTGTGTGGCCTGGAGCATAGATGATGAGACCATTGACTGCTACGTCGCATATGAGAAAGGAATCTCAACTTACAGACGCCACTGTACTTCATCTCTACCAAAACCTCATTGGGTCGGATCTCGTCGAGTATGACTGGGACGAGCTTGAAGTCTGCGTTGACCTCCTCCACGACATACCCTACTGTCTCAATGTTCTTCAGGTCGCTAGCGTTGGAAGCATTGGTAGTCTGGTTAGCAGCACGCTCGATGTGTTCGACATGCTCAACATGCTCGGCATTGGCGTCCGCCTTCAAGCCACCACGTGGCACTCCAACTTGCGTCGCGGGAATGGTAGCCATTTTGTCAAGTCAGGTACTAAGAAATAAGATAGGATGGTTCAGATGGGCCAACGAAGCAGACGTCGATATTTGCTTCTATTTAAACGAACGGTAGGTACGGAACAAGTATGCAGCAGCGGAATAGTAATGCCGACTGACAGGCGGCCGCCTTATCGCCACGTCTGTCTTGGCCCATAGACCTGATACTGGTCCAAACGTCGGAACTCTCTCCAACCCCTCTGACGCCGTTTTCGGTCTCGGCAACCCCATGCCAGTGGATACGTGGGGTCCCGGTTTGCAGCTCGAGAGGCCTGGTAGACCCAGCACGAGAGTTTCCGGTTTTGCGGGGGATGCGGGGAAGGACAGTTAACGGCTAAGATCACGGCATGATAGTTTGGAAGCATAAGGTGCAGAAGAAGACAATTGGACGAGATCTGTGCCACCGACTGTGGGAAAGCATTAAACGTCCGGTCTTTATGTGGGTTGGGACGACTTTCAGGTTGTTGCGAAGGGGGACAACTCGACGGAACAGGGGCTCGGAAGTTTGGAATCGGAATGCAGCGCCGCAGAGGTCGGAAATGGGGCGGAAACTTTTAAAACACTGTGTTTCTGACCAAACCAAACCATCATCTATCTCTTTGACTATTGTGATAAAGAACTAATGAGAGCGAAAGTCCTGCAGGTGACCGCATAGCCGCATCGTCCAACCGATACCCGTACTGCCGAGACTGGGGTCCGGGTCTACCGGATAGCTAGGAGGACTTGGCCAATGCACATTCCGCAGACGATGTAACGAATCGTTATCACCTGCAGGACCATTGGTCCTCAACCATCGTAGGTAAGCCTCACTACCTCGGCGGAGAGTTACAGTCATGTCAGGCGGATCAGCTGTACTTATGGACCCGAACCAATAGACTAGTTTGTTATGTTGTTACAAGCAAGTGAGGAGAATAGCACGAACGACGGACCGAGGTGCCGTTCGGGTAGTAAAGTGAGTCGGAGTCCTTCAAAGTTCTGTATGACGCAAACCTGCAGTCCTGCACTGCATCGTCGTAGCCCGGTGTTCAACTGTCATTACATCTGAAGTATCATGACGCTTGGAATTACCAAAAGAGTGATAAGACCTTGTGTTGCAAAACTCCATGTAAAGCCTGAAACATCCATCAGTACATGTAAACGACGAACCAAGGAGCCCATAGGCTACCATACCTAGAGCTTCTACCCAATCATTGATGAACCAAGGGACGAGGAATGCGGAAACCTGTAAGACATTCAAGTTACATCTCTGTTTAATTCAAGAACGTGCCGGCGATAAAACAATACTACCGCCACCACAATGGCAATCTCTCAGATGCACATGAAGGGATGTTACGTGCTTACATTGTAGAGAACTCCGTACAAGGATATTACTTCCAGAACGCTGTCTGGGAACGCCGTAATTGCGTACGTAACCACTGTTACGTTTCCCATCTGCAATCCTGCAGCAACTGCGCAGTAAGTCAGCGGGACATTTCCACAGCAGGAAGACGGACATTGCCATTCTTACAGATAAACAAGGCTAGCTCGTCCACCATAAAATGCCAATGACGATCAATTGATAGTCCCCACAAGATGCATCCACCCGCCCCGAGTAGAGTTGCAGGATAAGCAAGCCATAGGTACATAGCAGGCGTCATGATGTCGTTGTTGCTTTTTGCAAGCCGTGAAGCGATATTGTCGAGCATTCGACCTGAGCACACGATTTCTATGGTGATAGTGCCAGAGATGAGGCCAAGCCAAAGCAGGCCTTGAGTCTGAGTGCTGTATTGCGCATATGCTACTGGCCCCATTGTGAGAATAGATACGACCCTGAAAAAGCTTGTCAGTTGAAGCCCACCAAGTTTGGGACAAACTCCGTAGAAGTCCGTGTTGTAGCATTACTAACCACCAATACTGGAAGAATATATAGGGGATGATGGCACACATGAGTCGAGGTTGTGTCAGAAGTTTCATGAATCGAATGGCTGTCATGAAAGTCCGCCTTCTAGATCCGACTTGAAGCTGCTGTACTTTCTACCAAACCATGAGTATAGTCAAGAAGCTTAGTTGTGAATAAGCTTACCCAGAATCTCAAACTCTTTGTTCTTTTGACACTTTCCAATTCTCTGCCCAGCATGACGCTATCAGAGATCAAGTCCCGTGGATAGAATGTTTCTGGCAAGAGGAAAGCCTCGAGCAGCAGGAGAACGCCGTATGCAATTGCAACGTGGTACTGCACCCACAAGATCCCAGCGTCGGCAACAAACCCTCCCACTATGCTCAGGATCAGATCTACTACTCCGTTAAACTCCAAGCAAAACTCACGAAAGGCACCAATCATCCCTCCTACATCGATCGACAAGATCCAAAGACCAGTCTTAAACCCTCTCTCGTGTTCGTACGTGACGTCTTGAACAATGGCAAAGCCTACGTTAAGCGCTGGTCCGGCGCCAATTCCTTGAAGGAGGCGGAGCACCAGATATGCCCCATAGGGCAAATTGGCAGTCGTTGTGCAGCCGGTGGCTACCAGAGCGATTAGAGTAGTGCCCAGCAGAACAGGGCGACGACCCCAGACATCCGAGAACCCTGCAAAGAGCAAGATCCCGATAGCAAGACCCAGAGCCGGGACGCCTAAGGACCAATTGACCTCGGAGTAGCTGATGTTGAAATGCTCTTGGAGCAGTGGAAATGATGCCACCGGTGCGGTTGTCAGGTAAATGGACAAGAAGCCGGCGTAACAAACAATGAATAAGATAAGTGCCTTTTCTGACTTTGACCAGTTCAGGGGATCCAACGGGTCTGAATTCGGTTGCGGGACCAGAGGTAGGCCGCGTGGGTCAACCAAGATTGCTCGTCCAGATGCCGGGACGGCCGGCGTCGCAACATGACCATCCCCACCCTCCCTCCGGAGGGCTTCAGTCACCTGGCCATCGTCCTTCATAACCTTGATGGGGTGATCGTGTGTGGTCTTGTGGTCTTGAAGTTTCGACATCATAGAGTATGCTCAGATGGTATGGAGGCAAACGTCATTGAGAGAATTCATGGGTGACATTTGATTCATGTCAGGAGACTTGCGAAAGCCAACCTGCCACTCTTCAACTCTCTAGTCTCTAGCTATCCCGTGCATTTTGCCATCAGATATGATGCTTGCACTCGATAAGCTGCCGACATTCTACGTAACCAGTGCCGGCAAATGACATCCGCATATCTCTCCGCGCGATAAAATGATATGCTATCTCTGAAGGACGCTCGCGAACAGCCGGCCTGCCCCGTCCCACATGCTTGATGTTGGACGTTTGTGACAACTAGTTGTGGCCTGTGGCCGGTGGCCGGCGGCTTATGCTGATCCGCATGAGCGGAAAATTGGCTCTTTTGAGGATTTTATCCATGAATTAGGTGCACAACATTAATGGAAGGTAGTATGCGCACCCCATGTTAGTGGGTGCGTACATGGCCGCATAGACGGGCTGGTGCATCATGACTGAATTGGATTCTTCCTAAATGGGCAAGTTTTCCGCCCCTCCCCGGTCCATGTCAAGGGTTGAGGTGAACACAGCGCCATGTGCTGAGAGAACTATTCGAACAAGCAGCGGCGAATGATTTTTGACTTTTTGATTCCAGTGTCTTTCGTGTGCCAGCAGTTGATTCAACTTTGACCAGTTCAAGCCTTTAGTTCAAACTAGGACAGTGCAACGGAAATATTTTACAACAAACGTTCAACTATGAAGAACAAACAGTACCAAGGTAGGCTTCTTTTCACAGTTCACAAAACTCTTGCTGACTTAAGATGTGAGTCTTACAGAACCAGGAGCGATGCACCCCGATCAACGCGCAAACGACCCTACTGAGCGAACAACACTCTTACGACCACGATCACCAACATCTTCGTCGAACCCAACCGGCAGGTGTGGATATGGCCTACTACAAGAAAGCAAGATTGGGTTCAAAGAGGCCGTTCTTTTGCTTAAGTTGTCGTTGCCGGTCATTGCTGCATACCTCTTGCAAAACTCCTTCCAAACCGTTTCAATGATGCTCGTTGGGCGATTCTATCCCGAGAGTCTATCAGTTGCCGCCTTCTCATACATGTTCAGCACATGCACTGGATGGCTCGTCGGAATGGGTGGCTCGACTGCTCTCGATACCCTTGCCTCCACCGCTTTCACTGGCCGCGACAAGCACTACACAGGCATCCTCCTACAAAGAGCCACGATTGTTCTCACATTGTTCTTCATTCCGGTGGCACTTATCTGGGTGTATGCCGAGCCTCTCTTCGTCGCTCTCGGCCAAGACAAATCACTATCGCATGATTCGGCTAGGTTCCTGACGCATCTGATTCCCGGTGGTCTTGGGTACATCTACTTCGAAATACTCAAGAAATACTTGCAAGCTCAAGGAATTGTGCAGCCAACGACCTACGTCCTCCTGGTCACCTCTCCCATCAGTGCTGGTCTGAACTACTGGTTTATCAAGTTTTCAGGCTTTGGTGTGATGGGAGCCCCACTGGCAACTGGTATCGGGTACTGGCTTTCTTTCTTTGGCCTTCTCTCTTACACATGGATCGTCGAGGGGTACGAGTGCTGGAACGGTTGGGATAGATGTTGTCTTGACAACCTGCCAGCCTTTTCCCGTCTTGCTTTCCTTGGGTTTGTTCATTTGGGTACGGAGTTCTGGGCATTCGAGATCGTTGCTCTTGTTGCTGGCCGCCTTGGCCCGCTGCCGCTGGCCTCACAAAGCGTTCTCATGACCGCAGATCAGGTCCTCGTTACCATCCCATTTGGCATCGGTGTGGCAACCAGTATCCGAGTCGGCGGGCTGCTTGGCCTCAGAGACAAAACCGCTTCCATCAGATCCGTCAGAGTCGCGATATTTTTGACTCTAGCTGCGGCTACTTCTGTCATGATTGTGTTGATTGCCAGCAGATCTCGATTTGCTGCTATCTTTACACCTGATGAGACGGTGATATCATACACAGCAGGGGTACTGCCATGGGTGGCTTTATTTCAAATATTCGACGGACTCAATGGGAGCTGTGGAGGATCACTTCGTGGGATGGGAAAGCAGAACGTTGGCGCCACCATCAACGCTCTCTCATATTATGTTGTCGCGCTGCCGCTTGGTACTTGGATGGCCTTTTCAGGATGGGAACTCTCGGGACTCTGGGTAGGACAGACGGTGGGCATGATTTTAGTCGCATGTTTGGAACTTGCTGTCATTCTTTTCAGCAACTGGGATGATGAGATCAAGAAAGCATTTCAGAGGATAGGTGCCTAGTTAGTCATAATCCATCACGACAAGCGCATGCAATTTTGTCAGGAACTCTTGCTCGGGCTGTGCACTAACTATTTCGATTTTCCCTCTGGAATGAATGTATGTAACTCAGATCCTGTTTGGATCAAATTGTCTCTTTTGCTCTATGAAAGCGTGATCTATGGTCTGTGAGGCGCTGGAGACCACTCTGCTCTGCAACTCTTGGCAGATATGAACCTCTGTCCTATGACTCTCATTGTATTGACTGCCCTGTTGTGCCCTCGAACTGATCCAACACAGACTCCAAGCCCACAGGCGTCTGTGACAGCACACTCGGCTTCTCATGTTTACTAGGCATGTGCATTACCCGGTCGAAATCATGGTCGGCAGCTCTCGGATACTCGGGTTCTTGTGGTGGGGCCTGCGGATAACTTTCCTGTCGTGGTTAGTTTCCACCTATCCCTACGATGAAACCATCAGCCATAAGACACAACTTCCACGAAATTCGAACGAAAAGCAGCCAGTGAAAAGAATTTCCGGGGTCTTTGCGACATTTTCATCTACGAAGAAAAAAATGTTTAGAACGTTTTACTATTGTTTCTTGGTGGCTGGATCACTCGCCCATGTGGTGCAAAGACCGCTGCAGGGCAATGACGACGCCGTGATACCTCAAAACTACGAATATGTACGGTTTTCTACCAAGAGCGGAACCCAAGAACATTGCTGACTTACTGCAGGACAACTCTGCGTTTGCGGGTATCACAACCTATGGGCTGCTGCCTCACCTCCCTTGCCTTAAGGATGAGTCTGTTGCTTTCGATATTGCCACTGTCGGTACGTATCTCAATACATGGCCCCTTTCATTTTATAATTGGGTGTATCGTTGACTTTAATGTCAGGAATCCCTTTCGATAGCGGTGTTACTTACCGGCCAGGAGCTCGATTTGGCCCTTCGGCAATTAGGCAAGCCTCTCGGCACCTGACTCTCGCGTCAGTAACTTGCGCTCTTAGGGACAGTAAATTGATCGAGCTAACAGGTCACTAGAGGAGGCTATAATGTGTAGGTTCCGCCAATATCTGCCCGTTAATTTCTCTGACTCCGTACACAGAGCTCAGCGCGTGAATCCTCTCAAATTTTGGGGACAAGCCCTGGATTGCGGCGATATTCAAGCTTCACCGTAAGGAGTAATAACACACCAAAATGATTCGTACATCGAGTCTGACATCAAACTAGCCATGACAAAGAGATTGCAATGAAGGACATTGAAAATGGATATACGAGCCTCCTCCAACGCCCGGCGTACACGAAATCGATAGCTGCTGGACCGAACCCTCTTAAAACGATCCCTCGACTTCTTACACTGGGAGGTGATCATACAATTCTTCTGCCAATTCTCCGAAGCATTCACAAAGTCTACGGGCCCGTCAGCGTTATTCATTTCGATTCCCACCTCGACTCGTGGAACCCCACAGCAGGGGCGCCATCAGATGCCGCGCAGATCACGCATGGCAGTTTCTTCTACTGGGCAAATCAGGAGGGACTAATTTCCAATTCAAGCAATATGCATGCTGGCCTTCGTACGACTCTGTCAGGGCTTGGAGACTATGATGAAGACGAGCTGTGTGGTTTTGCGCGTATCGAAGCTCGCGAGATTGACGATATCGGCACACGTGGTATCGTCAGGAAGATCATCGAGCGTGTCGGCAACGACAAGCCGGTCTACTTGTCCATTGATATTGACACACTTGACCCTGCCTTTGCTCCAGCGACGGGCACTCCCGAGACTGGAGGTTGGTCGACTCGGGAGCTTCGCGCAATCATTCGAGGGCTCTCTGACATCAACATCATTGGTGCGGATGTCGTTGAAGTGTCTCCAGTGTATGACACAAATGCTGAGGTCACATCGCTTGCGGCAGCAGATTTGATTTATGAGATCATGAGCATCTTTGTGAGGAAAGGTCCGATGACAATGGCTGATGACTAAAGCTCTCTTCAAAAGCTATTCGGAGATCAACCCTTGCTGTTTAATTACACTAGTGTCATTCTGTCTGGACTTTGCAACGCTAGACTAAGAGTGTTCGAACCAGGAGCAAGATGCAGATGCCTGTAAAAACGCTATTACGCAGAATAATACACTTAACAATGTGTTCCGATACTTGTAACTTGTTACTTGTGAATGGTGTACTTTACTTATGTGAAAATTGGTCGGAATGGACCATTACTGAAAGCTTGTTCAACGACCTAATAAGCTTCACTTGCACAGTGACGCGTTTCAAGAAGTGGAGAGAAACCTCCTTTTCTGTTGATTGCCCAATGCGAAGCATTTAAAAGTGACAGAGAAGTACAATGCTTTGGTAGGTTCCCTCTCTCTGTGCATTTATCCTAGAATAAGGAATCGATGCAAAAGTCCGGTTCCACTATTACACTGTCGTTAGTATCTCTACTCAACCTCAGTTCGGCTTACTCACATTTGTAGAACCAGTCGGGCCACCTGCTTCCTGGTTCAAGGTCTCGTATTTGCCACACATGCTCCAACGAGAGGCATACATCTTTTCGATTGTACGTAAGACCCCTTGGTGTACGAAGCCGTTCAAGAATTCTTCTCCTCGCCTCACCTTCGACGGCTTCGCAGCCAGCAATAAAAAGTGGAAACAAAACGGCATGAGAAACACGAGATGTGACAGGAATCTTCCCAATTTCGGACACGATAACCTGCACCTTCTTGCGTACCAGAGGAGCTGTAAACGGCATGCCTTTAAGGCGCGCGTAGAAGAGTAGGAATGCTGCTGAATGCATGGCCTCGTTCAGAGACCGCAGTTCCTTGGGGTCAGTGGTGCCTGTTTTGGAAAGATCCAGATCAGCTTCTCTAGCGGTAAGAAGTTCTTCTTCTAGCTTTATCATTTCCATTCCCATTGATGCATCCGATATGTATTGATTGACGGTCAAGTGAGACTTCTGAATGTCGAGAAGCCTGGCTAGGCGAAGAAGGGGATTGACGAGACGAGGAGAAAATGCGTAGATTGGGTGATTTGTCCAGTCGCGGAAGGAAGGTAGATAGTTGTGCTCAATCTCTTCTCTTCGCATCTCCAACCCACGGTAGATCTTATCGCTCACCGGTTCTCGAGAACTCTGAAATGAGCATACGGTGGATATAATACTCCATCGCAACATGGAAAGTATTAGCTGGATGAACGGTGCGAGAAGATCTGAGGAGGATTGTGGACGTGTAGAAAAGCCGATAGCAAGTGTGCCTGCGTAATGCAAATATTCTTCGGAGTCATCCTGGCTAAAGTGGTGTAGGAATATTCCGCATGCAACGATTGAGAATAGAGACCAGCTTTGTGCACCAAGTGATGGCGTTTTTGATTTCAGGGCAACAGAAGCTCTTTTTGAGCAATCCCTAACGAGTTGCTGGAATTCATTGCCACTCCTATTGGTGTTGTACTGAAACGCAGCAAAACAGAAGACCGCGGACCGTAAACTTTCGTTCGAAATCGCCATTTGTGGGATAGTGGCTATAAATGGGTCCTGAGATCCTTGGAACCTAGATAGGTTTTGTTCGTCGAGGCACAGAAATCCATCCTTCGTGATGTGCAGGAAATACTGCCAGAGGAAACGCCTCTCAGGCGATGAGAGCATATCCGGGGGCCAAGGCATCGGACAGTGAGTCATTGATAATGACATCTGGAAGGATTCCTGATGGATCCCAGCCATTGTATTATAAGAAACCAAGCTTGAACTCGTTTCAAGATCATTTAGGATGGAGTTAAGGGCTAGGTCGAAGGCTGGAGAGTCCAAGAGCTGTGTCTCCAGTTGTATATCGTCGAAGACGGAAACTAATGCGTCGTTCGAAGCCAGCTCTCCATTTGATTCCCCACTCGGAATAGCATTGTCGTCCGTGAAAAATGTCTCAAAGTGAGGATCGCCGATATTGACGTCTTGACTGGCGGGAAAACCGTGTCCCAGAATCCCACCGTCGCTTGTGCGGGGGGTTGGGAGCCAGAGATCGCTGGCTAGATCACCAGTTGAAGTTTCATCGTGACCAGCCACTGGAAGGGCCCTGGATGAAGGGCGGGCCGTTGGGCCAGAATTTGGGCTTGGGCTCTCAAATATTCTGTCGCTGGCAATATGAGTTCTCATGCTTGGCCCTTGATCCTCGGACTCTCCGGGGGTCCATATCTTGAAGACTTCCAGGTCACAAGCCAGGTGAGATTTCAAGCACAGTGAACATTTGGGGCGCTTTTTATCACACTACAATTCCATAACATTAGCTCCTTGTTTTGTTGTACATGGTGACAGCGTCATTGACCAACGAGCCGTCGGTCCACGGAGCCATTTGTCGGGAGAGACGTACCCTTCGCTTCTTCCGAACACACTGCGCACATGCCCCTCTGGTCCGTTTGCTATGCCTGGTTGGCATATTTGACAAATAGAATGTGACTGATGACGAATTTCTGCACTTTCAGGCGTGCTCTGTGGGAGGATTGTTGAAGAAAAGATTTCGGCTCGATTGGCATATGATGGGGCAACAATCAGGGAAAAGAAGTTTATCTCGGCCCGGAAGGCCATGGAGGCCGTGCGGAGCCAAGGTCTCTAGATAAGCTTAGGTAACACGCACCGGTCCGAATGCCCCGTCTCCTTAAGTCCAGGATCTGGGACGCTCGCAAATTCCCCATTTCTAGAAATCAAATGATGGATTTCGTACTGCATGTATGATACTTTGATACACTTTGCAAATTATGGTCATAAGAGGTGGGAGGGATTAAACTTAGAATTCGATGTCCACACATCATGCGAGTCGTCAAAGGATACAATGAATTTCTGTCTCAAAACAGCCCGTTGAATTTTAAAAAGCACCCTTAGTCTCTTCGGAACCTTCGATATACTCATAATGTGGTAACTCTTCCAAAGCCTCTCTTAGAACCTTAAATCCTTGAAAGAGATCAGCGTGAGGGATGGTCAAAGCAACACCCAAACGAATGCGACCATTGGGACCGGGGAAGACGAGGAGACCTTTGCTGGCGCACAGCAATGAAAACCGCCGAGGAGTGACTTTCTCAGGTCGAGTTTCGTACTCGGTGTCAAGTAAGATATTTAAGTCGGCGCCGAAAGCCGGACAATAACGCAGCCAGGGGAATTTCCATGTCGATGTCTCCGAGACCCATTTGGCGTGAATATCTCGGGCCCGCTGTTGTAGATTTTCCTCTTCGTAAATCTGCAGTGCGGTGGTCACAGCTGTGACAGCCATCGAAGACATTGAAAATGTGCTGACCGATTGGTATGGCTTCATTTTGTTCATGACTTCATCTGGACCGAACACGAATGAGGTTGGCCACACGCCTCCAGAGATGGACTTTCCCATGGTCACCATGTCCGGTTTGTGCTCGGGTCCCATCCAGTCAGAGCTCAAGAACCTGCCGGTCTTGCATGAACCCATACGAACTTCATCTGCGATGAAGAGGATGTTGAACTGCTTGCACAGCTTTCGAACGCCGATGCAAAACTCAATCTCTTCCTCCATAGACCTTGGGAGTGTAAGCCAAACTGGTCGAATGTGTCTAAAGTATAGGTGTGGAAGATAACTCACCTGGCAAGTCCATGAAGTGGCTCCATGATGACTGCAGCGATGCGTTCATGCATTTGCTCAAATATTTCTGCATAGTCCTCAACATGAAGGTAGCGAAGAACCTTGCCTGTTTGAGGATTGATGTTCGTCATGTTCTTGCTGAATGTCGCGAATTCTGATCTGCACGTTACTACAATGATACGGTGACGCGCTGATACGATGCGGTGGCTTACCTTCCCAACCAGCCTCCGGTTCCATGAGAGGCCACACTCCGGAAAGTGTACCGTGGTAGTTATCTGAAGTTCCGAGTACAAGGACCTTTTTCGGGTCGATCTTCTTGATGTCGACTCCCCATCCGCGTGCCAACTTGCAAGCCGTGTCCGTAGCTTCGGAGCCAGTTGTCATAGCCAACACCTTTTCATAGCCAAACTTATCACACAGGCGTTTGGCTAGATGAGGCCATCCCTCCGCTTGGCCAGCAATGTTGGCGAGGGTGACTAATCGCAAGTCAGCACAAGGTGATCAAGAACGCAGATGAAGTATGGTGTTCACTTTTCTTAGCTGAGTTGACCTGTGCTTCTAAAAGCCTCGGGTAACATTGCCCAAGGTTGCTGGCGCTAAATCCACAGATAAAGTCAATTAGCTCCCGCCCATCGGAATCCTTGAGCTGAAGTCAGTATCAAGTACAAGGGCCACTGCGTCCGGGAAAGGTCTTACACGAAGTCGAGAACCTTGTGCAGAGACTAGGTACACTGGCAAAGAGTTAATCCCTCCAACGCTGTAGCGCTTGTTAATCTCGTCCAGTGCACGTCCAGATGCCGGCAGTGAGAGGGAGAGCTTCGTTGTTGCGATGTTGTTCGACATGATTGACACACTTCTCTACCGAATTCACCGGACAGAAACAAACTGAGGCGATGGGTAAATGTTGTATTGAAAACGAGGTCAAGCTATTTACACGCGATAATGTCCCTTTTCAAACTGGCCTCATTCGTGCTATCAAGAGGGCCTCAGATGCAAACATCCATATCGCAATGTCCTAATCGGGAAAGTTTACCACCAGCATCACTCGAAAGTAGCCCCGCGGCCCTTTACTGCGAAATAGTGACATGCAAATGGCAAAACGTAATATTACCTCAGCTTACGGCCAAAAATCTAATGGACTTGATTCACGATTGCAAATTGCTTCGGAGAGGCACGGACGTTTGCCGCCTCGAGGATGCCGTCATCTCGGAAAGGGGGCTTGCGAGTGCCCGGAATTCTACAGCAGCCACCATATTTCAGAGCATTTTTCGCATCACGGTCCTGCCTCAAAAACGCATGACTTGATTGGCACAAGCTGGAAATGTCAAAAAGAACCTGATATCATAATCCCCTCATTTGCGGAAAAGCTGCCCTTTTTTAATCGCAGCCGCTGTCACGCGGCCACAGCACAAGGATGCATCGATACTGCGGCGGAAAAGTTGCCTAAAACGGACTGGTCGTGCTCCATCTTTCTCCACCAGCGTGCACCATCACAGCATGTTGAACTAAGCTGCGACTCGTGCCGAACAGTCAATTTATGGGCGTTTCTCGGTGCATGTTCTATGCATGAATCTTCTCTTGGAACTAAAGTAAGAACATCGGATAGATTTTCTTCTGATCGAAGGTCCGGTCGGTGCTCTCGGATTCCATCTCACATCCCGCGTTGCCCGCTATCAAGTTACCACAGGCACGCTGATAGGACTTAGTGACAGCGACGAGGATTTGGCCAGCTACACAGCAAATAACAGCAATCAAAACGGTCCTCGTCGCCTAGAAAGCCTCTTTCTTGGACTGCTCGAACCTTTCCTTTGGATCTGAGGTCTACATCATCAAATTTATTCCGTCCTTACAGCAAACACTATGCCGCAGGAACTGATGACCCTGCAACTTATCCTGGTCCTCGCATGTACTTTGGTCGTTGTGCTATGGGTTTGGAATCTCAACCTCCCAGCGACAATCAAGATTCCAGGCCCCTGGCACTTAAAATTGCCTGGCATATTCGTCAAATACCATGAACTATTCGGTCATAAAAGAAGGTGGATCCACAATCTTCATCTTCGGTTCGGTCCTGTCGTCCAAATTGCATCCAACGAAGTCTCTTTCGCAAGCTACACGGCAGCAAAGCAAATTTACAGCACTGGGAATAAAGATTTTCGAAAGACAGAGTTGTACTCTCTGTTCGAGCAAGACGGTCACATGTGAGTGCCAGCCTCGGGGTTCCTCTTGTCCATTCATGATCTGACTTCTAAAGCAACCTGTTCACTGCCCTTGATCATAACAGCGTATGAAGATCTCTTTGGGGCCGGAGACGACGCACTCTGTAGCTAAGTTGATCGATTGTAGCACAGCACCATACGGCGCCATCTAGCTGATCGGTACTCAAACTCATCGGTTCTTCGGCCTCAAATTACCGAGATGATAGACGAGCGGGCCAACACCTTTGCGGCAGTGTGTGCGGCATCAGATACAGCGGACATCTATGTGGGTTTCCTGAGGTTAGCCGCATGATCTGCCTACTGACTATCTGCAGTTTTACTTGCATGCATACGCTCTTGATTGTGTTACTGGAATGTTGTTTCATCCTCACAGAACAGACTCCCTACTCGATTCTGGTGACAAGCAGATGGTCCAACTGCTGTCTTATTCCAATACTCGTGAAGGTATATCCAACAAACGCTTATTCGAGCCAGGGCACAATTTGCGATCTGTTCTAATTACTAAAATATTCTGTAGTGATGTTTTCGACCCATTACCTCCCGTTACTAGCGCCACTTTGGGCAGCCCTGTTTCCCAAGTTCCCGGACCTGGAGCGGGGAAGTAGTATGGTGCGAAGATTTGTGCAAAACTCATTGGAAGCCGGAGACCATTCTGATTTCACCGTCGCAAGAAAGCTTTTAGAATCAAGCCACGTCAGCAGGCCTCTGGCCGAAGCTGAGTGTCTCGATCACATTGGCGCCGGAATCGAAACCACAGGCGACACTCTGTGCTGGCTCATGTGGGAATTGTCTCAACCCAAACATCAAAATAAAGCCGAAAGACTTCATCACGAGCTCGCTGAAGCAGGTATAGGAGGATCTCTTGAAGGTCTGCCATACCTCAACGCTGTCATCCAGGAAGGTCTGCGTCTGTTCGCCCCGGGGACGCTACCTCTTCCACGCTATGCGCCGAAAGGAGGCGCTTTCGTCGATGGATACTTTATCCCCGAGAATACTATCGTGGAGTGTAATTCTTATAGCATGCACCGTTTGGATGAGAGCATATTCCCGAACGCAACCGAGTTCATTCCCGAGAGATGGCTGGATCCTGAAAGCCACACTGATCGACAACGGCTATTCTTCGCCTTCGGGCTTGGCCCGCGGACCTGCATAGGCCGACAGTAAGTTTGACTATTTCAAATGATTCAGCTTTCAGATGAACATAAGCGAGAATTGTACAGATTGCTAACATGATGTACGTTTTGTAGTCTTGCTGTGGCCGAGATGAGAGCTTGTTTGAACGCAGTCTATTCCAAGTATCGCACCAGACCCGCACCGGATATGCGTTCAAGCATGGAGATGGACGACCAAGTCCTGACATCCCGTCCGCGAGATTTGTGCTGCAAGATTCAATTTGTGCCTTGGGGACCCGGAGCATAATGTGTTGAAGTATCTTCATCATATAATGCAGACACGAGGTCTCTATAGATATACCCTCCCGCAGCTCAATCGTTTGTCTCACAGTCGAGGCTATGTATATATGAATCTTGTCTCCAAATAAACTCGCAGGTATCAGTCGTGAGTTTCCAGCATTGCTACGCTCCGTGGAAGCTTGCTCTTTTATCAGACTTAGGTACAGTTGCTAGCATTATTATTACTTGACGACGCTCCGCTTTTATCTATCGTCATGTCTCATTAATCATTAAATCCGCCCAAGCAAGATATCCGAACCCATCCTGAGTAAATCCATACACTCAGCCAGCATTCCAGTACATGTCAATCTCCTTGATCCTGAAGACCGCGTCTTGGGACGGCGGCCCCGCACTCCAGTACTTATCGCCGTCGGCCCAGTTGTTAAATACCCAGGTGCCGGCCACCGAAGGAACGTTCTTCGTCGAAGTCCAGACCAGTTTGCCGTCAATGTAGAACATGGTTTTACCAGGCACCCAGTCCAAGCGGTACTCGTGTTCGGTGGTCGTCGGGTTGGCTGGCAAAGCCACAGGGTTTGTTGTCTTCAGGCCACTGCCATCTATGGCTTGATTTGAAAGCCAAAGATATCGCGTTCCAGATTTGTTGTTGGCAGTTCTAGCTGCATCAGTGTTGCTGTTGGATTGTCCATTCGACAAGAACTCAATGTCCGTTTCTTGGGTATCTGACTGATAGAAGAACATTCCTGTGTTACTGTTAGGATAGAACTTGGGAAACAGGGAGGGTTAGATGTTACCGTTGCAGACTCCGGCCGGTTCGGATAGGATAGCAACTGTCCGAACAGATGCATACTTGATTTTTGACGTAGTCGTAACCTCAGCCGACCTGAATGACTTGTTCTTTACCCAAAGTTGTAGGTATCCCCCGCCAACAATCACGTTCGCGGGTGAAAAGACGTACGTGTCGACCGGGTAGTTGCTGGCTTTTAGGCCCGCGGGAAGCGAAGTAGCCTTGCTGAAATCATAATATGAATTCTTCTGGAAACCATATTTGTTGTCGACCATCCACATCCCTTTGGTGTATACGCCTCGCGAAGAGCGTTGCGCGGTCACCAAGCCTGAGACAAAAAAGGCAAGCACAATCGATAAGGCAACCATGATGTGTTTGGTGGCTTGTGTTGATGGAGTGTCTGTTTCCCCCCTCAGTCTTCAACGTCGACCACATCATATATACCGTTCGACGCCTTCAAGGCCTCTTGCGAGCGGCCGATGATCGTCCTAGACAATTTTCTTGGTCCACGGCGTGGCGCGCTCCCGTGCGGGCCAGACGCTCTTAGGGTCCCGCGGCAGTGGCCGGTGGCTATGGCTTTCATGGCTAAGACATTCACAAGACGCCAAGATAGAATCGAGACAGGTCCGGAGATTTTGTCTCCCTGACCGTTTCCGGGGTGCGCTTAGCCCCAAAGCGGCATTCCAACGACGCTTCTTACCCTGAACGGCCGGAAAAGCTCCTTTCAGTCAACAGCCGGGAAGATGGCTAGGCTGGTGATTTTCACTGTAGAAGACTGGGCATGGGTGGCTGAGTATGCTTGCGGCTCACGGCATTTCACTCCGGCCAAGCGAACCTTCGTTTTCACCGGGCACAACACAGGATGGGCACTCAATATGGCCGATCCAGAGACAAGCCTAGGTCGAGCTTCGTCACTCGGCCGCAAGAAGACCTAGATTGCCTCGATTCGTAGACGTGCCAAGATCGTAACATAAAGGAAGAAATCAGGGTCCAAGAAGACCCTATATCTAAATTCATCACACTGTCGATCCGGCTTCGTCTCTTCAACGGCAGATGTTACGTCGCAATTTGATATTCCCAAGAATGTGACAGCGCCTCTTTGGCTGGCACGTCATGGTGTCCCAAGCCTCGTCTACTGCACAAGTGATGTGACGATGCAGGACCTGGAAATTTGCATGAGGCAACTTTGATCGGTGGCCCCGCCCATGAAATTCATATGAATAAGCCACATGGTAAGTGAGTCGCGAACCGCACTTCCTTCATCTTTCGTGGTGTCTCGCCTAAGAAATTCGGTCTCGGTTGGCCACGATGCGGGTCGTACAAGTCGCATGCTGGGCGAGCAATCCACAACTCATTTGGGTTATCCACTATCCTCGATAGTCTAGTGGTGAGGATATCGGCTTGTCATTAACACGATTCGCCGGGGACCGGGGTTCAATTCCCCGTCGAGGAGATTTTCTTTTGCTTTTGTGTCTTTGAGAAAAGAGGGCGGATGGATGCATGTGTGTGAGGTTTGTTTACAACCGTCTTTGGCCATCTCACACACTGGTATTTAAGTGCCATCAAGGCTTTCACCCCGCACAGCTTCTGATGTAACGCGCAAAATGATGGACTGTATTTGCGGTCACTGCTTGTATTGTGCTAGCCATGTCCTCTTCATTATTATTCGGGTGCGACGCGGACGAAGCAACATTGCCATGCTTAACGGAGAATGCTAAATAAAGCGCTGGACTGTAGTTTCAGCGCAGCGTTTTCGGTGTTGTCAGACTTGCTAAGTTTTTCGCAACGAACACAACATAGCGAACAGAAAATTTGACTGCGATAAATCAACAGAATTCGTATTCTGATTGCATCAGCATTCCAGCAGGTGGCATGGTCCAGTCCGGCCATCATCGGAGCGGAGAGGCGTGGGGGGGCACGGGCACAGATTCGGATGGCCCCCGTAGCCGAGCGGACCCCGGCGTCTGGTATGCCTGGGATTATTAGTACGGAGAAAAGCGAAGGAAGGCAACAACTTCCACTCAGTACCACAGGTTTTACCGTAGTCCTAAGTCTATTGCGGCTGCAACGGAGAACCAAGCTCTCTCTGAAATGTCCAAGCCGATGAATACTCTGCATTCCGTTGTCAATAATGGTTTCCTCAACGGTCTAAGGCCTTTTCAATGCCAGCAGGGTGCGCTTGGTCAACTTCTCCGCTTAGCAACGGAGACTGTCAGCCACCGCCTTATCATCCGTCCAGGCCATCCAACTCGTCTAGATCGTGAGAAAAAGGCAGTGTTGATCCTGCCACGGAAAGTAAGCTGATTGTCTGAGGCCACCTGAACAGCCTCAATTAGTCGATTAATCCTTCCCCTGCGACGTGACTGATTTCAGTTGACGAGACATCACCATGAGACGTTGATACAAAAGCTTCTAGTTATCCGCATAACCTTCCTTAGTTATCATTCAACCAAACAATCACTCAAATTCGTCTCCTGCTCTTCCAGTATTTTCTAATTATCTCGTCGATCTTCGCTAGCACACCGATCTCCATTACAATCCATAGTACTTTTTCCAAAATGAAGTTCTTCGCCGCAGTCGCTATTATTCCCACCATTGTCTCTGCGCTGGCCATTCGTGCGGCTCCGCCCCCGGCTCCAGGAAACAACTGGGACGTGTACGCTCAGGACACAGCTCAGCTCAAGTCTCGTGGCCTTTGCCGCGCCTATATCGGCAGGGACAAACCCGCCAAGGCCGTCTGGGGCGCCAACATGTGCACCGACGTGTGCGCACCGGCGAAGCAGCTGGCCAAGGATCAGAAGGTGTTCAGCGTCACTTGCCTCGGCTCCGGACCTGCGAAGGGCGACTTCCCTGACCCGGAGGGCTACCGGTACAATCTCGGACAGTGCAAATGCAACGACCCGGTCATTAACTGGATAACCGAAAAGATCGTCGTCGAAGGTCTCCCCGCCCTTGGGTTGGTCACCTGCTCTGTTTTCAAGATTGCCGCTACGGAGACTTTCGATCTTCTCGCCGGCGTTGCTCGCGGCGCGCTTGGAACGGGCACGCAGACCTTGGCCAAGGTGGCGAAAACACTCATCAAGGCTGGGAAGGGGTCATCGGACTGGGAGGCTTACGTCAAAGAGCACCTTGCCGCTGGGGACACGTGCGATTTCAGCGCCGCTAAGCTGTTCAACGACTTCGGCAAGCTCACGGACTACAACATTGCCAACGTCATGTAGATTGTATACCGGTGGTTCGCTACCAAATCTCGACGCAGCCGGGGAGGAAATGTTTCAGAATATGTTATATGTCACTCGAGAAGCGGAAAAGGCAATCTTGTGTGTTCTGTTACTTGTAGTCATTTGTTTGGTCTTTTGGTTCCATTTAGCAGTGTGTTGGTTCAAGGTTCTGATAGGAACCGCATGAGACTTATTTGGAGACTCCTATATTAGATTTTATCGGCAGGATAGACAGCATGTTCACAACTAAATATTATCTACACCGATACATAAGACAGCAAACCTGCCTGTCGAAGTGTCCGAACACTATTGTGGTTGACCGAGCGACAGCCCGTTGATCCAAACGGCATACCTGTTTTAGGCTCAAGACAAAGTGTTAGACATTATCTCGTAGAACCGTAACCTCCGCGTAAGACGCATCGCCGTCTTTGGTGAGCATTGGCTCGGTGCGGTTGCTATACGTCAACTCGGCAAAAGCCTCAACAATCCCAGCAACCACCTTCGCCGCTCTTCCAAACTCCAAAGTTCCCAACTCAGCCTGCAACAGCGCCTTGGCTGTCTCCGGTAGAGTGATGTTCAGAGAAGCAATGAGAGTCGGGAAGTCTGTGAAGCTCGCATGGACGGTCCCGGAGACGCTCAAGTCGGCCTTCTTGCCGCGCAGAACACTGAAGAACTGGTCCCAGGTGGGGTCTTCGGCGGCGTGCCCCGGTCTTCCCACAAGTGCAAACGGCCGGTCGAGTCCTTCGTCAAGGACGGGGCTCAGAAGCTTGCCGTCGAGGTCAACACCTCCCAGAATGCGAGGCTCTGTCAACATCGCCGCGGCCGCGGTGGCACCGCCGAGGGAGTGGCCGAACATGATGGTACGGTCTAGGTCAATGCCTGCAACGGGATTCCTGGAGAGATGGGAGAGAACGAAGGACGTGTCTTGGGCCCGGACCTATTCCAATGTCAATATCTATTCTACTTGATCCACGAAGTCGGGTGTAATACCTTGGTCAGGAATTCCAGCTGTGTTGTATTATCAGTGTCCAGGTTCACTGCCGTGTAGACGGTGCCGTCGGGAAACTCGACATATGACGGGTCGTAAGGATGATCGATGGTAACAACCGCGAAGCCGCGACTTGCAACTTCTCGTGCCATGGCACCGTACAGCAATCGCGGATTGCCCCACCCAGGCGAGAACAACACGAGAGGGAACTTGGAGCGGGTTCGTCGACAAGCCCGACTCTTTGTCTTGCAAAAATCCATCTCGAAAGAGGAAAACGTGCCGTTGGGAAGACCCACGGCAGTTCCAAGTTGATCGTATGCCTTGGCGACCAGCGGTGTCATGTATGGCACTCTTTCCCGACCAGAACACGGGGTCTTGGCCTCGTCGACAGGGAGGAAAGTCGAGATCATCACTTGGCGGGCGTGCGAGTTGTTGCTGGGCGCGTATGGATCCATCCGAGAGTGGTCGGTGAGAGCTTGGACCGACATGGAGACGGCATAAGGCCCGGTAGGCGGCGACACGAGGACGGCCTGTGCAGATGAGGCCAGGAGCCAAAGGATGTAAGTGTTGAACATGGCTGTGAAGCTTGAGATTCAGGAAATGTTTTTTGCTGGGCTTTTGGCGGTGTCTGAGATGAGTTCGAGTTGCTAATCAACTTTCGAATTTGAATCACGAAGTCGAATCATCTTATACACGATACTTGCCAACTCGCGATGCCTGACGGATGTCATTTCGCACGATTGCTTCCCGTATTGGGCAAGCGGAGTAGAGTTTGATGGGCTGAGAAGACCCCAGCTAGCGTCTGAGAAGCGGTTCACCGTTCACCTCTTCAATCTCTATTTCAGCTGGAGGTACCTTGTGGTGTGATTGGCGAATAATGCCCATTTCCGCCCTGTTCGTCGTTAGCGCCGCCCGATTGCTTCCATTTTGGGCTTGGTGTATCAACACAGCCCTCCACTTCTAGACGCATCTCTCTGTCGCTCCCCATGACTACTTCATGCCAGGCACTCTTCAACGTGGCTTGCTTCCCAGCAGGACGGCTTTTTTCCATATCTAGAGCAGGAGGGAATGATACGAAGAATCCGTGGGACAGAGCTTGGCCTAAACAGGTGCTGTTCTCGCGATGCCCTTGGGTCCATTCGACCGTCGGACCAAAAGGTCTCGCTGCGTTGCGTGCGCCACAAGTCACTCTAAGGTAGGCAGCCCGTGTATCGCCAACGCTCTACATACTCACCTCTTCTCAATCCGCTGACTAGTTCCAGTGCTCTGGCTTGAGTCCTTGCACAAGATGTCGGAAGCGGGGAGTCGAATGCCTCTTTCCAGGGTCGCCGCCTGAAGCCAAGGGTGCCATCATCAAGCTGGAGAGAGGGAGGATCCACACGCCCAAAGACTTTCGGCCTCCGGCAGCGGTGCACCCTCGAAAGCCCATTCCAGATGTCACGTTCGGTTATTTGTTCTACTTCGACATGTTTGTACGAACGAACAGTTTCACTGGACGAGAGCCATCTTTCATTTCCGACGTCCAACGCTTGATAAAGTCCTCTAGTGATTCGGCCTTACATCCGAGTCGCTCGCTGTTCGATGCCATGCTTGCACTCGGCGCCATGCAAGCCCACTCCCTGGGCGCTATGGCACATAATGATAACTTTAGATTCGCCTTGCGATCATATCAACAATCTCTGCATGAACTGCGCAATACAGTCTCCAACTTCTCTCCGGCGAAGAGAGACTCCATAGCCTGGTCCACTTTCTTTCTCGGCTTATTCGAGGTGAGTGAGGCTCAGGCATCATCATCTTGGTCCCGCTTAAGTGCTGACGCAATTAAAGCTGCTGCAAGACGCCTCTGGACAAAAGTGGCTTCAGCACATGGTCTTCGGCACAGCGCAGGCCCTTGTCGCTAGCGGTCCTGCGGCGTGTAGATCGGGCACGATGAGAACGTTCTTCATCCAGGCGCGCACGTTCGAAGCATGCAGGTCAATCATTTTCAATCAGCCCAGTTTCCTAGCACATCCAGACTGGATCGGCTTGACAGGCGATCTCACGACCGATTTGGATGAAATCCTCAAGTTGGTAGTACTAAGTTCTAGTCTGCGTGTTCGGTAAGTTTCCCAATAAATGCGGATCATTCGGACTTTGGCAGATAAGAGACTGATGCATAAATATGAAGGACGGCCGAATTCACAAGCAAGGCGTTTCCAGCTCAGGCAACGTCGGACGTCCATCTGAGCGAAGGCCTGGAGTTGGCAACCGAGGGCTTCAGCTTACGAGAAGCACTTGAATCCTGGGAGTTTACTACATCGTTTCTTCCGGACGCAGCAGACGAGAGGTTGTTGTCAACTGCATACCACTCGGCCACCAGCATCTATCTGTCAGGGAATTACGATTATGACCTGGCACAGTGGCAGGAGCTTGGCGTTGCGGTGCCAATATTGAGTGCAAGGCGGATTGAAGAGCATTTTGACGCCATCGTGGCGACAGTCAAAGAGGCTTTGAAGGGATCTAGTCTGTCGCCGTTGCTATTCTTGTTTCCACTGAGGGTTGCCGGGGCACGCGCGAAGAATTACCAGCAGCGAGAGGCTGTCGTGGACCTTCTGCGAAGCGTTCGACGTAGTTTTATCGTGGCGGATGCGATGCTGGAGGAGCTGAGAGAATTGTGGACTAGGACTTCTGGCTAAGTGTAGTGTCACGTATTGGGGCGACGAAGACGGGAATGCCGAAACCTACAACAATTTTGATCAAACGTTATGTTATGCTCTTACATACAACCTAGCTGGAACGAGACTCTCGTTCCTCAGAACGAATGTGGATAACTCCCAGGAATGAAACAAACAATACTAGTTGAAGATGACTGATTTGGAGACAGGTTCTTCAAAGCTCTCAGGCCAAAAGGGAGAATCATTAAGAGCAGAGTCTGTCACACGCCGGGTATTCTATGACACGGTGGAATGCGTATATTCTGTACAGCACACGCACGCCCATGAGATCGGAGCGACTTTTCATATCAGGTAGTGTATAATCTATCTCCACGTCGGTTTGATCTCTGTTTTGATAGAAACACAACGACAGAAATCGAAGTGGCTTCTGCAGACAACTAGACTAACAAATGGGCTAAAGGTAGTGAGGGATTTCAGCTTAGATAAGTACAAAGAAGGAAAGTATGCATGAGAACCTTGACCCGAGAAACACAGCAATAGGGATCAGGAGATGGGTCTGCACTTCGCGGGGTAGACTTTAGAGTGTTCATGTGGGGTGGTGTTTGATTGTGTGGGGTGCGGTCTTGATGTGGGGGAAGAGGTTGGACACCCACGAGCAAAAGAGCGTACTGCATAGTTGAGCTGGAAACAATGTGGGAGTGCGAGACAGCAATCGGACGATGTTCGTAGAATCGATGAGCTATGGAGTACATGCACCACCAAAATCCCTTCCTAGCTTCCTATCTGTTGCAGGCTACTCCTGGGGGGGGCTCGTCCTTCTCACGTCCTCCAGACTCACTCAGATGCGTGGTGGTTGCAGCTAATTATTAGACAACGTAAGTATCATTCGTGCTGTTTCCATGTTTTCCTTTCGAACTGGTTCCATATTCAATTCGTGGCTCTTCTGCACCTAGACCCATCCTAACGCATCCATTACAGACCGAAGCGCACAAGACGACGTCATAGTAAGGATTCAGAAGATTGATCAGCATGGCATCGCATGATCCGTATGTTATTGTGGTTGGGGCAGGGCCGTCAGGTCTTCTTCTGAGCTTGCTCCTTGCTCGCAACAATGTATCGGTGACACTGGTTGAGAAGACAAAGACACTGGACGAGCAACCGAGAGCCACTCATTATGCCGGACCTGCGGTTGAAGTCCTGCATCGCGCCGGCGTCATGGAAGATGTGGTCCGTCAAGGATTTTATCCGAACAAACTCACATACAGGACCTTCGAAAACAAGGTGCTCGGTGCTCTGGACCACACCATATTGCCAGAGGATCCCAACAGACTCGTCTGCCTACCACTAGATCAGCTTGGTCGTATCCTGCTTTCGCATCTGGAGAAACAAGCCAATGCTAAGATATTGTGGGACTATGAAGTCATCAACATCCGCAACTACAATGGCCTAGGTGTCATCACCGTGATGACTACGAGCGGTACTAAGGAACTCCGGGCAAAATACGTCGTTGGTTGCGACGGTGCCAACAGCATAATCAGAAGGAAACTGTTCGGCGACTGGGAATTTCCGGGAAGGACTTGGGATACACAAGTCGTGGCAACAAACGTGAGTCTTAGCGGGCATGCTTCCATGGAAAGTGAGAACAAGCTAATTATAGCTTGCAAGGTGTACTACGACTTCCACAAATTTGGCTACGAGGACGCAAACTTTATCGTGGACCCAGAGCACTGGTACATGGCATCGAGAATCTCCAAGGACGGAATCTGGCGCGTCAGCTATGGTGTACCCGCTGCACTAACCAAAGATGAGCTGCTTGCCGTACAGGAGGAAAATTGGAGAAAGATGCTGCCTGGAAACCCCTCTCCGCAGGATTACCGCATCGTCAATTTCAGCCCGTACAAAGTTCACCAACGTCTTGCAGAATCAATGAGAGTGGGGCCGTTCGTGCTTGCTGCAGACGCTGCTCATTGCAAGTGTTTCTTGTCAGATGTTACTAAAACAGCGCCATGCTAACATAACACAGTATGCAATCCTTTCGGCGGCTTAGGTCTTACCGGTGGCATTGTCGACGTGGGAGGCCTGGTGGACTGCCTGGTTGGCCTTCACGAAGGCAAAGCCGATGACGGTATTCTGGACATCTATTCCCAGGTCCGGCGCGAGAAGTACCTTCAGTTCATTGACCCCGTGTCGAGCTCAAACTTGGTACGCATGTACGACAGTGACCCGAGTTCGCTGGTGGAGAGGGATGAGTTCCTCAAGGCTATGAACGCGGTTGGCAACGACCCTGTCAAGATTAAGGCACTCGTTGATGGTACCAAAGCTATCACTTACGACTTTTCTCGGCATTTCAACGGCGCGGTGGAGCCTTAGGCTGAAGTGAGCCTGTATTCAAGGTCCAAGTCTATATGCAGATGAAGAATCCAGCATGCACATTTTTCGCATTTGAAAGCAAATGTCTACTCGTTCAAGTCATGATGGCTCTAGCAACTTTAGTGACACATGCTCCTTTTCATATTGGAATTCCTCGACTCATCGCACCGTTCTTCTCTTCTAGGTTATCGTTAATGCTTTGGCACAGCAGGTTTTTGAACCATTGCATTGCAGAGGCCACAAGGACAGTGTTCATTGCCACTATTTGAGCTCACGTCATGATCTAGGTAGAACGAGCAGGTGCCGACTCATAAAGAATAGCTGTGCAGTGAAGGATCTCACAGATTTAGGTTAAAAGGGAGAGTTCTCAATAGACTGGGACATGAAGAATGATAAAGTTCATGCGTTCGTGACGGTGCTGATAACTGGGTTAAAATGTTTACGTCAAATCAATAGACTACATTCACCGATTCCGAGCACTCCATCCTGATGAGATCGGCGTGCGCCTGACTTCTTGCACTGACTTTGACACTGAATGGTGCCTTATTCTTCGTGATTTGTGGAATGGTCATGGTGTTGATACTCTGCCCTGGAATCTGCTCAAAGTTGAAGCAGTACAGTAACCGCGCAACCGCAATCCACACGTTCATCTCGCCAACCTTCCAACCAGCACATACTCTGCGACCTAAGTGAACGTTACTCAGCATATGCTACAGTCATCGAAGAGCAGAACTTCACTAACCTGGCCCGAAGCTCCAATGTCCCTTTAGGACATTCTCGACATCATTGTCCAAGAATCTTTTGGGGTAAAAGCGCTCCGGATCCTTGTATTCTTTCGCGTCCAGTGCAATCGCCCATGCATTCCACGTGAAGACCGTCCCAGCTGGGAATTTGTAGCCTTCGTATTCATCATCTCTGGTCAGCATGTGAGGGGCGCCTATTTCTGCGAGGTTAGGCCTCCATCGGAATCCTTCCTTGACCACAGCAGATAGGTACTTCAGATCTGGCTTATCGTTCCACTCTGGAAGACGCTCTGCGTTGGCCCCACAAACTTTGTCGAGGTGTTCGCGCGCTTGAACGACCCAGTCGGGATATGTGGCCGCCGCAGCAATGATTTGGCCGATGCTAACACGTGAAGTATCACTGCCAGCTTCCATGAGAGACCCAAAGGTAAAGAGCCGTTGTGTCTGTGACATGTTCTTGTATTCTTCGCTCTTGATAAAATCGGTCGCGAAGCACTGGCGTTGCGTGCCATCCTTGAGTTTCGCTTCGGTCTTTGCAAGTTCCCTCTCATAAACCCTGACGACACAGCCCAGTGAGTTACTTCGCGCTGATCCTGCAGCACACGCGGAAACTTACTTGTACGTCTTGCGAAAGATTGCATCACCACGCGGACGCCACCACTGCAAGAATTGGGGGAGCTTCTTGAAAACGGGGAAACCGTCGACGAGATTTACGCCAGGCTGCTGGTTCTCCAGGAAAAGATCAATCGTCTCAAAGAGCTCCTCGACCTCGGGATCATCCAGCACAGTTCGCCGGCCAAACACGACACTCATGATAACGGAGTTTGCGTATCGACCATTAGCCGACCACCACCTATCCGGTTTCTCGAGGTAGTCCCACAAGAGATGCTTCGATTCTAAGTCTTGAAAAGGCTTAAAGACGTCTTCCTGACGTGCCATCAGGACATTGTGCATGATCTTCCTGAGGGTTCGCCATTGGTCGTTGTACGGCATCAGGACTATGCGGGATCCCCGAGATATAATGTCTTGCGTCATGGGAAAGTCCGGCCGAGAGCTGTAGATTGCCGCGCGACGCTCTAGCAGATCATATACTGTTCGCGAGGAATTGAGGAACACCCAAGTCGAACCTCCAAACTTACAAGTAAACCTAACTCCAGGTGTCAGTCATCCGCCTTGGTGCTTTCTATGAATCAGCCATTTTAGAGATCACAGTAATAGACTCACATCTCGCCGTATTTTTCTGCCTTTTCCTTCGCCCATGGTCCTTGCTGTATGGCAGGGATTTGGAAAGAATTTCCAAATATAGGAATGCCAGGTATGCGGCCAGGAAACTTGTACTTTTGGTCACGTCGTATTCGCTCGTATATTTGCGTTGCTATCACAAGCGCGACCGCAGTGACAACAACCGCCACGACTACCGTACCTGGCTCGACTGACACAGACACGGAGAACATGTCGAAATCTGGTGGTGAAAGGGCTGCCTGGTTTGATCAAAGTGGAATGAAAAGGTTTCGTTTTTTACAGTGGATGTTTCTATGTTTGTCTTCACCGGGAGATGCTAGCACTGGAATTACCATGATCATCGTCACTGTGTACAAACCAATCCCGGACGACTGGATTTCATCAAGCCGCACGTGGAGTATGTGGGGTAGACGGGAACGTAGTTCTGTTTCCCAAGACGATCCGCAGAACGATCGATCTGACAGGTTGCCGCAATTATCCGTTAGGCCCCTCACTTAATTCATACGTACTTTGTATCTTACGCACAATCGCTCGCCTTCAACTTCCGGAGGTTTCCACTTGTGCTGTCATGAGGGCGCCTTAAACTTCGAGTCAATAGAGTATAAAGTCATCTTTCCACGTAAGCACAGGCGAAACGAGCACCCGAGACATGTTGACTCTTAGTCCTCACATCAATCCATATCGACGACCTTCAACCCGTTTTCGACTTGCTGTTATAGACGAAGTATACATCTTCAGATACCCGGACTGCTTCCAAGTTTCCAACCACTTTCGGACCATGTTGGCCTCAATCCCTTTGCCTCGTTGTACCTTAGATGATTCGAATTGTACACCTTCGCCATTACCACCTCCTTCAGCCATAGCTTGGAAGAACCCAAGGAGCTTCAACGCCGGCATATCGTACCCGTTGGAACGGGAGGAGTCAGCCGCTGCTTCCAATCTGGAGACCCATTCCTTCATTTCGATCCGCTCGAGTCTCCGCCCAGAAGCTTCTTCCAAACTGGAGAGCAAGCCCGCCCATGAAGTAGTGCTCGGATTCGTCAGATTTATTACATTATATGATCCTTCAGTCGTCGACGAGAGAACGACTTCCTTGATGGCTTCCGCACATACGTCCACCGGAAGCCAGTCCACCGTCGTCTGTAGGACCGGCATCGCTGATAGAAGATCGAGCGCAGTCATCATCATGATTGGCCACATCTCAGTGTGGTTCCAGGTGCCCAGCTGGGAATGACCGCTCAGCTGACCTACCCGAAGTATTTGAACGGGTACGTTGAACGTAGATGCATAGTTCTGCGTAATCTGCTCGATGATGAATTTGGATTGTGCGTAGCCTGTCTGGAGGGCACTCTCAGGATCCGGCCCCAATGGAAGTTCTGGGATCACTCCGGCGGCCTTACTCCCCATGGCCGCGGCGACACTACTCATGAACGCAAACATTTTCTTCGGTCCTTTTAGGCAAAACGACATCAGATGCATGGTGCCTGGTGGATTGTTAGCATAATTCGCGTTCCAGGGTAGACCGAACCGTACCTCTAAGACAGTCATCGTCAAATTGCTGTATCGGCTGGTTAAAGTCGAGCTTCCAGGCATTGTGCATCACCACCGTCACCTCAGCCTCAACTTTCTCGTATGTCTCCGGATCCAAACCCAGCCTTGCGTCCTTCATATCGTAGTTGACAGCACGAATCTTTGTGCTCTTCCACACGTCTTCGGCGTAACCCCTCGATTTCAGCGACTGGACAACCTTTTCTTGTGGATCGCGACCTCGCACTGCACAGTACACCTTCTTGATTGAGGGAAGTTGCACCAGTACTTCCAGCAGTGCGCTACCCAAAGATCCACTGGCCCCTGTGAGATAGATAACGTCCTGGCCCCCGGGTGCTGCTTCATGGTCTTCGTTATTCTGTACCGTCCACCCGTTCATCTCCTGATTCATTCGGTTGATAGCAGATTGAATCCACTCATGACGTTGAGTCGTAACCATCGCTTTAGAGTCCAAACCCTCGCCTTTAGGACGCTGAAGAAAGCCTAATAGGCTTTTTGCCGTCGGGTATTCGAAGATGAACATGAGTGGGAAGCTTCCGAAGGACTTGACCAGCCTAGAACGTAACGACACTGCCTGGATGGAATCGAGCCCAAGTTCGTACCAATTTCTGTTCTCTTCGATTTCCTCCAGTGGGAGCCCAAACACCTCAGATGCTGCCTTCTGGATTGTCTCTATTGTCGGAGAACCAGCAACACCGTTGGAGTCGGTTGTCGAGCCAGAGTCATCGCCAAAGAGTTTGCTGTATAGAATTTCGACCCGATCTCCATACAAATCCCAAGCGTTTTTTCGTCGGACGTTCCCTTTGGGTGTGACCGGCAGAGTCTCTCCTTTCTCGAGAACGAGAACCAGCTCCCGAGGAATTTTGGAGAAGGCTGCGGATTTCTCGTTACACCCTGCGACCACTTTCCATACCTCGTTCTCTATGTCGACGCTAGACCCTCGGCTATCGACAGCTTGCCAGTCTACCTCGACAACAACAGAAGGGCAGGACTTTCCGGTCCCGTAAACCGCCGTCTTTGCGATGATGGTTGTCTTGTCTTCTTCAAAAGCCATAGCCAGAGCAGAGGCGTGAGTCTTCTCGCCGTTGGAGTGGACAAGGATATCATCTCGCCGTCCCTGGAGGACAAAGTAACCGCTTGCCGGCGGATCTTCGAGGAACATGTCGCCCGTGCGGTACGGATTCGGTGCCGCATCATCTAACCAGAGCTCTGCCGCGAGCGGAAAGCCTTTGTAAACAACACACTCGAAAAGTCCGTCGCCGAGAGGTTCCATGCGCACCAGAGGTGAGCCTGGGTAGAGATTGCGGAAGCGATATACGTCTGGATTTTCTCTTGTATGCGGGATGGTGCGCATTGGTGGTCCGATTTCTGTTGTTCCGTAGGTGGTCTTCACATTAACTCCGAGCGCTTGTAGTTTCGCAACCATGCTGGGCGACAGCGGAGCGCCACCAGGTTGCAAGACCTTGAGCTTCACAAGTGGTGTAAAGTCTTTGGTGGTGAGGTTGATGTACTCGTACAGATCATCGATGACGGAAGGTGCGCAATGAGTGCAGTCCACGGTATGACCCAGGGAATCGAGAGTTCTCCAAGCTGTTAGGATAGAACTTGGAGCCGGTGGCCATTTCTCAGGCGGCATGGTCGTTGGAAGTCCGTAAGGAATACCCGACAGAACGGTCGACAAACCAGCGACATGAAATCTAAGGCCTGTGTTAGAAGTTCCGTGGTATACCGGGCAAACTGAAGGACTCACAGTGGAAAGCAGAGATACCAATTCTCGATGAAGTATTCCGGGAGGCGGCGGTATATTCTCGCAATCTGGCATAGACTTCTGTTGGTGTGGATGATTGGCTTTGGCACCCCAGTAGAACCCGACGAATGGATGATCATCGATTGCAAGTTCCACTCGTCGCTCGTCTCAAACACAACACAGTCTTCTGAGATCGCTCCATCGCTTTGCTGCAACTCAGCGAGGGTGATCAGTTCAACGACTGGCGATGTGCAGGCTGCGTCGCCGAAGAGCGACGCCTCATTCGCCTTGTCGCTGATGACCGCCACCGCGTCGCAGACTCGCAGCAAATAGTCTCTGGTATCCGGCGCATTCTTGTTGCTGAGGAGCAAAGACCGTATGTGCAGGTAATTCAATGCGATTTGAGTAATGAGATAGTCGATTGAATTCCCGGTTCCCAAAAGCGCAATTGTGGGCTGCTGGCGCGTCTCGTTGGAGGCTTCCAGCTCTTTACGGAAGCGTCGTGAATAATGCGCCGCTGCTTGGCGACAGAGCTGGTGGAGCTGAGACCAGTCAAGAACACTGAAAGTGTCTTTGACAGGGTAGATGAAGGCTGGCTGAGAGGGCTGGGTGGCGGCGTTGTGCTCGACCAACTTGGCGATACTCGTCAGATTTGGATTTGAGAACCTGGTTTCGGTCCCGTCAGCCTTCACTCTGTGTAAGTCGAGATGATTCGATTGATTCATACTTGGTGCTGTGCGGATCGCCATGCATGTACCAAAGTTCTCTGAGTCTCTCATCTGAATCAGGGGCGGGAAAGACGGTCGGGTCAGCCGGGTTCGGCATCGGTGTCTTCAGATCGGACGTTGCAATTGGTGCCATGTTGGATTGGTGTGAGTTGATGCTAAAGTCGTCGTCCTCGACGCTGACGACAGAAGCATTCTTAGGAACATCGAGGTCATGATGAAGCTTCACATTTGACTTTCTGCTGAGTAAACCAGCTGTTTCGTGATCCCCGGCGGAATCCCCGCATGCAGCACCACCGCGGAAACCACCCGATCGATAAGATTATGCCCGGGCTATCAACATTTGCTGGGTTGCAGCAAGGAACACCAAGATAGGCCAATAGTTGAGGCGATAACTTTCAGGCATGCTGATAGCGCCCCGGCACTTATCACGCCTATCTCCATGCCATGGTATGACATGACCGGGGAACACAAAGCTGCCACGAGCGATAGCCGAGACAGCTTCGATAAGCAGCTCTGTAGAAATGAACAAAGAACGCCGGAGTGTAACGAGCAGAAAAAAACGAATCGAATAACTGCCCCGAGTCTTCGCACGCTCAGACACGTCGCTTCTGCTCCTGCCCCAATTTGACTTTCTCTTAGTAGTTTCAATTGAGCAGGATCAACGTCACATCATGGGGATCCGGCAGCGTTTGGAGCTCCGCTCCGAGAGCGCCGAACTCGGCACGGAGGGCGGCCGGTTGTCCAACAAGGACATGGACCCGATCCCGATGGGCTCGCCGGAGCGCACCTGGGGCTGGCCTAGCTTGTTGGGTTTCTGGATTGCTGAAGCCTTCTCGATTTCCATGTACCAAGGTATGTCAAACGCCATTATACGGGCTCTTCCTCTTGCCTGTTACTAACAACGCCCCGTCGGAAACAGTGTCATCGACATCAGTCACGAAGGGCCTCAACCCAGGTCTCGCTATTCTCGCAGTGTTCATCGGCCATGTGTTGGTATGCATCCCCGCCATGCTGGACGGATACGTTGGCTGTGTCTTTGGTATCAACTTCCCCGTCTTCACTCGAGCATCCTTCGGTCTGCGAGGTGCGCACGCCGCCGTTTTCGTCCGGGGTGTCGTAGCTTGTATTTGGTTTGGAACACAGTCTTTCCAGGGTGGTCAGTGCCTCCAAGTCATGATCGCTGCCATCTGGCCCTCTTTCAATAACTTCCCGAACCACCTACCAGCGAGCGCCCACGTTACCAGCGCGGAGCTGCTGTGCTTCTTCCTCTTCATCATCGTTCAACTGCCGCTGCTTTGGCTTCATGTGAGCAGCTTGAGGTACATGTTCATGGCAAAGACGATCATTATGCCGATCTTCGGATTGACTTTGTTCATTTGGGCTCTCGTTGCTGGTAAGTTTCTATGGGCCTCGCTCCTGTATACTTCATCTTGCTAATACACCGCAGCAAAGGGCTTCGGCCCAACGTTCTCAAAGCCGACCGTGATCAAAGACGGCACACCAGCCATTATCGTCTTCTTCCAATGCATCACGAGCGCGATCGGCCCCAAGGCTACCCTTGCATTGAACATGCCCGACTTTACGCGATATGCCAAGGAACCCCGCCAGGTCTTTTGGACCCAGGCTGTCGGACTCATCGTCCTTGTCACCATGTGTGGTGTGTTGGGAGCTACCGTCAGCAGTGCTTCTGAAGTCATCTACGGCGAGGTTACCTGGAACCCCTTGGAGGTCGCACGTCTCTGGAACAACCGCGCTGCACAGTTCTTCGCTGGGCTTTGCTGGGCTTTTGCCGTGATTGGCACAAACATCAGCGCCAACAGCGTGTCGTTCAGTAATGACTTGTCACTTTGGTTCCCGAAGTACGTGAACAACCGAAGGGGAGCGTATGTATGCGCTATTCTTGGAGTGTGTGCTGTACCGTGGAACATTCAGTACAGGTAAGCAGCAAAGTCCACCGGTAGCAGGAAGCTTCTGACCTCAAACTCAGCGCCAAATCTTTTTCTTCGTTCCTTGGTGGCTACTCCCTCTTCTTGGGGGCCATTGCAGGAGTCATCGTCACCGATTTCTGGATCTGCCGCGGTCGCCAGATGAAAGTCTCGTCCCTGTATGATCCGCGAGGAACGCACTTCTACACCTTTGGAGTCAACCCGCGTGCGATCATTGCCTTCATCTTTGCCATTGTGCCTAACATGCCGGGCTTGGCGGCTGCTTGTGGTGCCAAGGGGGTCCCGAAAGGAGCAACCTACTTGTACAGCCTGAGCTGGCTGGTGAGCACACTTATTGCTGGTTTCACATATTGGGCGTGCTGGAAGATTCGGCCTTTCAAGGTTGACGAGAAGGTGGACGAGCTATCGATCGAGGGACAGTCTCCAAAGGAGGAACCTATGGAGCCGGGGAAGAGCATGGAAGCCAAGCAGTATAGTGTCTGAGACGGCATGATGCTGAGCTTAAGTGGCAATTTGCTGAGTTGATTAGGAATAAATACACGCTTTACACGCTATTCGAATATGACATTGCATTACCAAAATGGGCGAATAGTCTCCGCATGCGCATTATCGCCTTCCTCAAAGCTTTCGGTTCAGGACTGCCTCAGCAGCCGCAGGAGTCAACTCAATGAGCTTCCCCAGTCCTGCGACAAACGTTGCGTCAAGGCGTAACAAGCTGAGATTCAACAAATCGCAGCTTCTCGATTTGATGCGCAACAAGCTCCGCCATTGAGTCAAAAGTGTGAGAGCGTCTTCTGCATCGGGCAACGTCGGGGATAGGGCGAAAAGGAGGACAATGAAATTGCTGGCGATGGCGAAGTTGACACGAGAATCTACCCGGGTCAGTACGAATGATTGAAGGTCGGCGAGCATGTCGACCGCTTACACGAATGCCAGAATGCTTCCAGATGATGGGGCCCCAGCTTGGCAAGGAAGTCGTACATCTCCCTGGCGACGGCCATGGCTCCCGTACGTAATGCAGCGCGGGCTTCTGCAGGAGCTTCATTACTCTTTGGACGCAATAACGCTTTGAATACGGCAACCTTCGCGGTGATGTATGCAAGCCGGAGACTACCGTTGCCGTCGAGTCCGTGATGAGGTAGAGCTGGCGAGGGCTGTTCACCCACATCAGGATGGTCCTGGGACCACTGAGCGAGCTCAATTCGCAGCGGCCTAGCAACTTCGAAACTCGCTTCCAGTGACTTCGATAAGGCCCTTGTGGCTTTGACGGAGCTGGGTTCGTCAGCTCTCACCAGATGCGGTTTGTATAGGGATGGAAACAAACTTACAACATATTCAGCTGGATCTTTGACACGATCTCGGTCAACGATGCCAGGTGTAGAAAGTGCTTGGATATCGCAGGTTCGTCTTCAAGCCCTGAGAGGCCTCCAAAGTCCTCCGGGCCCAGAGAAGAGACATCCCAGTCGCATTCCTGGATGTGCGAACTGCGGCCAAAGTTCAAACTCAACCACCGATCTTGCACGTACACCGCCCAAGCTAGTCGTCGACGGAGGCGTTTCTCCCACGGTGGTATTGACCAGTCACTTGGGTCCAGGTTGAGGCCAAGGCATTGCGCAAGAGCCACTGTGTCAGCGAGCATGACCCATTTGAACGGGGTATCAGCCACGTGTCTGTTTGTTGGGCGTCGTTGTATGAGAAGGAGCATGGTCTGCACGGTGGCGAGCGATGGTGTGTGGAACTGAGAGAGCGCAGCCATCCATGCAAGCTTAAACAGACGGTCGGCTGAAGGAGGCGTGTATACGTCCACGCAGAGTTTGTCATCGAAAACACAAAAAGGAAGTGCATGTCCGTAGATGGCTGCTGCCAAGGAGGTAGGCAACGTTGATGGGTCCCCGTTCTTGTCGTTCATGATATATTCCACCGAGAGGATGGGGAAATATGGCTGCACATAGCGCCAGAACCTGCAATTTTTGGTTAATGGAGAAGAACACTGAGGAAAAAAACCCCAGAGAAACTTACAAGTTTAGAAGTCTCCTACCGACGTCATCAGAAACCATGTTGAGAACCTCATTTCTTATATCTGATTCGCTGGCTCCAAAATCTCCCGGTTGTGCTCTGCTCGCTAGCGAATTATTCTGCAGCATGAACTGAACAGGGACCCCATCATCCATTCCCATGTTCCGGATGCGCAATTGCTGAAATTCGCACTCGTCCTTCTCGTCAAACTGGTAAAGCTGAAGTAAGTACGGATCCGATTCGCCGCTGAGGCCGATGACTTGCGCGTTGTGGTTCAGTTTAGCGTCGAGTGATGCCGGTAACAACACATCTGCACACCCCCGTAGGGATCCGGTCGGGGAAACCAGATTCGCTGATTCTGCCCCATCGGCGATGAAGTGCATCTCATTCAACGGCGAACTCATCTCCCCGGACTGAGACCTCATCTCGGCATCCGACGGAGCCCGGATGTGGTACGTCGGACTCTCCAGGCCATCGTCGGAGGGACTGTGAACCCGCTCCGCAACGCGTCGCCTCTTGTTCGGCCCTTCGACAAACGTGCACTCTTTGCCGTGCCGCCGGCAGAGCTCGCAGGGCGGGGGCCCGGGCAGCAGACAGGCCGCGCGCTTGTATCGGCAGAAGTCGCAGGGGTGGCGGTTGCGGTTACCGAACGACCTTGTACGGCTGTGAGCGGCGGCGGTCTCCATGATGTGCTTGTTGAAGAAAGTTACGGCACGTCTAGGTGAACCGGTTCATGCGCGTAGCTATCGTGTCGCTTGAGTTCCCCGCGCGGCCGGGGAAGCTGGAACCCAGAGCTCCGTCTGCTGATAACGGGCCGTTTGCCGATTGGCCGCCGGTGAACCAACCCCCGTAGGAACCTGAATGACTAGAGAAATGATCGCTTTTCGGTTGTCTAGATCTTGATTATATTCAATTGCACTCGAAAAGAAGGTTTAGTCAAGATATTTTGATATTTTGCATATGAGGATTTATTCAATAGATTGGGTGTTTCTCGCAACCCGGCTATCTAGGCCCGGAGACATTGGGGCGAAGAGGGCGAGATGTTGGGACTTGGCAGATGATTTCTGGGTATTCTAACCAAGCCAGGAGTCTCCAAGATTGCCTCGTTACAGCTCTACATAGTCTGATGCAGTTTGTTGCGGTCTGTAGTTTGAACGTTGCCTCTGTCTTCCACCACTGGATCCGCCCCGGTTGTTTTGCTGGGTTCGCCTTGGCCAACATGCCGATAATAGAGAGCCAGGCCTATCAGCCCAATCCAAATCGCCAACTCAGATCCATAAATGACGATTCCATATATTTTTAGTGTCTTCTGGAAGATCACGGACAAAAGCGACGCAACATCTCCACTCAAATCGAGAGTCGCAAACTTCAGAGATACTCCAGCGTCCGATCGAGTCCTCAACATCTGGACATAATGTCGAAGTACACCACCAGCCAACAGACTTGCAGCTACAATAGCCATAAGCATTGATGGCCAGTCGTTCCCGCGTTCGCATGCCAGTCTCAGTGCGTACACGAGTCCATACTCAGCACCGGCAAGAACGACAGCGAGGCTGGTGACTAGTGGGACAATTGTCTTGATGCCCCAGTTGTCGCCATAGTATTTGCACTGAGACCATGTCCACAGGCTGAGAAAAATCAAAATGTTGGGCTGTACCTGGAGGGCAATATTGAAGTCGTCGGCGATGTTATACACGCCTAGAGGCACTCCGGCGATAGCCCATGAGAGGAAAAATGTCGACGACAAGGACTGGCTGTCGTGCCGTCTCCAATTTTTCCAGATTTGGGGCAAGAGCTTGAAAAATTGTCAGGAGAGATGTTCCCGAGTGAAAAAATGAGAAGCCACGGGAAGAAAGTTGATTCTTACCTGAAGCGACCAGAGCACTGCCCCAAGGGTGCCGAACGCATTTGCAGCAGCAGGATTGTCCATGGTCTTGTCAAATGTTGACCGGGGTGGAAAAGTTGGAATAATTAGCGGATTTGGCAGGTGGAATTTTTTCTCTATGTTTACAGCAGAGTCAAATATGACCATCTTGAAAAGAAACGAGCACGCATTTTGTACCTGACTTACACCCTTCAAAAAGTGAAGGAGCTGTGATCTCGAACTGACCAATCATATCATCCGCTCGAGAGAGCAACCTCGAACTGACCAATCCAGTGCCCCGAGTAGTGAAGCCGAGACCGGATTCAGACACGTGATCCACCCAGCCAAGCCAAATTTCGGTGCCAAACCTTCCTCACCCTTTTTCTCGTGACTTGCAACCATCGTCATCAGTCGCCCCCGTCGATGGCATCTCAAGCCAACGAGATCAGCGACTCTGCCCGGTGGCTTCTAGTCTCTCGCCGCGATCTCTCCGCAAACTCCTCCTTCTTCTACGGTGTCAAATCGACCCAGATCTTCTGCCGGCCGACGTGCCCTGGTCGCGTCGCTCGACGGGGTAACGTCATCTTCTTCAACGATCTACAGCATGCCTCGTAGTCTGGGTACCGACCATGCAAGCGGTGTGAGCCGTGCAATGATAGCTGGAGCAGGGAAAATAACGGCCGCAAGATTGCACACCGTGCACATGCCATGATTATGGCCGCCGAGACCGACAATGTCAAGTGGACCGTGGAGAGCTTGGCCCGGAAGCTGGGTATCACCAGCGCGCACCTTCACCGGCAGTTCAAAAAGTGGTTTCTCATGACACCGAAAGTCTTTGCTGCATCTCTTGGTGCTGCAGATGGAAGCTCAGCGGAACATCCGAGACTTGATGGTCAAGCTTTGTGCTCGGACTACATGCTACCAGAGACAACTAGTGATCTGGAAGATTTATATGCTTTGGATAACTTCGCAGACAACTTCACGAGTTGGTTTGCAGAAGATATGGACTTTTTACCGTCCCTGGACCTTACCACAGACACAGGATCATGAGTACGTATGAAAGCCCGAAGAAGATGTACTTGCGAATCCATCATTGACACAACCACGCAGGACAAGCTGTTATACGTGTACCGAGTTTGCGGTCACATCCCGAATTGGGGATTTTTGGAGCATTAGTGATCACTAATTAGGCCCATGCTTTTGCCATTTGGGCATCTTTATTCTCACTTTCAACTACAGAATCTCAAATCCAATCCTGGCCACGGGCTTTGCGACCCGCAGCTGAGCTCTTGTACACTCCCCTCTTCGCCGTTGCGCCGCCCATCCTCACCATACCCACCAGGTGATGCACACCAGCCAACACGCCATCAACGACTTGCACTTCATCGCCAACAGCCTCCTCCACCGCGCCCTTGAGAGGCGTCATGCCCGCGCACCCCAGCAACAACACATCCGCCCCGTTCTCCTCCACCAGCCTCTTGCCGACGTTCGCCATGATGCCCATCACCTCGTCCTGGCTCTTCTCGTGCAGGTCCAGCACCCCGAGCTTGCACGAGAGCACGCCCGCGCACGACGTCGAGAAGCCGTAGTGGTGGATGCTGTCCTCGTGCAGCACCTTGGACCGCTCGCTCACGGCGACAAGGCCGAAGCGGCCGCCGAGTGTGCGCGCCGCAAAGAGAGAGGCCTCCATGATCCCGATGACCGGCTGCCGCGGGAGCTCCTCACGCAGCATGCGGATGAGGGCGTGGTCGGAGTAGCATGCAACCAGCACGGCGTCGTGCGTCGCTGCGAGGGGGAGCACTGCGCGGGCGGCGGCTGCGGCGGACATTACGTTGTCGAACATGCCCTCGATCGCTGAGGGAGACGGCCGCGGCGCGGTGAAGCCTGTGACGACCACGTCGGGCGGCAGCTGGCTCTCAACCATGGCGACGCAGGCGTCCGTCATCGCCCTCGTGCTGTTCGGGTTGACGAGCAGGATGCGGATCTTCTTGTCCTTGACCGCAGCCCCGTTGGTGACGCCGTTCACCGCCTGGGCCCCGAGCTTCGGAGGCTCCACGACGCCTGTCTGCTCCGTGATCCGGCTGTAGTGCTCCACCCGCCGGTGCCTTGCGAAATCGAACGTGCGCTCCTTGCCCGGGCGGCACTCGTCCAGGTTGATCTCCGCATACACCACCTCGTCCTCCGTCGTGGACGCCTCCGCGATGATCTCGCCCTCGGGCCCGGTGATGCAGCTGCCGCCGATGAGGTCGTACTTCCCATCGTCCATGCCACACCGCGCGGCGCTCACGCTGAAGCAGGCGTTCGTGTAGCTGTGCGCCTGCATGACCAGCTTGTGGTGGAACACGGCCTTCTCGCGCGCCACCTCCGGGTCCATGTCGGCGCTCGACCCCCACAGGTGCGGCGCGAAGCCGGCGGTGTTGTACCCGCACAGCACGACCTCGACGCCCTGCAGGCCCAGCGTGCGCCAGCTCTCGGCCCAGCGCCGGTCGTTGCAGATCATCATGCCGAAGATGGGGTCCCCGCGCTCCGGCGGCGAGGCGACGAGGTCCGGGACGCGGAAGGCGTTGAAGCCCAGGTCGCCGGGCTTGAAATACCGCTTCTCGAGCTGGTTTGTCGCCTCCGGGTCCGCGAACGGCTCAAAGTCGCCGGGCAGGTGGATCTTGCGGTACTTTGAGAGGATGGAGCCGCTCTTGGCGTGGTAGTAGATGCACGAGTTGAACGTCTGCCCGTCGTCGGCCTTCTCGGCGAAGCCGACAGAGATGTCGACGCCGAGCTGGTGCGCCCTGTCGAAGAGCGGTTTTGTCTGCGGCTGCGTTGAGACGTCGCCCTTCTCGAAGAAGGAGTCTAGCTCGACGGGGTCGTTGATGAGGTGCCGCGGGAAGAAGGTGGTGAAGGCGGCTTCGGGGAAGAGCACGACCTGCGCGCCCTTGGCGGCGGCGACTTCGAAGAGCTTGATCATGCGGTCGAGGGTTTTGCTGCGCTCGTCGCCGTAGTGCGTGGCGCCCATCTGGGCTGCGGCCACGCGCAGTGTCCTTGGAGATGCCATTGCGAATGTGTGTTACTTTCTGTGAGTGGCTTCTGCAACTCTCGTGTAAAGGCCGCTGGTCCTGCTCAGCAAACGGCACAATTGCCACTTTTATTATCCTGTTGAATACTACGATACAGGGACTTCTTCTTGCAGGCGGCTTTTGCTAATGGCAACCACATTTACCCCTCACGTGCATTTACACGGCGATGCGTCGTCCGATATGTCTCCGGGGAGAGCTCCCTCGCACCCCTGTCCGCCCGATAAGGTTGATAGGCCGGCCGTCCGCCAACCGCGTATCGGTCTGTCGAGCCTATCTTTATCTTAGGTTCGCCTATCGTCGCGGCGCGGCCAAGGTGTCTGTTATCTTGGTGCTCGCCGTACACCATGAATCATTGATTACTGTGAGACTCTCATCGTTGAGGGTGAAGCCATTCCCAGACATTTTTGGCAGGCAAAAAAAACATTAGTTTCCGGGGGAATATTGCTCAGATTCTCACCGAAATCTCGTTTCTCAACCCTTGCAGTGAGAACAGACACAGGACCGCTTTACCATGGAGGTCGATCTCATCATTGAGAATGCCACGGTTGTAAGTGCCCACATCACAATCACTCAAGACCCGGACAAAGACTCACGAGACACCAGGTGACGGCTTCCGATGTCCACGCCCGCCAAGACATCGTCGTTCGCGACGGCAAGATTCTCGCCGTCGGCCAGGACTTGAAGTCCATCTTCTCAGCCAAGACCACGATTGACGCACAGCATGCGTTTGTCATGCCGGGCGGCGTGGACTCCCACGTCCATCTCGACCAGGTAAGCCCCAAAACACCACAACCTTCACGCATCTTGCTCACCTTAGACCTAGGACAACTCGCCCACAGGAGACAACTTCGAAACCGGCACCCGCTCCGCCATCGCGGGCGGCACCACCACCGTCATCGCCTTCGCAACGCAGTCCCGCACCCAGGAGTCCATCCACCCCGTCGTGGAGGACTACCACGGCCGCGCCACGGGCAAGTCCTACTGCGACTACGGCTTCCACCTCATCCTCACCAACCCCACACCCACCATCCTGCGCGACGAGCTGCCCCACTACGTGCGCGAGGGCATCTCCTCCGTCAAGCTCTACATGACGTACGAACCCCTGAAGCTCCGCGACGGCGAGATCCTCGACGTGATGATGGCGACGCGCGCGCTCGGCATGACGACGATGGTGCACGCCGAGAACAGCGACATGATCTCCTGGATCACAGCCCGTCTCGCGGAGCAGGCGCTCACGGCGCCGTACTACCACGCCATCAGCCGGCCCAACATCGCCGAGGACGAGGCCGTGTACCGCGTCATCTCGCTCGCGGAGCTGTCCGACGTGCCGATCCTGATCGTGCACATGTCGTCCAAGACGGCGGCGGGCCACGTGCGCGCGGCGCAGACGCGGCTGCTCCCCATCCACGCGGAGACGTGCCCGCACTACCTGTACCTCACGGCGGACGCGCTGCGGCCGAACCACGCGGCGCACGACGCGTTCTCGGGGGCGAAGCACATCTGCAGCCCGCCGCTGCGCGAGGACGCGATGGACCTGGAGGCGATGTGGACGGGCATCGTCAACGGGACGTTCACGACGTTCAGCTCGGACCACGCGCCGAGCAAGTACGACCACCCGCGCGGGAAGAAGGCGGGGCTGGCGGCGGACGGGGGGATGAGGTACGACAAGGTGCCGAACGGGCTGCCGGGGCTGGAGACGCGGCTGCCGGTGCTGTTCCAGGGGGGCGTGCTGGCGGGGCGGGTGACGCCGCAGAAGTTTGTGGAGGTGACGGCGACGAACCCGGCGAAGCTTTATGGGTTGGGGGATACGAAAGGGGCGATTGCGGCGGGGTATGATGCGGATTTTGTGATTTGGTACCCGACGGCTGAGCAGGTGGCTGCCACCGCTGGGGGAGGGGAGGTGGCGAAGATGGAGGCGTTTGAGCTGGAGAACGAGATGCTGCACCACGATATTGACTACTCGCCGTTCGAGGGGATGAAGTTTGAGAACTGGCCGCGGTATACCATCTTGAGGGGTAAGGTGGTCTGGGATAGGGACAACGGGGGGCTGCTGGGGAAGATGGGTGATGGGAGTTTCCTGCGCCGTGGGAAGAGTACGTTGAGCAAGCCGAGGAACAAGTGGGTGAATGAGTTCCAGCCGATGCCGGAGGCGAACACGGCGACTGTGAAGTATTGATGGAGATGTCGTGGGGTAGAATTGAAAGCAATGCACACGATGAACATCAGCCACCTATTATGAATATGACTTCTTTTGACGTACAAGTCCAATTCCTGGCAACTCGACAGTGACTGCCCTACTAAGCCACCTTCAGCCACACTTTCCAACACCAACACTGGAGGCAACTCAAGCCAATAGACGAAAGGCGAAATGCGATAGACACGGCGCAATAGGCTGGCTGCACCACGTCTCATGGATGTCGGCGCGCGACCAACATGACGTACGATTCTAATCCTCCCAACCGTGTCGTCGAACCGGTGGTGTGGTGTGCACCAAGCCGTTGGGTCTTGCCGGAAGCATGTAACTCCCCCCCTCGCCTCCGCTCCCCCAACTTTTCGAGATCAATCTTCCCCATGGATCCACGGGTGGCACGATGGACGGGGGCTTGAAGAATGAAAACATCCGATGTGCAAGTGCCAGGAATCCGTCCCGAAACTCTGCTGGGTGTTCTCGAGGGTGATAATGTTGGTGATGAGTAAGCGAGACCCACGTCCTTGGGTGAGGTAACACGCGAAGACGCGAGCAGCAGCAGCAGCAGACAGCAAGCAAGCAGCCTCAAGCCGTGATCCGTTACCGACCCCCGAGCCCGGAGGCAGCCCCTTCCCCACGGGCGGCGCCCAATGGCGCATCTCCAAAATATAATACCTGCACCACGCGCCGTCGCACAGGCCACCCCGTCCCCAGTCCAGCCACTCAGCGCCGCGTATCTGCTGCCTCCCAGCGAATTACAGTGGGCCACCCTCCCCCGCATCTACTCCTCGAAGTACGTACCTCACGGATACCCCGCACTTGGACTGTGCCACGCTGGGAACATTACTTTTCCACGGCAGCGCACTCCGGTAATATGTTTTGCCCAAAAGCTGTCCTTCTTTCAGTCTCAGACAGCTGCGCAAAGAAAGGCGGCGGCGGAGGCGAAAAGCCATTCCACGAGCTAAAGTTTTACCCCAGGTCCCCAGGTCCGGTCTTGGTTCCTCCCCCTACCGGATGGGTGCCCAGCCCAGGTCCCCTCCCCAATCGTGATTGCGCCTTTGGTCAATTTGCCGATTTCTCTTGCCGCCCATCATACGACGACTCGTGCCCTCGTTCCTGGTCCATTCTTTCATCCCTACTGCTCCCGCGTCTCTGAGATTCATACTTAACTTCAGGGTCCCCCTTTGTGACATGTCCATCGTGCCTCTTCTCTCTTCCCTAGACATCACCATCCTCTGCAACCAAAGCCCTGTCCTTCGCCCTTTTCCTTAATCGCGAAGCAATCTGTAAACTCTCATTCTTGATACCCCCTCCTCACACCCTCTCTCCCCCCTTCTCATACACACACACAAACACACAACGACCGTCACAATGGCAACAAACGGCGTCAACGGAGCCCACACCAACGGCCACACCAACGGAGCCAACGGCACCAACGGCGTCAAGACCAGCAACCAGAACGACAACAACAGCAAGTTCGACCCCAACTTCACACAACATGTCATCGACCTCATGGCCCCCGAGACCCTGCCCCGCCACAGGGAAATCCTCACCTCGCTCATCAGGCACATGCACGACTTCTGCAGGGAGGTCGAGCTGAAGCAGGACGAGTGGGTGCTAGGCGTCAACTACATCAACTCCATCGGCCAGGCCTACAAGAAGAACCGCAACGAGGCGTGGAGAGTCATGGACATTCTGGGTATTGAGTCGTAAGTCCCCTTATCACTTGTTCATAGATAAAACCAAAGCTGACGACTTCTGAACAGCCTCGTCGACGAGATCAACAACCACGTCGTCACCGAGTCCGGCGCGCAGCCCACCTCCTCCACCATCCTCGGCCCCTTCTGGTCCCCCGAGACCCCCTTCCGCGACCTCGGCGCCTCCGTCGTGCAGAACATGCCCAACGACAACAAGGCCCAGCTCACAAAGTTCCACGGCCGCATCTACGACGCCGAGACGGGCAAGGGCATCCCCAACGCCGTCTTCGACATGTGGCAGGCCTCCACCAACGGCAAGTACGACGTCTTCGACCCGGAGAACCAGACCCGCCACAACCTGCGCGGCAAGTTCCGCACCGACGCCGACGGCCGCTTCTGGTTCTACTGCCTCAAGCCCACCGAGTACGCCATCGACACCACCGGCCCGTCGGCGGATCTGCTCAAGATCATGGGCCGCCACCCCTACCGCCCCGCCCACATCCACATGATGGTCACCCACGACGACTACATTGGCGTCACGGCCCAGCTGTACCCGCGCGACGACCCCTACCTCGAGACCGACACCGTCAGCGCCGTCAAGCCCGACCTGCTGCTCGACTTCGTGCCCGTCAAGGACGAGCCCAACGGCGCCGTGCTGGACGTCGAGTACGACGTGCGCCTGGTGTCCAAGAAGTACAAGCCCGACGCGACCATGTTCAAGCAGAACGCGAACCAGAACAAGTTTTAAGTAATGGACATGTTCCCACCAAGAAAAGGGATACATGGGGCGATGCATTCATCTACGGCCGGTGCTTAGAATGATTCTTTCACGTTGTTACTTTTTTTTCTTTTTGGCATATTTTGGGCATCTTGCTCCGAGCATCGGAGGAGGCATTGTTTGATTGAACGATTGTTGTATATTCCCCCCCCTCGTGCGCGACGACCAAACGGCGTCGGCGCAGCGCACACAAAATAGATCCCAAAATTCTGTTCAAAGCGGCGTTTGAAAGTGTGATTGATTGCAATGTGACGGTGACACCTGTGCGTGTGCGGCTGGCGGGATTTCCGGACTGACGACACCAACATCCTCGGCTCGCGAGCGCGGGTGTTCCCTGGAGAAGGGATGGTGGGGGGGCATTTGGATGGTGTTGCCTCTGTCGCGACGGGGACTAGCGGAGAGGAACAGCCCGAACGGCGAGTCTCCGCAGCGCATGCAATGATTTTGCAGACTGAGTCAAACAATGGGCAATCCCTCTTGATTCCGATTCACATTCCATCAGACGACAGAACCCAAAAAAGCACACGCAAAACCTACAAGCTCCCGTCCCGAAACCCGTAACCGTTGCCCCGCCGGCTTCCCTCGGAAATGTACGGGCACCCGTGCGGTCGCGAAAGAAAAGCTCCCCCCTCGCACTTTCGCCCCTCCAACAGACGCCCTTCCCTCCTTTTTGTTTTCCCGGGGCCAAATGCCGTGGTGCCCAGCGGGGCGTGCGCTAACCGGGGGTGGGGGTGGGGGGGCGTGGCCCAGCCGTGGGTTCCGACTCGGAGCCGTTCGAGACTTTGTGTTGCAGGTTGTCGGTTGTCGAGGCCGGGAGTTCTTTTGGTTGGACGTGGCCGGGTGTTCCGACGTCCTTCCTTATTCTCGGGGACCGGTGCGTATTGGCAAGCTCGCGGTTTGTTGGATAACGCGACGGAGCGAATGCATTTTGACAGACGCGAAGACTGAGGGATGACGACATTGCGGTCCTTGTTGTGCTGGATCATGGCCCCTGTAGCTGGGTCCCCACCGGACTCGTTTCGCGGCCTTCACATGTCGGTTGATGCGGACGGCAGTCTAAGAAGCGCGCCGTGGCCACATCTCGAGGAGCAAAGGATAGGACTTGTCCATTGCCATCGTCGTTTCGATAGCGAAAAATAATTGCGATGCCAATGGCAGGCCTGAACAGCCAGGAAGATTGTTGCACCACCAAGGCAAGGATGGCAGGCTTATAGCAACGACAACGAGGGTCGGGCTCCAAATGCAGCTTCCTAAATGCATTGATGGAGTTGAAGAATCTCCTGGCCTGTCTCTGCATGGGCCTGGCCTGGTTTGCATTCAACCAACGTTGGAATTAGCGAGACAATTTCAATAGATCGACCGCGAGAAATTCTTTCTCCGTGTCTGAGGCTTTCATACAAACTTACGTCGTCGGTTTGTGAGGGTCATTGTAATCGCACTCGAAGCTCTTCGCATGCTCCATCATCAGTTGTTGCATTGATTTCCACCAAGATCAACTCACGTGTGATTGCCGATACGCATCCAACAACATGCGTTCGACATGCTGTGACTTCGATCAGCTGCCAAGAATGGTTGGTAGCTGGTTGAAGTGTAATGCAGCGAGTGACTGCGGCTAACTGCACAAAGCACTTAACGGGGGACAACACATACATGTACAAAAGTGAATTTGGGCTTTGATTCAATGGGTGAGGAGCTCAGTATCAAGGTATGGCACAAGGTCGCTTCCATATGTCGTTGACAGAGACCCTGCTAGCTACCGTGGTGGCTCGTAACGTTGTTTCTGACACTACCACAAAATCATCAGATACAACCGTGGTAACATTTGAAAAAGGCTCCAAGAACAAAACACCAGACAAGCTTACATCCTTGGGTTAGTTTACAGGAAACACACACTCGACTCTGGCCCTGAAAACCTTGATGTCCATATCGTCGCATTCGACTTTCAGCTGCTTGCTCCGGCGGCATTTGAACTCTGGAACCCCATCACACGAAAGCCAGCCCACCACGTCCTCGCTGCCGTCGTCCTTGTACTTGCAATTCTTCTTTCCAAAGATGTCTTTATCGGCCTTGAAGCTGGGCGGTCGCCCGTCCTCCCCCTGCTCGGACCGACGGAACCAGCTCTGGACATCATCGCCCACCTTCGTCGCCTTGCAGACGTTGAAATCGGAGTATATCGGCACCGCGAACATCTCCCAAAAGGGTATCCAGCCCACGGCTCCTCCCTCGCCGCTCGTCCATTCTTTGAGGTAGATTTGCACGCTCTCCAAGGGCAGCGTGGCTGGCAGCCGGTCCAGGGTTCGCGCGGTGGTGACGGCAGTCCTGTGCAGTGATGTTTTGAATTTGGAAGGGGCGGGGACTCCTGGCTTGGTGATGGGTGTGATGCCTGGGCCGTCAGACGTCGCGGGTCCGCTGCTGGTTGCTGACGGGGTCTTTGATGTTGGCGGAGCGGTGGATGTCACGGAGTGGCGGGGTGTCTCTGTCGACGAGGTTGGCTTCGAGGTGGTCTTGGACGATTTCGACATGACCGAGGAAGACTTTGAAGAGGGCGAGGAAATTTTGGAAGACGCTGGGGATGACTTAAACTGCGCCGATGTGGTTTTGCTGTTTGCCGCTGTCGTACCATTCGCCGTAAAGGGCGGTAGAATCGTGATATTCAGAGACAATGATGTCGTTGAGAGCGGCACCGACTCATTTCTCCGAGATGCGGTAGATAGTACTGGCGGCATCGAGGTAGCTGGATGAGAAGTCGCTGATGCGCTGCCCCCGACCGAGTTTGTATCATTCCGGTTCGGTCGGCGGCATGCTTGTCTGCGTAATCGAGCGCCAGTGGCCGGGGAGCCTTTGAACACCTGGTCACTCTCCGGACGCCATTTCTTTCCCCCCTGATACCCAAGAACATCAACAAACAACCGTACCTCAACTTCTTGATCACAGGATGGCGCTGGCTTGTACTGGAGAAGAATCTTGCCGCGGGGCGTATCGAAAATGCTGTCCTGAAGCGCCTCGGCAAAAGCAAACGTATCCTCAAGAGCCTCGAGTCTACTCCATTCGGCATACGGTAACATAGCAGGAGGATAATCGATCGTATTGATAGGTACGTCGACGAAGATTCCTGTCAAGATCTTTTTGACTCTGTTGACTCTGTCGGTCGCATATCTAAGACTGCCCGCCATAATGTCAGGGGCCAAAATCTCTTCATCTGGCCTGATTCTGGGCCCGTCACGGTCGATTATCCAGATGTTTGGCCGGACTCTGGGTGTTATGACGAAGGCGATAATATCCTCGAAATCGTCTTCCTCTGCGTCTGGGTCTTGGTCCCCGAGTATGATGCCTCGCTTGCCCTCCTCAGGATGGTCTCTGACATTGTCAATGCCGTACTGAGCCCATTCATGCATTGGGTCGTCTTCCGGGCGCCCGTAGTAACAGATTCTCATAAGGTCGTCGATGTTTCTATCGCTGTTCCAGGATCCTTCATAGAAATGGCAAACGAAGGCGCCCAGGCGTGAGACCAGGATGATCGCATCACAGCCGACCATCCGGTCAATGGCCAACGATTGTACCTCGTCCTCAAAAATAAGAAATTCGGTTGATACAGGCAGCTCCGAGTAATAATACTCCTGCGCTGCTTCTTCACCTTCATCGGTATCGTTGAAAAGGGGATAGGGTCCTCGAGCAGGACCCGGGCCCTGCTTGAGGAGCTTCGGGGCGAACCCTTCACCACCCGGCCGACTTCTTGCCTCTCGGAGCTGAGCAGGCATAAACTCGGCGTATCCGTTGGGATAGTCGTCGGGATCAACCCACTCGCCCTGAGCTGGGTTTCCGCGCTTTTCCTTCTCGCGAGACAACGCCCGATTTGGAGTGGATCGGCAGACACCGTCACCGCAAATCTGCGGAGAGCAAGGCGGATAATATGGTATCTGGGTGCCGGCAACTGTCGCAGTCACTGTTGTTGCTGCGTTTGTGACGCTGCAGCCGGTGATCGTTGTGTAGGTGCTGCTAAGACATGTAGTTTGAGCCGTCGTCAGGAGGGAGGTACTGTCTCCGCGGACGTCTGGAAAGTGATGATATTATTAGAATCAGATCAATCAATGCAAATTTGAGGGAATGCTGACTTGCCCTGGGTCGCAGAGCAATACACCGTCTGGTGCGTAGCAGTCGCAGTAACGGTGCATGAAGAAGATGACGAAGACGAAGACGTAGAAGATGTCCTTTCTGTTGACTTTCGTGTGCTCTCCGGGTCGTCGGGTTCGTCGTCGGGTTCGTCGTCGGGTTTGTCGTCGTTGTTGCCGTCGCTTCCACCACCACCTCCGCCCTTTTTGTCTTCGCCCGAGGGACAGCTTCCAATCTTGAACCATAGGATCTGAATGCAAATATCGGGTAACTTAAGTGTCACTTTGATCTTTGGTGGGAATTGGATGCCCGGAAAGCACCCAAAACAGACGACTGGCACTGGAACTGGATCCGGGTTTGTGGGGTTCTTCTTCTTCGGCTTCACAAGAATGACTGCGATATATCAGCAAGGAAGGCTTCCATTAAATTGGCGCATCGTACCTGGCACGATCTCTTGGTCGTTGCTTCCGGCTTTGGTGGTGGTGATGATAGTCGGAGTCGTTATACTGAAGTCGCTAAGGGTCACGAATGAGGCATCCGTCGGTGTTTGCGTAATTGTGATCTCAGGGTCCTCCGTGGAAGATGAGCGAGTTGTGACCCACGGTACAGTCCATACATACTCAGAACTATCTGTTGACGTATGTGGAGATAAAGGAGATGATGAATTCTGATGGAGACTAATAATGTCCTTCGTAGATGATGGCAACGGTGTTGCCAATGGGACCGTCCGAGGATAGCTAGAAGTACTGACCGACACTGGCGGAGATGATGAGCTTTGGAAGCTGGTAGTGACGTTCCTGTTGGACGACGACGGTGCTGTTATCAAAGGGGATGTCCGTTGCGTACGAGAACTGTTCGTCCAAGTCGTTTGAGACAGCAGACTCGATGGAGTCTGGAAGTGAGAAGTGTTCGTCCAAGTAGTCTCAGAGAGAAGCTTCGACGGAGTTTGTAAGTGGGAACTGTTCGTTAAAGTCGCTTGAGAAAACAGGGTCGATGAATTTTGGAAGTGACCAAGATCGGGACTCCCTGCTGTATTTCGAGAAGCCTCCGCTAGCACCAACATCTGAGCAAGTGCGAAGAACAGTCCGAAGATCATGATGGTTGATTTGAACCATGGGAAAAGATCGCTGCTTATTTTACAAGCGCAAAATGACGATGTCAGTTATTTCTGTACGTGCCTTACCTCATGCATGTAGTACAGTAACAGAAGGCGCGAGCTTCTTCGTCCGGGATGACTACGGAGGGCGGTTTATATTTACGGAGTGGACACAGCATCCTCTCAATCTTGAGCTGATGTCAAGATACGAACTCTTGTGCTACCCTCTTATGAGTTTGTTTGTGACCAATGACGTTGATAAATCGCAGAAGGCGCTCTGTGTACGGATTCTTCTCATGAGATCGGGCACCGGCAATTTACCAATCCATCATATTTTGGTAAATATTTTTCGTCAACGACGGCTGCAGTTTTACATCAAACGTCCCACGACAGAAAGATGGCTCTTTGTTATCTTTGTTGACTTGCCGATCTGAAGAGTCCCGTGCCTACAACATGTTACGCATTTTCCACTTCAGTCAACCCCTGCGGTAGACTTATGCACTTGACAGCTCAGGCTGTCACAGGTCTTAGCAATCAGTTTGAGCCGGAGTGTATGTAAAGATTAGTAGTCTGTTCTTTGTGAGCTTGAGAAAACATTTTTATTCCCGTGGCTCAAAGCTTTGATTACGTCACTTCTTACTGAACATTGTAATACTTCTCAGTATCCCACAAGCAACGTGCAATTGAATTAATACTATGGGCGTCATCTTGATATGCGCTTTCGAAGTTTCAAGGCCGAGACTCGCTACCGATATGAATATGCGATATTCATTGTTAAAGATAGTCTTTTGATGATTCAGGGCTGCTATAGATACTATAAGCTGCGGCTGTCGTGAACTATGGTGGTCGTGATGATAGTTAGAGTCGCTGTACTGAGGTCACTAAGGGTTAAGAGAAATACATCCGTCGGTGTTTAGGTGATTGTGGTCCCGGAGTCCTCGGTGGAAGATCAACCCCTGAGTCAGTATGTTCCCGGTTCCAAGAACTACCCTATTATACTTTAATTCGGTTGAAACCTTCAATAACACCGCCTACCCGGCCTCTAATAAATCTGAATCTATATAAGGTTTATTATGACTCGCAGTTAAAACCAGCTAGAACTACAATCCAGGCGGCTCTATTGCCAACACCAGGCAGCCGCAAGATGTAAAGACTATTTAAAGGAGTGAATATGTCTCGTCATCTCTATAGAAGAACTTCATTCACACACCGCACTTGACATATCGCCTCCAGCCGACCACAATACATTCTGAACAATGCTTTCTCACACTCTCATTTGCTTAGCCGCTGCTTTCGCAGCTATGACCCAGCCTGCCGTAGGGTTGCCCACCGAGCAGCTTGAAGCCCGGCAGACTGTATGTTCGCTGAACGAGAACACTTGGACAGCTACTATGACCGGGACGTGCTCTATTGATGGAGGCCCTGCTATGGCTTGTGATATGAGAACCGACCTCAAGAATCTCGTTATAGAGAAGAATACGATGTTAAGCGCTACAGGTCTGGGCAACAACCGATTCGAATGCAAAGGATACCAGAAAGTGAGTACAGGTGTCGCCCTTAGTTCACGTCGTCAGCTTACATAGCTACTTAGTGGCAATGCTGCTCTTCTTAGAGTATACCACTCAGCCTGGACGCGAGCTTGAAGCAATTGTATCAGAGCTTCGGGTGAAAGTTGTTGTTACTACATATCAAAGGGAACAAATCGAGTTCAAAGGAATTCGACTTCGGTAGACTCGGATGGAGGTCTAGAATAATGCAACCAATTTCAGAAAACTATTCATTCTCAGTATATTTGCGCCGTCCAAGGTGCAAGACAGGGGATCAGTGCTTGTGAGAGGATCAGAGGCGCATTATTGAGGATGATTCATTGATAATTCAGGGCTGCTACAGATATCACGAGCTATGACCGTTAGGAACTCATGAGTGCATTCATGCCCATAGAATTAAACGGCCCTGCCTCCATCAACCTCCATGTTAATGCCAGTGATGAACTTGCCTTCGTCAGAAGCCAAGAATAAGCAGGTGTTCGCGACGTCTTCAGATTCGCATAGACGCCCTAGTGGGACGTTGCCAATAAAGTTCTTCCTATTCTCCGGTGTATCCGGCATCCCGGCGAAGTGCTCGAACCTAGTCGTGTCAGCACCCAGTCCATCGAAATCGAACAAGGGAAAAAAAGACGAAAAGAAAAGAAGAACTCACAATCCAGTGCCACTCAGAAGAGGACAAATGGAGTTGACGCGAATTTGATGAGGGCCGTACTCGGCCGCAAGTCCTTTCGTGGCCTGATGAGCACCGTGTAGATTAGCAACCCTGTGGATCTCAACAAAGACCAACACCAACGTACGTTTGACACCGCGCCCTTGGAAGCATTATACCACACCAATCCAGGTCGAGGTCTTACCGACCCAATCGAAGAGATGTTGAGCATGACGCCGCCACTGCCCCGCTTGATAAGTCGGGGCATCAGGGCATTCGTACCCAGGAAGATGCCCTTGACGTTGACGTTGAAAACCCTGTCGAATTCGGCCTCGGTTACCTCTGCCGTTGGCTACACAAGGATTAGATTTAGCGTTTTCTGTCTCGCCCAAACTCCCTTCAAAGTTGAGGGAGGAGACGGAGAGGTGACCGACCTTGTTTTTGTAAGTGGTGCCTGCGTTGTTGACCAAGATGTCGATACGTCCGTATCGTTCCTGTGCGGTGTCCAACAACTTCTCCCACTCCCCGGCATCCGTGACGTTTGCCTTGCAGAAGGAAATCGCATCGGGCGCGTCGCTTGCCACCCTCTGTCCGTCAGCCTCGTTGATATCTGAAATAAGAACCTTGGCTCCCTCCAATGCGAATCTGCGAGCAATTGCTTCACCGAACCCATGGCCACCTCCTGTGGAAAGGTGTCAGTTGAACCCAAGAATCGAATTGAATGGCGTACCGGTGATAACCGCAACCTTGCCGGCTAGTCTTGGCCCTTGCGAAGACGACATGATACCTATGCTGAATGTTTGTGACGATGAAATGTTGTCGATACCGCGCTATGTTCTCGATCACGTAGCTGATGTGAGTTTAGGTCTTCAGGGTTCTCGAGTGATCATCCGAAGAAAGTTAGCACCCGCACTTCGACCGTCACGACACGTTTGTTCATCACCTATTTAAGGGTCTTTTGCCGGCCATGCCTAGTGCTTTGACTGCCACACGCTGTGTGTCATTGCATCATACCGAGGCGGGGGAGTGCGGGGGACTTGCAGCCCGGGCAACGACTTCCGCGTTACAGTTCGGCTACATGCGCCTCGGCGACTTGGATTTGGCGTTTTATTGGAGATTGGAGTTGCGAAAACTTACTATTTTGCTGCAGATCGACGTGTTAGTGCACAGCTGGGTCCCAGAAGCTGCATCGTGCAGCTAGTACACGGGAAAGGAGGTTTGAATGTCTCAGTGTGGTTGTAGAACCTCGGCTTGAAAGCTTGGCAGTGAGCATCAATGAACTTGAAGTCGATGAGGAGTGGGATTGCAGTGAGTTGTGACCGAGAGAAGAATCGAGCTGAGACGCACCAGAACAGATGGAGGCAGTCGCACGTGCATACAAGACAGACATTGCAATAACTCCGAGTAAACAAACATTATGGTATCCTTATTTATGCCTTCATCAACTCTCGATGATCTTGACATTATCTTTTCTCGCATCGTCTTGGGCCACATGAATAGTATTTTCAACATCCTTTCCATGGAGTATCGATGGTCGCACGTCGAAGCCATCGTCGAAGAGCATACCCAACTCTTCCAGAGAGTATCCTTTGGTCTCAGGGAAAGTGAAGTAAATGAGAGCCAAGCCAAGGAATAACATGCCAAGGTAGAAAATGAAGTAGTAGTACCCGATCCTTTCTAACGCAATAGGGTTGACGTACTGATTGACCGTCAGCATGACCTGGCTCGACAGCACTTGCAGCGCCAGGCCCTTGCTGCGGATACTGTACGGAAGGATTTCTGGAGTGTAGCAGTACAGCAACGGGTTGCATGCAATGTTGAAAGCGGCATTGTATAAGAAGAGAAACACGACCGTCCCGTAGGCTGCGGCCTGATAGCCGTGGTTCGCATACATGGCGCTTGTGATGGTCAGGGGCACGTTGGCGAAGATCATTCCAACAAATGATATAAGCCATAGCCTCCGGCGACCGATTTTGTCGGCTAGAAGCGCTCCGGTCACGGAACAGATGAGATTCCATATGGCCATGCCACCGTTGATGCCGGTCTGCTGGGTTGTATTTGTGATGCCGACAGAGTCCAGTATGGGCGAGAAGTAGTACGAAATAACACCTTGGCCGTTCCAAAGTGTGAGAACTGACACTGAGAGACAGATTCCAAGGCGGCGTCTGTTGGCCTTGGACTTGAGAAGGTTGGACCAGGTGTACATCTTGCTCTGCTCCTCCAGGTTCAGAGCTGTAGCAATCTCGTGCATCTCGAGCTCGATCACAGGGTCGCTCTCGTTGCCGTTGGCGTGGTACTTGATCAGAAACTCCTTCGCCTCATTTTGGCGCCCTCGAGAACAAAGCCAACGAGGCGACTCTGGAATGAAGATGGTGGCAATCATGAGGAGAAACGGGAAGGTACTCTGAACAATCGAAGGGATCCGCCATGACCATTCCGAAGAGAGATGACCCGTTCCGAATGTTAACCATGATGCGATGATGGATCCTAGATACCAGAGCACGTTGAACTGATCTCGTCAGCATGATCAGTAGCCACACATCAGAAGATCCGCTTACCATCGATGCCATCTTTCCACGCAACCGCGGGTGGGCCAGCTCAGTCAACAGATTGGGTCCAGCCGTGGTGGTGAAAGACAGACCAACACCAAGCACAGCGCGACCTCCGATAAACACGCTTCGGTTGGGCGAAGCAGCTTGCATGATTGATCCGACGACTCCCAGGAACGATCCAATTTGAATGGCAAAACGCCGGCCGTAGCGATCTGCCGGTGCCGCTGCAAGGAGCGCACCGAAGAAGCCGCCTATAAAGACCATGCAAGTGATGAGGCCCAAAATCTCAGCAGATGGGTTGCCCATGGCTGTGCATGTGTGTTTAGCAACAGGAGAGACGATGAACAGAGAAGCGGCAGCTTACCATCTTGCCAGGGTTGCAGCGCCTGGAAAGAGCCGACAATAACCTCGTCGTAGCCGACAGTGATCTGCGCGGCCAGAATACATGTCTGCCAGAAGATGAGCTTTCTGAGGCCTTGGTCCTTCCACCAGGGCAATGTGGGGGTGTTCGTGAGATCTAGCAAGCCAGGCTCGGCTGTGGCCGTCGGAGGGTTTGCCATGAATGCGGAGAAGAAATGGGGAAAGCCTGAGATGGCGTGACAACATCATAAATATGGTTGGTAGGTGACGCACGAGGACCATCTTTATAGATCGTTGCGAAGTTCAGGTAATTGTTGATGGAAATGCATTATCATCTGCAGAGCTCTCATTGGTCAGTCTGTCGAAAACTCGCCCGTGACTCGCCCGGCCTTTGCGATAACGTTGCGTGGAGGGAACCCCAAAGTACATGTGGTTTCGCCCGTAGATCGTCCGGCCTGGAGACAATCTATGCCCAATTCAGGCTGTGGAAAATGCTACCCGGTCTTTCATATGACACACAAGATTGGTTGAATGGATGCGATGCGTATCTTCAATCTGTTGGGGATACATAAAGCGGCCGGCAGTGGCATTCTGCTCCAACCCCGCAAGTCTGTGTCTACCATCAGCTACCTTACCTACCTCTCCAATTCCGGGTCCACCCTAACATCGTCAAAATGGGCAGTATCAGTTACGAAACCGAGCCTCAACTCGACACCTCTCCAAATTTCGGGGACTGGAGAGATCAGCTCATCAATGACGGCTTTGTCGTGTTGAAGGGCGTCATCTCACCAGAAAGGGCAGGATACTACCTCGATGGTCTCTTCGACTGGCTCGAAACCTTTCCTTACGGCTTCCGGAAAGACGACCCCTCAACTTGGGGTCCGCAGAACCTTCCGGCACATATCAAGTTTGTTCCCAACATAAGCCATTGACTGCAGGCTAGTACTGATTCAAATACAGGGGTGGAATGTATCATGCATATTCAGTGGCCCACGAGAAGTTCTTCTGGGAAGCTCGCATGTAAGCCATAGTGAATCATCGCTGGGGAAAATTGCTAATGACTGACTCCTCACTGTAGGGAGCCTACCATTCTCGATGCCTACGCCAAGCTCTGGCAGACCAAAGACCTTCTCGTCTCCTTCGACGGTGCAAACTTGACTCTTCCTGCGAAAGATCGAGAACCCATCGGTGCTTGGCCACACGTCGATCAAAGTCCTCTCCGTAAGGGACTACAGTGCGTCCAAGGGATACTCAATCTTGCCCCGAATGGTCCCAAGGACGGAGGTCTAATCGTCCTGAAGGGGTCCAGTGCACTCAACGAGGCCTTCTTCAAGACCCACGACACCGAGCGAGAGACTTGGGGCCCGGCCGACTGGTTCGGCTTCACCTCGGAAGAGGTTGACTGGTTCAAGGAGAGAGGTTGCGAGGCGGTCAAAGTGTGCGCCGAGCCCGGCGATCTCATCCTGTGGGACTCCAGAACTGTTCATTACAACTGCTTGCCAGAGAGTGAAGCTGTCCGCTCTGTTTTGTGTAAGACTCAAAGGCGCAACCGGATCCATCGGCAGCTAGTTACTGACGTGTGGTCCAACAGATATGTGCTACTCTCCCGCTTCGTACGCCAGCGCCGAAGACTTGGAGATGAAGGCGAAATTGTTCAGGGATCGCAAGGGGACCGTGAGTCAAGTTGAACAACCTAATTTCGAGAAGTTTCATCTAATAGAACTCTTATTAGACTCACTGGCCTCACGCGAACATCTTCCGGGACGAGAGAAAAGTCATTAGACTTGGGGAGCAAGAAACCTACAAAAGAGACAGGCCGTCTCAAGAGCCTGTGGAATCTGAGAAGTTGCTAAAGCTTGCAGGAGTTATGCCTTATGCCTCCTGATGAAATGAGAAACCACAGACTTTCAGCGAGATTTGATATTGGGGATTGATTAGTTCATCAATAGCCCTTTATCGTGAATTGAGATGTACCTGTAGAAGATAACATATTTTGAATTCTTGAAAGCTAGATACCTCGGCATTCACGTTCATGTACCCGATGTATATATCTAGGACCTTACACATAGCATTGTTTGTTTTGTCCCGGAACCGGCTATGCCAGTGAGGTTAGGCAGTAAACCAATGATGAGCCTGAGGGAAATGTCGTGCATGCCTGGACTAACATTGTGGAAGTTAAGGATAGTGCCATGAAATTTGATAAGCATTGTCTAATGATGCTGAGTGATCTCCTTCAAGAATTTTATCGATTTCTCGGCGACGAGGTTCTGGGCTTGGACTATCTCCAGGAAATCCAGGCCTTGTTGTATTTCGGTAGAGAAGTCCTCCTCCGTATGCAGAGATTCGAGCGCTAGGACTGCTGAAGCAGCGAAGATATTCATGGTGATTGCCCTCGAAAATGTCAGTACTTTTCTTGAGTTGGACCTTCCTGAAACTGACCAGGGTCGCAGTTTGGATGCATCCACAGTCTCCGTAAGTGTCGAGTGAATTAACCCTCGAGCTGAAGACATGCAGATAGCTCGCGTCCGAGCTCCGTCAGTTGACCCGTCTAGCCAATGTTCCTGAAGCTGACTGCTGATTGTCATTCGATAGTAAAGAAGAACCTTTGCCAAGCTCTTCTTCTGCCAAGGGATGAACGGATATTGGCGGTCTCGTGCCTCGGTGGCAGACGTAATCTTCTCGTCAGATTGCAGATATGAGGGTAGGTCGTTTATGAGGTTTGCCAGCTGCTCATCCGCGTCGAAGACGAACCGTGCCACATCTTCCGTCTCCCACTCCTGCAGTCTGAGCACATGGCGAAGCTGATAGTAGATTTTGGATACCTGCGCCATAGCGATATGGTATCTCACAGGTCGAGGCTTGGATCGCAAAAGCCTGGAACTTCCTGTGACGGTTTCGAGCTCTTCATCGTCAACCTCGTCTGGAAGCTTGCATGAAAATTCAAAGTTGTGTAAGCATGGAACTCTATGAGGAACGGGTAACCATTCACAGATTGCCAAGGTCCACCAAAGCCTTCGTCGTATCTGCTGCTCACAAAACGATTCGGCTGGATTGTCTTCTTCCAAGCCCAATCCCAGCTGTTGGGCTTGACGTATTGCAACTGCCCACATGTTTTGGTGGCGATGCACATCTCCTACATTGTTGAATACGATATGAAGAATAGCGATCGCCTGGGGAGTGCGCACGTCTGGTCTCTTCGTGTAGTCGGCCCTATCGAGGAACAACAATGCGGACTCATACCAGGTTCGAAGCAGTCCGGTGAAGTTTACACCAGCTGGTCGCTTGTCGCAGGTTTCCTTTTCGTCCATAAACATGAGCGTGGAGGCCAGGACGCTGAAGTAGATTGCCATCCACGCTGGATCCATCTCTGCAAGACAGTGCTTCGCTCGCAACCGATCCAAAAGCTCTTCGTGTTCCTGCCGAAATTTGGGAATGAAGAGCGCAAAATGAAGCCAGAAAGTCCACTGAAACGCGTTTTCGATCATGCTCCGACTGAAATGTTCAGATGGCAAAATGATGTCTTTCAAGTCAAACACAGTCCGTGGCTGTGATGACATCCCAATCTCGTCAAAGAGGCGCCGTTCTATTTTCTCAGTATGACTTGTTCCATGTTCGCGTAGCTTCTGAGAATCTTGTGCGTTTGTATCAAGAGCGCCCACAACTGCTCGGGAATTTTGACCAGCAAGTAGCGCGCGAAGGACTGCATTTTGATGCAAAATGTCGGCGTAGTTCCGGTTGCCGACGCCATTTGACCTTGAATTTCCTACCACATTACCCCTCACCCGGACTGGCTCGCGACTACACTGGTGTGCTTGTCCTCTATCAACGCATTGTTGGCACGGCAGCCGTTTGTCGCATTTTACTCTGCGCTTCGAGCAACCCATGCATGCCCTTGGGGGCCTTTGGGTGGTGCGAATGTTCGTTAACATGATGTTGCAGAAGATCCATTTTTGCTTGGTTCCGGCCAAGGGGTCCAAATAATAAAACGACTCCATCAATTAGAAGCGGAGTTTCACGTGATCCTGTATATCAATTGATGGTCACGTGAAGCAGTGCGCCTGCAGTGGTAAAGTCCGAGATTTTGGCATGATCACTAGTCACGGATTCAGCTACTTGGAGGCTTTTGGATGTTTTCTGCATCTAACACAAAGAGGGGAAATGGAAAGAGTCAAACAGGACCCCAATCGCCGAAATATTCTATCATGCGTTTCTGAGCCGATACCTTATCCCACTTCACCTCGACATTGCCCTCGAGTTCGGTCCAGCCAACCGCTTTAAGGATGTTTTGTCTCACAAGCTCGTCTTCTGACGGATTAGCATGCTCGAGCATAGCCACGCGACCAGGGTCCTCCAATATGGGCATGAAGTTCATGAGTCTCCATTGGTCTCGACACATGTTGAAGAAACTGTCGATTCGAAATGCCTGTGACTTGGTTGTTCTCCAGTCATTTTGACCAATATCATCTTCATCGTCCTCCTCATCCACAGATCCTTCTAGCATTCTCTGGTGTTGCGCTTCTACCGCATCCCAGTCGATGTAAGGGTTTGACATGTCGCCTTTGATCTTGGGCTGGCAGTTGGGAAAGTTTCCGCCATTCATAGTGAGGATGATGAGGCCGAAGGTTGTGTCAAGATACACCTTGAATCCGTATTCCTCGCCTATAGCCAAAAGAATCATGCTGCAGGGGAATCCATCTTCGTCCTTTGTAATATTTTCCCGGATCTTGCTCTGATTTCCTGTTTCCTCAAGCGCCAACTTGGAACGAAGCCTCTCGCTTGCCTCATGAATCATTTCGCAGAGCTGAGGGTCGATGAAGTTCCGTGGTTTTGTGGAAGCCAAGATTTCGATCTCATCGTCGGCAAAGTAGGGGATATGGCGCAGCAGTTCGATAACATCGTGAGTTTTCCCTAAGCTTGCAAAAGATTCCTGAGTGATCTGAGGCCAGCCATTGGCCGGTGGGTATTCCAAGGCAGTTTCGTTGGGATGCATCCTGTCTATAAACTCATAGTAGGACTTGATGGCTGCCACCGCAGTTTCATGCGAGTAGGCGTAGTCCTCGCCAGGGGACGGTACAGGCTCAGCTTCGGGTGCAAGCCTAACAGGCAGCATTTCGAAACGATGGCCACCAAGGAATTTGATCAATGATGAACGTATGAAAGAATAGGAAAGAGGGGGGGGATGTGTAAAGTCTCGTTCCTGACTGGAGTAGTTGCTGATGGAGAAGTTTTGGCCGAGGAGAATTAATCGAGCTATTTTAATTAAACTGGGTTGGACGTTGCTGTCCTCGTCGCACACTAGGTATCTGTACGTACCTTGTACATGAGGTGTGCTGTTGGTTCCATTTCCCAAGCCCCCCGCGCGAATCAGTGGGGGCTGTGATGCCCCCTTTACTTTACATCGCCAAGATAGCCCCCCGAGAGCGTTCACCGATGGTTTACCCAACAAAAGTACCGTGCTACGTTGATCTTATCTGCATGGACTCCGCGGCAATCGCGCGCTCCGCTCCACAATGATATGTGACAAGTCATCGTTTCGCTGAGACCTCATACAGGTTGGAACTTGGTGGGTGACAACCAAGTTGGGTAATGCCAACGTTCCTCGACGAACGATAGAACTGGCTCTGACCGATAAAGGCACCTGCAAAGGGATCCAACACAGGCCGGAATAGAAGCATGGGATGCTCAAAGGCTTTGAAATGAAACCCAAGAAATTCTATTTTCAGCAGTTGACCGCTTTGACTGCCAAGTATTACATTCGGCAGACACACCATGGTGAGCCGCGGGTACTGATATATCAACCACGTCGGCCAAGTGAAACTGAGACGGTCATCGCCCGGGAACTCTCAGTCATTGTGCTTAACGTCGCTATGCCGGAACATAGTTCAAGCTGTCAGAGTCGACAATCTATTGTCTGTATGTACCTTGTGGATCGGCAACACACTCTGTCAAGCATCTACACCGAAAGGAGGACATGAATCAACGAGCCCTCACCATTCACGCAAGTTCTTGTGTGGTTTTGGGTTAAGCCACAAGTGAGGGCTTTCTGGTCGAGACCTCACAAAATACTTAATATGGTGATCTTGACAGTCTCAAAGAAGCCTTTTCGCCGAAATCTGTATGCGGTGTTGGAGGGGCAATACCTTGATTGGGCGTCGCTTATGGGTCGTTTGCAAGCTTCACCCAACTTTACCATGTCGTCCTCAGTGCGCACCATCTGGAGAATACGCCAGCATCATGCAGGGTAAGCCTGAATTTCAGTGTGATATGCCCCCAACGGTTGGAACAACAAAAAGAATCAGGGGCGGTGATGGGGGCTTGAGCATCTTTCAGACCCAGATCCCACTTTCAGTGGTTGCTCACGGCTTCCAGGTTTAAAGATGTCGATAATTTTGAATAGCAATATTAGAGAAGATCGCAAATAAAACCACGCAGCGCATCATTCTATAGAAGTACTCACCTCTCAAAATCCAGACAACTGTGACGCAAAAAGTTCCATCTTTGAATTCCGTTCTCTGTTGGACTGCCGATCCTCTTTGCTAGACATTATCCTGCTGGCCCATGATGAGGTCCATCCAGTCACTGCTTCTGTTTTTGAGTAGCAGTTTTGTAGTGGCTGCTATTGCAACATCCAGCTTTTCCGTCGAACGCCGCGAAGACAACGACAAGTCCTATATAGCCGCATTCGAATCCTCGGGGAACTGTTTCCATTACCTGACGGAGAAGAAGAATGTGGAAAAGTCGAAAGCTCCGTGTAAGGTCTACTGCCGAGGGCAAGGAGGCAAGGAAGGCAATTACGGAGTAAGTGATCTTGCGCATATCTATGTTCCTTTCTTTCTACGCCAACGATCTTTTGTTCCTGAGTACCACCTCGGCGCTTCCTGCACGAGGCTGAGCTGACGTCTGATCTCCTCATCATCACTATTTCAACTCTTGACAAAACGTTTCTGTTCCATTTCCCCAGCGACTGTTGAATTCGCGCATGCGCTTAAAGACGTTTCGTTAAAACCAAAGACTAATGATGCGTAATCCACAGTGCGACGGCAGCGCCTTTCAAGACATACCACTGAACAAAATTCAACCACAATATAGGGACAATGATGGCAACATCTGGACACCTGGCAAGTGTGTCTGCGACTTTGAACTAGCGGAGGCTCTTCTTGACGTTGTGATGGAAGGCCTGGCTGATCTGGACAAATACATTTGTTTAGGGATGCTCGAGGCATTCAATTCTATCCTCACCTACGGCATCTCATTCATCCCCACCGGTGCCGTCGCTCAAGGAGCAAAGGCAGCAGTGCAAGGCGCCAAGACATTCTTCGAGAATGGGCTAGAGGCAAGCTCCTTTTTTGGCGATTGGGTCGGTCCTGCCTGCGGTGTGAACGATTGGCAATTTGACTTGTTCGGTGCCCTTCTGAACATGCCTGACTCTATGGGTCGCAGCACTGGCTGCCACAAGAAGGCTAAGTCTAGTTGTAAGAAGTCGGATCCAAAGCCCGATCCTCCGAATACAGCCAGGCCATCATCGAAGGCTGCGGACAAGACGAATCATCCACCGGCAAGCAGTTCGAACGATGCTTGTCAACTCAAAGTCCGTCGAGCTAACGGAAACAACAACTTGTGGGAAGGAAAACTCGGTGATCCACGAACGACAACTGAAGACTGTGGAAAGCACACCCGGGTACTGATCACCGAAACAGAGAAGGACATCGGCTTCTACGAAACCAAAATCACCGGCATAAAGTGCAAAAAGGAATGGGAACAGGCCTGTTACCACTACTCGTGAGCATTCCAACTCGCTTCTTCCCTTCAAGTACGCCATGACTGATGTGAAATCAGGTCAATGATGGACGTTCATAAGGCTACCAGGTCTATGACCGAATGTACTTGTGGAGCCACCTCCGATACGGCGAAGACGGGCGATGCCACAAAGCTTTGGGGTTCTGCGGCCATCGGGCCTCTCAGAAAGACTGATGAGCACTGGGTGTGGCCCTGGGCAAATGGATGGGTTCCACGGGTCGTCCGGTTAGACGCCAATGGCAACCCGAAGGTCAACAGATTCGGTCATGAGGATGCCGACGGTTGTGATAGGGATGAGTGGCCTCCACGAAACTTCTGGCCTAAAGACAAAGTGGCGCACCCGAAAGGTATGATACAACGAATTCGATTCATTCCCTACCAACACAATCGAGGAGCCGGCAATCTGTGGGGCAACTTTTGCTCCAAACACAGTGCCATGTCGACCAAAGTCGTGCAAAATGGACCGGAAACCCTTTACGTCAGAGACAACCTGATCAGCACCATCAACGAGAAAGTCAAAGTAATTACAGGAAAAGACAAGACAATGAGTAAGTCTCTCCATCATTCTAGCTTAGTTCGTCCGCCAGGCTGACTCAATTACTCAAAGCTCGAATCACGACAGTGTCTGTCCAGACTCCCAGGGCGATCTTCTCCATAGACGACTGGGATGGACTGGAAAAGGACACCGACTGGTACGGTTTGAAGGAGAACCCTTGTTGGCCAAAGGATCTGGTTCCAGATGACCCAGGCTGGGTCCTTAACACAGCGGATGAGTTTTACAGCCAAGGTCAGCACCCGGACTTGGCAAAACACACCAAAAGTTACAGGGGGTTGCCCGACCTTCAGGCGTTGAAGAATGCCTTGGCAAAACATGGTGGAAGTCCCCCACACCCGTTCAGCAAGGTCGACCTCAACGTTTGGGACACGAAGAAAAGGATCAAGATGGGCGATAAGGAGGGCGAAATTCCGAAAGACTACCGTGGCGTGCTTCCCGGCAACCCCAAACCTAAGAAACGGAGGATGTTGCTTGAAGAGAGTCGCCGAGACAATGGGACCGACTTTGAGCAGGATGATGAGCCTTTTGACGGAGATGAAGATGAAGATGCATTTGACGAATGGGAGAATTGGAGAGAGTGAGAACGTCTTCTAAGGAGGGCTCATTTTGAGCTGGCTTCGAGGACTACGCCTCAGAGGACGGAAGCAGAGGCAACTCCCGCGGGCCAAGGTGACGCCACACCCACTCCTGCTGCACAAGGCTCCGCAGTCGCGAATGAGTGGCCTTTATCCACAAACTAGATCTTCTCTGTCGCGGTATCAAATATCGGTTGATGTGCCATCCAACAACTGAATTGGAAGCTGTCGCCATGGATATGATGGGAACATGAGGGCATAGGCTCACCCATTTTGTGATAGATTTAGAAGCAGGAGAAACGGTATTTAGAGATGTCATGTCAATCATTTATACGAAGAGCTTAGGGTCGCGCGCATTAGAAGTCATGAGAAGGAAACAAACGTTCTGTATTGAACATGATTTGTCCCCACCTTGATGCATTTGCCAAACCCAAGCACTAAGAAACGCTGCAAAGTTTCCTTTTAGTCTCCCAACGCCTGATTTTGGCGATCTCTCTCTCGTTTAGTCGGTGTGTTTTGCCTACTATTCCTCTTGGATTGTTCTGCAAACCATTGGTCTTGGTTGTCACTAGGTTGACCCTGAACCAAAGAGTACCGCGAACCTGCCAACGCCCTTTTTTTTTTTTTCTCCCCCCAGCAAGATCTCATTCGTCCTTTAGGAGGAAGTTGATATCATTGTAGGTGGATGTTTATCTTACTTCGTCTGTGTTGTTTTTTGTTTTTTTAAGCGCTGCGATACGTCTGTAATTTTGATCGAAAGGGTCAGAAATTCATTCGTGATGCGTGCATGTAGCCGTCATAGTTAGCCGAGCCCGGCTGGAGCCGGACGGGCCTAGCGACGGTTCGGTTATCTTCCCCCTGACCTATTGGCGGCCCCTCCTCGATGACGCACGAGATCATGCCACCTCCATTGCTATCGGTTATCTTACCTACACTACTTCGGTCATCAATAGCACTCGTCCAGTACCCCCCAATCGGCAACCCAAGGCTACTTTGTCAATCGCAGCCGTGCTTGAGTGGTTTACAGCGCAACAGATTGGCGCTTTTTGTGGCCATGTTTTCCCCGAGTTTGACATCGAAGCTCTGGAGAAGCCAAGTCCAGGTGAGTGTACGGTGCTTTTGAAGCGTAAATCATTTGTTGGGCTTTGGGAGAATCCGAAGCTGACGTTCCTTCTTCATCTTAGGTGCTTTCACGGCAGCAATTGAGACGCCTGACTTTACATGAGCCCCAAGCTCGGAGCATTCTGGCGGAGGTTCGCAGTAAACTAAAGTGCACACCTTTCAAAGTTCACTGCTCATACATTCATTTCAGTTTGACGTCCCGGTACCAAGAGGCAGACTAGCAGCAACTCCAGCCGAAGTGGAATCAATATACTCAGAGCTAGGTAACATTCACAAGCATTATTTCGGTGGCTGTGCTGACTTGACTATTTCAGGTGTACCATGCATCATCAAGGCCCAACTCCCCCAAAGCTATCAGGCTCAGGGTGTGTTTGAAGATGGCCTTACAGGGAGATTTAAGAGAGCCCGGAGTGCCGAGGAGGCAATAGACATGTCCAAAAGCATGCTCGGGCGCCGTTTCAGGACAACAGATACGAGCGACGGTGTCCTTGTTGAAAAGGTTTACGTCACAGAGATGATTAAAAGCCGTTGTAAATGGCACCTGACAATCACGTTTGACCGAGAAAGATACTGTCCAGTCATTATCGCATCGCGTACTGGCAGGGAAGCCTTGGACCAAGAAGCACCTGAGAGACTCCGTACAACAAAGTTCGGGTTGACTGAGGGGATCACTTCAGAAGTTGTCGACCAAGTCTCCAAAGTTCTCCACGCAAGCCCTGCAGAAAAGGAGAACCTGAAGAGCGTCCTTCGGGGGTTGTTCCAGGTTTTCAAGAGCAAAGACGTCACTTCGCTCGAAGTCTACCCTATCATCAACGCCATTGATGAGACGATTACCTGTGTCGACACCAAGATCACCATAGACGATGCAGCTAGTAAGAGACAAGAGGACATCTTCGCTCTGAGAGATAGGGCGCATGACAATGCCGAAGAGGCGGAGGCGGAGAAATACGGTTTGGTGTACGTTAAGATGGACGGTAACATCGGCAACGTGGTCAACGGCGCTGGGCTCGCGATGACCACCAACGATGCCATCGCTCTTCATGGCGGTGCCAGCGCGAACTTTCTGGACGCCGGTGGCCAGGCAACTAAGGAAACAATGGTGAAGGCATTTGAGATCATCCTGCGGGATACCAGAGTCAAGACGATCCTGGTCAACATATACGGCGGTAAGTTGAAGCAAATTCTGTCAAGCGTTCACGTGGTTGATCAAGACCCCTGAAGGAATCACCCGAGGTGACATGATTGCGGAGTCAATCATTGGCGCCGCGACCGAGTTGGGTCCATTGAAGGTGCCCATGGTCGTGCGGCTTCAGGGTACAAACTCCGAGCTGGGCCTGAAGATGGTGAGTCGTAAGAAATCCCAAAGCGATCGCTGCATTTATAACAAATTCCTGCAGCTGGAAGAAGCGAAACTGGGACTGCACACAGAGGCAGATTTCGGCAAGGCAGCACAGAAGGCCGTAGAGCTGGCTAGATCCGCAACTTAGATTTCGGCGATGTCAGAGCCACTGGAGGGAAACATGTCCTGTCTGAGATGGCTAGAATTTGACACATTTTCTCCAATTTTCCACAGCGGGCGCCGACGTTTTTGTCTTGAAAAGTTTTACACGTCTTGCATTCAACCACCTCGTGGCGTTCCTAGCCGCGACGCGGCTATGCAGGCTACCGTCCGATGTGACTTCGACGGTGGCTTCGCGGAAACATGCTCACATCCGAGTAGTCCCAGCCCAAAAATCTCTCATCAATCCCACGAGGTCTCTGAGTGTCCAAGAATTGTTCATGACGTGGAGTGGCAGGCCGCAGAACTAATGCCAGCTTATCATTTGGGCATCACCATGCACGCGCATGATATCGCGTCGTCGCAGGGTGGCCGGCGACTCGGATTGCAACTGATGGTCAGTGGCGTCAAAACTCTTCCAACACTAATGCTTCTCAGCCTCCAACCTGCCTGAGACGTCGGAATTGAGTTGGCTGGCGGCCGGACCTCGATCCTCTTTTGGATGGTGTACCACACAACTGCCAGCGGTAACAAGGACTCGACCGGTGATGTTGTGCAGCCGGGAGGACATCCCGACTTTTAGCTCCCGGTGGCTCGAAGGAGGGGGCGAGCTGAGCTTCTAAGTGAGGGGTTAGACAAGTCGCCAGTCGTCCAGATATTGATGACAACATGGCCCTAGACATGCTAAATGCAAGCGAGGTGAGATAATCAGCTGTGGTGATTGGTCTGGAACACCAGGCACGAACATCGAACGGGAAACATGTGTGGAAAAAGCAATTTCGAATGGTAAGGGAAGAATAAGAAAGGGTTTCCCCTCTGATAGCAATCCTTGTGCATGTTTGGCTCCCCTGCAGCTTACCCATGGCATTTCGCCACAATTTTGCCCGGAGACCCATTTCTCATGCCAGTTGACTCCTCTCGACAACAAGGACAATGGCTGCGAATCCCTTTGATTCTGGGGAACCTTGAAAACAGACAGGACAGGGTCAACTGAAGGTGACATGGTAGCATCTTCAGGTAGGCCAAGATGAGAATCCTTGCGGCAAATCCCATGTTCATCCGATCAGAACATTCGCGATGGCATCGTGATGAGAGTCCCGCGAACCGAACTTCACCAATGCAACCACCAAATGACGATGCGGATCTGATTTCTAACTGATTGACATATCACACTGCGTTCCTTGCATCCGCTCACACTTCCCATCCGACTAAAGCACGACGTAGTCCAGCCGTCACACCCTAGCCTCCGAGTCCAGGCTGGGCGCCGGTCGGCTGCTGCGGCGCAAACATCTTCCCTATTCCCTTTCTGGAACAATCGCGTAGCCCGCAGTCCCCCTGTCGAGCATGCACGTCGCCTGCACGCTGAGTCGATAAGCAGTGCAAGCTCGCAATGGAAAAAGCAACAAACATACAGGACGCACTGCCCACGAGCTGCACCCGTCAGAGACCTCTTTAGGCGAGCATTTGCCCTGGGAAACCGCGAATAAGCAAACATTGTCGTCCCATGGCCCGTTGGAACCTCTGCGGCATTGAAAATGGGACCGCGTTGCCTGATTTTCCCATGGGCTTTTGAAAAGAGCTGTTCCACCGTCTTCCCGCGACATCTACATCAGGGCCCTGATCCGTGAACGTTTTTCCATCGAAGCCGCGGACTCGACAATATGGCGACGGCAACGATAACGACAGCGGTGCCGTTGGCATCGGTCTCGACCAACGCGACGATTGGGGACGGGACCGCGACGATTCCGCTGGAAAGACAGAGCCAGATCAGTGTCGTTGCGGTGTCCATTGTTTTCATCATCATTCCGACGATGGCGCTGATCTTGCGATTGATGGCGAGGCGCATGGCACACAGGGCTTTGGATGCGAGCGATTACTGCATTACCGTAGCATGTGTACGTGTTTCTGGGTGCTTGATGGAGCTTTCCTGGGGCTGACTTGGGGTTTGTTATGACAGGTCTTTTCGCACGCGCTGCAACTTGTCTCGATATTCAGTGTCACTCAGGGCGGAGTTGGGTACCTCTTCCGAGAGATCATCCCCAAATATGGACGGGGTCCTATCATCAAGTTTCTCCAAGTATGTCGCACAAACTCAGAGCGCGTCCTTGTGAAGATCCCTTGACTAACGTCTTTGCTTTTCTTATCCAGCTTCTTGTTGTTCAGCAAGTCCTTTGGGCTGTCAGCCTCAGTCTGTGCAAGATTGCCATCCTCCTTCTCTACACCAAACTCTTCTCCACACGGCGCATGATCTTAGCCGCGAGGATCATGGCAGGATTCACCGTCATCTGGACCGCCGTGGCTGTATTGGTGGCCTTCTTCATCTGCCGACCTTTGTCCGATAATTGGCTTCTCGACCTCAAGAACAGAAACTGCGGCAACCAGCCTGCGGCAGATGGAACTCTGGGGGTAGTGAACTTGATGACAGATATCATTGTCCTGATCATGCCGGTATCTTACTTATGGCGACTCAAACTGGAGACGTACCGAAAGGTTGCTCTCATTGCGACTTTCTCGCTAGGAGTTTTGTGAGTCTTGTCATTGATAGAACCCTCCCGTGCTCGTGAACTGACCAAATCTCACCTTCACAGCACGTGTATTGTATCAGCTCTTCGTCTGTATTACCTTGCACACCTAAAGTACACCGACGTGACTTTCGGCATCCCCAATGCGCTCATCTTCAGCGCTCTTGAGCCCGGCGTCGGTATCACTCTGGCTTGCATACCGTTTCTAAGACCGTTGCTCGGCCGGTCGCAATATTCACCAAAGGGGACCGCACAGTACTACACCACGGCAGGCGGTTCGGATCGCACTTCAAGACGTGTTTCGGGCAGGGACGGTTTCGCACTTGTGGCTGATGCTGAGAACTCATCGTCATACCAACTCCAACAGTACGGGCAACGAGACTCCATGCCCTCAATGCCCAGCAAGGCGCACACAAGCATGAGCAGCAGCATCCAAGATCGTTATTGATCTAGATGAGTTTCAGGGAGTTCACAGCCTCCGCTGATGTACGATTGATGACAAAAGCAATATGATGAAATGTAATGATAACTATTCAATCAAAACAACTGGCTCAGTGACGTCCTCTGGCAACTTGCTCCACCTGCTAGTGTAGACTCTTCCATCTTTGATAACAGCCAAGACATTCTTCTCGGGCTCATCCAAGATTGATACATCATCTAATGGGTTCTCGTTCAGGATCAAAAGGTCCGCAGCAAAGCCTTCCTTAACTTGGCCTAGGAAGTTCTCCTGCCTGAGCATCCTAGCTGAATTGACAGTTGCAGATTGTAGCACTTGTTTGTCGCTAAGTGCTTGCTGTCGGATTCCAAACTCCCTGCTTTGTTCAGCCTGCAAGGGGCCGAGAAGATCCGATCCGTGGCAGATGGTGACCCCAGCTTCGGCAGCAATGCGCAGAGACTGCAAGCCTTTCTCGAGTACTTCCTGGTTCTTGCGCTGGTTCTCGGGAGGCAGGAAGCCGGCATACTTGTGGGATGCCATGGCGTCATACGTGACCAGGGTGGGGGTCAGCCAGACCTTGTTCTCAGCCATGAACTCTGCCGTCTCCTTGTCGATAAAGTTGCCGTGTTCGATGCCGGTAACGCCGTTCTCGACCGCATGGCGAATTGCGTGGGGTGTATAAGCATGGGCCGTCACCCAAGTTCCATAACTCCTGGCTACTTCGCTGATAGCCTTGATCTCGTCCGCAGTGAATTGGGTGTTCTCGATCCTATCTGTAGGAGAGGCCACGCCCCCACCAACCATGATTTTGATAAAGTCTGCGCCAGTTCGGAGTTGCTCTCTTGTCGCTCTGATGCATTCCGGTACTCCGTCAACCACGCTGGACAGACCAGCAGTGCTCCCGCAGCATAACTGTGAATGATCATGGGCTCCTCGACGATCGCCATGACCTCCCGTCTGCGAGAGAGCTTGATTTGCGATGAAGAGCCGCGGGCCGGGAAACACACCATCCTGAATAGCTTCCTTCAACGCAAGAGTCGCGCCACCCGTATCGCGGACCGTTGTGAAGCCCTTACTGAGAATGCGGCCGACGACGAAGGATTGTCGAAGGTGAGAGACCGTGTCATCCATGTTGAAGCCCCCGTTGAGACCAGCCTCCCCGGGGACAGAGCTGACGTGCACATGGCAGTCAATCAGCCCAGGGGAAAGATACTTTCCCTTCAAATCGACCACAATTGCGCCGTGCCATTTAGCGTAATCCGCATCTCCGATACTAACACTCTCGACAAATCCATCTGATATCTTAACGGTCGTATTTCCTATGATAGTCCCTTGCGCGGTGTCGACAACGTTGGCATTCAAGAAGAGGTAGGTGTTTTGCCGGGGAAGCTTCCACGGTTTGATAAGCTTCTCCGGAATCGCGGTTTCCGCTTCCGGTCGCCGGGTGGAAACGCCGGGTGCAGGCCCGATCATGACGGGGGCTTTGCGGAGTGTCATTGAGTCAATTGGATTGTTCGGTCTCATTCGCGGTCACCAAACCGGCAGTCCAGGTCACGCGTTGTCGGGTTGATGTTTGAGAGCGAGTTGATCGGTGAGGGGAATCGATACGCGTAGGCCGCCGATAAGCCCGGATGTCGGGTACCCGCCCGGTGCGGTGTCGGCAGCGAGGGATTCAAAGCCCCTGGAGGATCAGTGCGTCAGTTCACCTTCCTGTTTGGGCATTGCAGTAGGCGGGCTTAGAATGTTGAAGCCATTGCGATGCTATTGTGCCTTGAATTATCACTCTTGTCTTGTCATGTTTTATCCTTTTCGCACGCTGAACTATCAGCGTATCTTCGTTAATTTGTCCTGCTTGCTTCATAAGTACCTTGAGTTGCCCTTATCAAAATTCATCCTATAGCAAGATGCATCAATTGTCTAAATACTCACCATCTTGTCCACTGTTCTTCCCTTCCATTCACCATATGCTTCGTAGTTGTCAGGCGAACTTACCAAAAGGGAACATAGTGGCTTCGTCAAAAGCCTTCCCATAAATTCAACAGTAAATACAGCCCCACTTATAAGTCGTTCCCGGAATTCTCTCAGACTTTCTTTTCAGATGCTCTCGGTAACATATATACACAAGACTTACTTGAATACTTCTACATCACGATTAGAATATCTTCCACAACCACATAATTTGCTGCCAACACGACCTGTGAGAATATCCCACCATCGTCTCCACTGCCTTAACGATGGGTATCGTGAACAGGGGAACTGTCCGTGCACCAGAAACAGCCATATTATCCACGAGTATTGCGTCTAGACGCGGAGCATTTTGGATTTTAGTCTGTACTTACGCCGTAATATTACAACTAAAAGATATGATGCCTCTTTCTCGCGTCTCGCGTCTCGCGAGAAGTCATCGCCTGACTTGCACCGAAGGTAGCCGCCTTGTCTCCACCCCAATGACCGGGACTTCCGGGAATGTCTCGGACATGAAGCTTGGAACACAACCAAAGCTAGAATTCTCCCGCTCAAAGTTCAGCTTCCTATCCCTCGGAATAAAATATGATTGTGAGGCAGACCGAGCTCTGTTTTGTAATCTTCAATCTTTCTCAACTGTTATAGACAAGTTCGCAACATGAGAATTTGTGGACGTCACGAATACGTCATATATGGAACCCTGTCCAGGTTATCACAGAGGAGACTACCGTGGCAGCAACACCACACGCCAAAGCCCCAAGAAGAGGGGTCGCGGCGTGTACTGAAACCCACCCGTGCTGGAAAATCTGGAATCTTTAGTAATCGATGGGGTTGGCATATCCACTAGAAGAAACCTCTCATATGCAGTGAGATTCAAGCCAAGGATTCGGCTTCGCCGTTTACGAATTGCTCAAAGTAAACGCCGACACCAGTACAAAAGTCCATATATTCTCACGCATTACCTCCAGTCCTATCGGAAACCCCTTCCACCACTCATCGCATTTCATAACACCCAGCCCCACATCAATCCATCGCTATGTCAGATCTCACAGCACTGCCCAAGGGCTCGCTCATCCTCGTCACCGGAGCGAACGGATACATCGGAGCGCAGGTTATCGATAACCTACTGAAACTAGGCTACCATGTTCGCGGCACAGTCCGCGCTGAAAAGCCGTGGCTGAAGGAGCTGTTCGGTAAGTATGGCGAGGGTGTCTTTGAGCAGGTCGTCGTGCCGCATCTCGAGGACGAGGAAGCGCTTGGCCATGCCATGACTGGCACTGCCGGTGTCGTGCTTGTGGTAAGAATATCACCAGAAGTTATGACGGAGCCCTTCATCTACTTACATGGAACTTAGGCTTCGGATCTGTCCTTGAGCAACGACGCTCAGAAGGTCATTCCCTTCGTTGTGAAGGCCACAGAGAATGCACTTTCAGCTGCAGCCAAGCATGATAGCATCAAGCGGGTCGTTCTCACCTCGTCTGCCTTTGCAGCTTCTACTCCCGAGGCGAATGAGACTGGCGTCGTTGTTGATGAGAACACCTACAATGAGCGTGCGATCAAGGCAGCCTGGGATCCCAACACTCCTGCCCACCGTATGCCTTTTATGGTCTACGCGGCCTCTAAGGCGGAGGGTGAGAAAGCTGCCTGGAAGTGGGTTGAGGAGCACAAGCCAGGCTACGTATTCAACACTATTCTTCCGAACTTCACCGTCAGTTATTTGCCTCATTCTAAAACTCCCGGATGGTTTGGTCGCTGACGTTCATAGACTGGAGAAATCATGCATCCCCAAATGTCCGGCTCAACCATGAAAATGGCTGCCGACGTGCTAACAGGCAACCACGCCGTACTGAAAGCTTTCATGCCTCGTGAGTGATGCCTTGACGCTGCTTTTTGAGCCTGTGCACTGACGATAGCCAGAGCCCTACGTTGACGTCGGTGATGTTGCGCGTCTTCACATCGTCGCTTTGCTCGCCGAGTCGGTCAAGTCCAAGAGAATCTTTGCCGCCGCTCGCCCGGTCAACGTGTCTGAGTTCATTGACGTCTTGCGTGAGCTCAGGCCAGACAACAAGCTGATTCCTGATAAGGATGCGAACGATGGACGGGACCTGACGCAGGTGCTGCCGCTGGCTGAAGCCGAGAAGCTATTGCAGACGTACTTTGGGCAGAAGGGCTGGACGCCATTAAAGGAGAGTGTTGAGGCAGGGATTCGCAATTTCTGAGAGTAGTATTAGCTATCTGTTTGCACATGAAATTGCACATTAGCCAATTGATCGCAGTTTATTTACAGTTAAAGATCTATAAATTGAGCATGGATGAGTTCGGGTTGTTCTCTATGCCTAAACTGCTTCAGAGCTTAGCCCGCAGAGACTCCATCCAGGTATGAGCCAAAACCTTCTTCTCATTAACACTCAGGCCTTGAACACCTTCTCCATTCGCTTTTTCCAACTGCAGCCATTTACTGGACTCAACAATTATCCAATCAGCCATCAGTTGAGCGCAAGCCTTAGGGTCTTCCATGACGAGGAAATGACCCAATGCAGGTAGAACCTTGACGTCAACGCGCCTACTCTCTCCGGGCTGTTTCGCGTACTGCAGAGCGCAGGTTCGGGTCTGCCAGTAATCCCTGATATCATTATCGCTTGGCGTGTCTCTGCCGCCGCAAAGGAAGAAGGTGCTGCAGGTAATGTGGCCCAGCATATGGAACATGTCGACAAGGCCGGTCTGATAGACAGGTTCTGGCTCTTTTATGTTATCGCCGTGGATGAAGGTAGGTTTGAGGTAGTTGACGAGCTCGTGATACTGTTCCGTGACCAGCGAGACTGACTGCGTACTTCTTGGTCTCTTGGGCGCGGTGTTATCGTCGTTCTTGATGGCGAATTTCATGAATAGGTCGATGACTTTGGGGTTCCAGGTGCTGAACATCTTTTTGACAGACTTCTCAGCCGCCTCTCGGTTCGGCCAATGAGTTCTTCGTCTAAGGGTCATATACTCAAAGCCGAGCCCCTCGAGACCCACCTCTGGTGGGCTAATTGCAGGATCCAACAGTA